CGGGAAGATCCATTTTGTGAATTGGGTCCATGAAAGAAGTTTACTCGTGTGCCCTATCGGTCGTTGTCGCTTAGAGAAATGAATAGTTGATAATTTGAAATTCGACACTGAAATTTTGTAAAGTCATTTAAATTTAATGGTTATTTATAAGAATTTACATAGAAAAGGAGGATCTTTAATTCTTCAAACACGATGAAAAGTAGTTTCTGGTTCAAATAGGTTGGAGGGTTGGGTAGGGTGGTTAGGGGATTATGATGGGGGAGGGTTATTATCAGGAGGTCGAGTGTTCGATTCTCACAGGGACCATACAATTTTTTTTTTTTTAAAAGGTAGTTTCTGCTTCTAATAAGAATCACTTATATCACACTTCATCTCTTAATTGAATCATGTGTGATTTAATTACAGGCATTTCATAAATCAAATAACATAATTTAATCACATGTGAAGTAACTATAAATATAGAGAGTACATCAGTCAATGGTGCGGAGCTATGAGGTTGTACGAAGGGTATTTGATGGTATGAAATTTGGGAGAAGAAAAAGTGATAGCTGAAATTGATAGGATTGCGGTGAACCTGGTGAAGATCGGAGAGGAACAACCAAATACTCACTCAAAATTAAACGGTAGAATCCGAGAACTCTCACAATAGAATTGAACTGTATAATTTTTTCAAATGGCTGGAGAAGCAAATAAGCATGGAGCTCCATAACTGTACAACTTCTCCATAATGGGTGCCGAAAAAATTACTTTTCTTAAAAATCATTGTAATTCTTATACAATTTATTTTCTAACTAATTGGGCATAAAACTTTCTTTAAAAAAAATGTGCAAAGAACTAGCAACAAATAGTTTGAGAAATAATGTAATGAAAGGGTGCATTGTTAGATTTACTTTGTCGAGGATAGGAATTTAAAATTCTCTCACTTATAAAACTATGACATTTGACCACCCTCAATTTTATCTGAAGTTTCCAATTGTCCACGAACATTCATGTTATCATAAAAAATATGTTGTTATAAAAAATATTAACGGACAAAATTTCGTTTTTAAATTAAGGAATTATCATTTCAATAAAAATATGCAAAATTTAGTAGGATTCATTTGATTTTTATATTGATGAGTTTGAAAATCGCATACCAAACGAAATTTTAAAGATAATATTTTTGACAACGGATAAGTTAAGGTAAAAATGAATTATTAGATGGATAATGAGAAACAACCAAACCAAATGAATATATGGGTTAATTAAAAATAATAATAAAATAAGTAAGAATGCATGGTATGTTAAAAAGAAAATAGTAAAATAAAAGCACTGAGATACTACGAAACAAGGAATAAAGGTCCTGATTTACAATGAAGATTGTGATGTCAATTTCAAAACTACAATTGTGGTCTACAAAGAACTATTGCATATATAATGATTTAATTCGAAGTTCACCCTTTTTCGTTTTTTTTATATTCACTTTTTTAGATTTCTTAACAATCCTCTTTGCATTAAAAAGATTATCATCGTATTCATTTGGTAAAGTGGTATTGATATTTGTGTTTTATATGTACCAATGAAGTCGTTTTCCATTTTATAAAAATATTAACATTTTTTTGTTCCGCTTTTGTGGTAATGTCTATATGTGAATGTCCTTCTCGTCTATCAGATGGGTCTAACACCTAGTAAAATGTCCTCCTCGTCTATCGGACGGGTCTAACACCTAGTAAAGAAAATGAGGAAGAAAAACTTAAGTTGAAATAATTATTTTTTGCTAGATCAAGTAAAATTTATGTTCGTAACTCACCTATGAATTAGATGAAGTCAATGAGGAAAGACTTGTCTTTGCAGATTTTTTTTTGATTTTTTGATTTTTGTTTAGAATGATAAACTATTAATTTTCATGTTTATTTCAACTTGATTTTTCGTCCTCATTTTCTTTATGTTAATTTTTTTATAATCTATGAAATAAAAAGGTAAATTAATTATTAAAATTTAATAATTATACTAGTATCAATAAATACAAATCAGAAAATATAAGAAAAATAATCTCAAACAATAACGAATAAAAAAATAAAACTATAAATTATAAAAAATGAAAATGACAAAATTACCCCTCAACTCAAATCGCATGTGTTGCACATGTAAAATAGATTTTGAAAATAACTAATTATTTTTTCACAGATCATATAGTATATTTTAATGGTTATGAAAAGTAATAAAGAGAAACTAAATGAAATAGAAAAAAAAAAGAACTAAAATGGACTATTTTGTTATTTTTATATTTTTTAGTGTTATTTTTTTAATTTTCTGGAACTATCAGGATATTTTTGGTTAAAAACTAACAAAAATCCGTTAAGTTTAACGAAAATTTGGCCAATTGGGTGAAATTGACAAAAGTTTCAAACAGTAAGGACAAAATTGACTAATTAAACATTAGTAGGGTAGAATTGACAATAAGCCAAAAGTTTTGGGTTTGAAAGCCAATTTTTCCGGGGTACTAAGGAATAATAGTACTACCAAGTCCAACACCACCATGATCATATACACAAAGTATGGGAGTTTATAACACAAAATATTCTTCTTAGTTTCCACATCCACATGCTGATGCTGTTGCTGTCCGAAATTATGATTTCACACTTTTTACTTTTTAGCTTATATACTGTCCCAAACAACTCAGGATCATCCTTGCGGTTTGATCCAATATTGGCATAAACAACTCTGTTTGAGTTGGAAATTCAATTATATTGTCAATTTCAAAGAATGCATATCGAAAATTATTTTAGTAAAATTTAAATTTCTGTTAGTTTCTCATGTTAGAGAAGAATGCATATCGAAAATTATTTTAGTTCATCGCGAAGTAGTAACGATAGCGAAGAATAATGGTTAGGATCATTCTGTATGTGAATAACTTTTGTGGATAATGTAATAATGATTTATAATATCCTTTTATGCTTATATCTCTGTGTTCACCATTGTTTTTAATTGTCAAAATGCGTTTTGAGATTTCTCCTCCCACTTTTAGCAATCTCCAAACAAATTTCTGGTATTTCTTAAACCCATATTCCACAATCAAGGGAAAAGCAGGAATTTGGGCTATTCCCATGATCTTATGGGCTTTTGTGCCTAAAAAAGGTTGATGATATAAGAATCTTACTGTACATTAAACAATGAAACATGATGGGCTGGTATGGGCTCTTTGTATAGAAATGTTTTTTTTTTTTTTTTGTGTTTTAGTTTTAAATTAATTTAAACCCAAATGTCAACACCCTAAAAAGTTTTATTTATTTATTTATTTTTAAGGCCGCTTTAAAAATACCTAGATTATTACAACGAAGATAGAACCTACTAGGGAAGGGGGTAGTACTACTAGGGGGAGATTCTACTCGTGCGCGCCTCTTGCTCGGACTGTCCGGTCCTCCGTGCCCAATGACGGTTTAACCTAGCATCTGGTCAGCTACCTACTTCCTCCTTCAGCTGCTTGTTTCCCACGTCCGCAGTAAGAATCAAACCCTTAACCTCGTGGTTAAAAGTACAACGCCCTAACCACCAGGATAAGACTCGATTCTTTTACTCTTACATCGTCGTTAATATAGTTCACGAATCAGGACCATTTCCTACTTCTTCCTAGTTATAGGTTAGCTTGCTACCTATTGTTGTCTCTATAAGCGAAAAATAATTACAGTAATAAGTAAACCTTATCTAGCGGTTAATAACATGTGCTAAAAGTAGGAGTTGCACAAAAATAAATTAGGTGAAATAATTTTTACATCATTTTGAAACTGCATAATGAGAAATTGGATGAAACTGTGGTTACAACACAACTTTATTAGATTTTTCACTGATAAGGTGTTTTCAAATGATAAATTAGATTTTCCCTTGTCTACTGTATCACCTCTTTTTTTTTAATAAAAAAATAAAATTTTAAACCTACTGTAGTTTCTATTTTAATATTCAAATTATTTGGAATATATAAGAGCAACTGGAATTGAGGATGGCCGCAAACTAGTCGTAGTAGGTTATCCCCTATTTTCAGAGACCACGTCCGCTAAAAGTAAGCCCAAAAGGCTGGTCAGTTCATTTGGAATTCAGCCCATTTTTGTTCACTTCATATTCGTCTCTCCGATCTTCTAGTTGGAAAACGAATTCGGCTGCCAAACAATCCTACGAATTTTAGTAGTGAGATTACTGTGCAATATTCGTTTTGAAAATTATACAAACTGATAGGAAAAAAAAGAAAAAGAAAAAGAAAAAGAAAAATGTTAGGTCCAATCTTGTATAAACAAAAAACAGGATTAGTATCTTAATACAAAAATTTGATATTTGATACGCAAAAAGTAGCCCTGTTGACACCCAATAAAATCCCCTGTTCTCTTTATGCAGAATATAACATAATGTTGTCCTAATGTATGCAACTTCACTTTATAGTAGATATGAATCCAAAAACGTAAGGGCCACATGCAAAGTGTACACTGGGATTTCCACTCTTGCAGAGGACTTTGGATATGAATCTCATAACTCATAATATATCATCATTCTTCAAAAAAAGTTGGATTTTTTTTTTTTTGGTGCCTCCTATTATAAAGTGCTCCTCACATTTTGGCTAAAGTGATCGCAATCAAACCTCCAATAATTTGTACAGTCAAATTCCAGTATCCAAATTCCAGTATCCAAAAGTACTGTTCTTTAAATCCTTATCTCATCCATTATGCATCATAAAAACATAATGACCGTAACACAAAAGTGTTATAAAAGATCTTTGACGCGAGAAAATGGTATAGTATTTTTTGATTTTTTTTATTTTTTAACCAAGATAAGTGAAAAGCTAAAAGAAGAAGAAAAAAAAAAGAAGGTTGAGAGAAAGGGACTGTATGACCAATAAACAGCTCATATGTACCAATTCTCAAAGGGGATTTTATATAATGCCTTCTCCCTTTTGCTTCTCTTCTTTTACTTTTTCTTTTTCACTTTCAATTTCTTTATTTAACTTATTAAATTCACTACTTTATTCCAGTCTAAATCCTCATGCTTTTCTTTAAACTTTAAATCCTATAACCATATTCTAACCCCTGTTTTTAAAATCCCATTTCAGATGTGCAAGTAATATAAACATTAACAAATACGCGTATCTGTGACAGAAATTCAAACCTATCCAGCCAAAGCCTTCATACTAGCTTTTCTTTTTCTTCTCCCAGTCTGCTGTATTCCATTCATTTCATATATATGACTTGAAAATATGTTCTAATTGTCCGAATGAGTTGATCAAAATGCATGAATATAAGTATGAAGAGCTAGAAGAAGCAACTGAAAACTTCTCGAATTCGCGACTTATCGGTAAAGGAAGCCATGGATTTGTTTACAAAGGCATCCTGAAAGAAACCAGAGTTCATCAGGGTCAGGGTCATGATCTTGTGGCAATCAAGAAGCAATCTTTAGGCCTTCAAAAGCTTGGAGACAATTCCAAATTGGAGAACGAAGCCCGGATTTTGTCTTCGATTTCGCAGAACAATCCGTACCTTGTCAACCTCGTGGGAATCAGTCATGATTCTGGCAACAACAACAACAGAGTACTGATCATGGAGTTCATGCCCAATAGAACACTTCATGAATTGCTTCACGGGGGGACTAATCATGAACCGCCTTCGTGGCTGAAACGGGCTCAAATCGCTCTTCAGATTGCGAAATCCGTTCGGTTTCTACACGAATCAAAGCCTCCGATTGTTCACAGGGACATTAAGTCAGCAAATGTCCTGTTTGATTCACATTGGAATGCAAGGTTGGCTGATTTTGGACTTGCAATAAGGTTGAATCATGATTCATTGAACAGGCAAATGGATTCACTGATTCGGCCTGCGGGAACAATCGGGTACATTGATCCTAGTTATGTTGTTCCGAGCAAATTAAGTACCAAAATCGACGTATTCAGTTTTGGCGTATTGTTACTTGAGATCATTTCAGGGGAGAAAGTGATCGACGTCAGGAGATCGCCGTCTTCCATCGTCGAATGGGCTATTCCGATCATCCAAAATGCCGATCAAATGCTGGAAATCTGCGACGAAAGGGTTCAAATCCCGCGATTTTTCGAAGGGATGGTGAGAAACATGATTGGGATTGCTGGGAAATGCGTGATGGATGATGAAGATGGTCGGCCTTCAATGGGAGAAATTGTGATGGAGTTGGAGAATTGCATTGTTGAACCATTGAGATTTCCAGCCTGGATGCATTATCTTAGGGGTTTTATCCAAAGAAAACTTGTCATCACAAGCAAGAATAAAACCGCAGACGGAGCCAATTCAACACGTAGTATTTGTGCAGCACATCATCAGGAAAATAATAATGTCGGTGTTGATCCTGTTTCAAGAGGGAAATTAATGTTGAGGGAAATCTTAGCTGATATTTCTTGAAGAAAAATACGAAAAAAGGGTCCTATTAAGATTCATCATAGCTCATTCGGTTATGAATTTACGTTACACAGAGTACCGACGGTACTGACGGTGGGACGAAATGGATTCCTCCGGGTCAACCTTTATAATTTTAATTGACGTAACGTTGAAGGAATGTGGCTCCAAACACAAGATTCTGAAATTAGGTTAGCTTCTGTAATAAAGAAAGGATATTTGTTAGGTCATTTTGTGTGACTAAGTTTATGCTGATCTTGATAGTGTTGAACGCTTCTTTTGTACATTTTTGGGGGAAAATCTTTGTTAATTTCGTTGGTTTTGTAAATTAGTCAAATTTGTGAGCCAAGAGCCAAGACTCAGTTCAATAATACTGATTCAATTGTTGTTTTTTCATAAATAATATTTTTAAGAAAATAAATGCTGACGATATGTTTTGGATGTATTTACTTACTCCAGGAACCAAACACATTGTTAATTAGTAAGGTTTGCAGTCCTTTTCGATTCCATATAAATAAAATTTTGGATAAGTAGGTAGTTTGATATATTCCATATTAATTAAACTTTCAATAAACAAGATGAATTAAAATTTGTTCAATAGCCATTGTCAACATTTTGCATTTTTCTTTTTTTCTTCTCCTTTTGTTTTTTCCTTTTTCCCTATCAGATTTCGTAATGGAAAAACAAGCTGTTAAGGCAACAAAAAAAGTCGTACAATTTCATTCTCAAATTGGTTTTCTGCCATTTAAAAGGTCATCTCAATGTAACATAAACTATACCACTGATACATCTGGCCAGGAAAAGTAATCAACGTACCTTTTTTATGGATGATTATGAGATCAACTGTACTGCATTGAGATTTGAGAGCTAGTTTTCAAATATATACAACTTTGGAACATATATTGTGATCATTACTTGAGCTAGACATTCGATTGTGATTTGGTCTACAGATGTTTTGTCTTTCAATTGTCGTGGTTACGGACTTTGTTACAAGTCTGTTAAAATATACTATATAATGTGAAAAGTTGAATAAACCTGCTAAAATTTGTGGATGAACCCCCAAATGTATTATAGATTTATATCCTACTTTAATTGGTTTATTTGTTAAATAAATTAAGTAGAATGGAGCCAAGAGAGTAGAATAAGCAATATTTTTTAGCATTATAAGTGTAGAGAAATAAAAGACCAAAAATTCATAAATAATAATGATCAATCAAATACCTACATACTAAGGGTCTGTTTGTTTGTTTTTTTATGTGCGTTTTTAGGTATTTTTTGTATTGAGAATATAAAAAGGTGTATTAGAAATGTAAAAAGATATGGTGAAATGAGACAGTTATTAATATTAAATTCTAAAAAAACCAAAAAAAAAAGGAAACAAACAAAGCCTAAATCCTCATAATTCCTTACTTTCTTCTGCTCAGTGCTGTCATATCTTTTATAGTTATGAAATACATAATACCAAATACTGGTTTCAATCACTTTCAAAAATAGAATTAAAAGTTTGGTGACTACGTTGAAATATTATAAAATTGTAGGCCTCAAAATTGCAAATTGTATTGAAAGCATCTTATTAGACCGGTTCTTTATTGGTCCGCTTGACCGGTCCAGGTGCTCGCATCAATGGCAGACGCCAGCCGCCATTAATCAATCCTGCAAAGGTCGAAGCCCACTGAGAGTAGGGTTCCAACGCTTCCCTAAATCTTCCAACGGAAAATTTCAATCATTTAGTTCAATTCTTGCCCATCTTTCGATTAACAACAATAATTTTTATCTGTACAAATGTCTAGTGATTGAATCATACCGATCATAGTTGTGAAAAAAATCGATTCACTAATCTGCGTTATTTGATTGAACCCGGAGATGGAGAATTACATGCATCACAACTTCTTCGAGAGGCGCCCCATAATCAAGTCCAGGGCTCCTGCTGTTAAATGGGTCAAGGAATGGTATGAATCCATCCTCTTAATTTCATATTTTGTGTTTTTTGTTTTTTGTTTTTTTTTTTGGGGGAATATAGGGGGAAGAGTTCAATTTATGCACCCTCGGGTCAGTTGAATCTTCCGGAATATTCAAGAACTGAAACGATGGTTTAATGTTGGAGCTACTGGTATTCAAATGCCAAAAAGAGCTGTCTTTGTTGTTAGCTTCAAACTCCTGTAATTCAGAATTCTGTCTATCGTATGGTTTACACTTACATGTTTCTTCTTTATTTAGTTGTGCTTTATTTTGTTAAATTCAATCCTTTCTAGAGGGTTTGTTTATGAATTAATGCATCCTTCTTTCTGAGTTTAACTTATTCTTTTGTTTCAGGGTGTCACAAGATGTTGTTGCCACTGGAGGGAAGTGCCGCCTTCTAAGATGGGTTAATGGTTGGTTTCTGTTTATAGTTTTCACTTCTCCTTTTAATTTACAGGGTGACAAACATTTTTTTTAATCTGGTTGGAGTGTGGTGTTGGCTAGATTTGATAACGGACATGCATAGTTCCGAAATGATTAGGAATATTTTCTATGGGAGGAGAAGTTTGTTCTTACAAAAGTGTTAGAAATCTTTTAGTCTTTTGGTAGTTTTTGTGATAATGCAAATGGTTTTGTAACATAGGTATCTTTTTGTTGTATTATTCCATTATGAATGATGTTAATCATTTCCTTAGAGTAGCTTCTGGCCTTTAGGGAACAATTTCATTTGTTATGGTTTGTTTTCTGTTTAGGAGATTCATTTCATTTTCTTCTGACTTTCAGAGGCCACACTGAAGGCGATGAAAGAGAAGAAAGAAACTGAAGTACAGGAACCTGAGCCTGAGCCAACCACAGAAGTTTTGTTTCTTTGTAGCTATGAAGGCTGTGGAAAGACTTTTATTGATGCTGGAGCATTGAGGAAGCATTCACATATACATGGAGAGCGACAGTTCATTTGCCACTATGACGGTTGTGGAAAGGTAACGTGTACCATGTTTCCAAGCATATTGTATTGGTTTTTCACAACTGAAGAGTTTGCAAATGTCAGGATTGTTGAAGTGTCGTGCATCCTTTGTTAATCTCCCTGTGATAATTTGCTTTTCATTGGCATCATTCTCCAGGCTTGTGTTTTAAGTTATTCTCTTGTAAGGATCTTGTAGAATGTAAAAAATTCTTGCTTTCTAGGAATCTGATCATTGCTTTTACTTTTGAAGATCTTCGTAGAACTCTGTATTGGCCTTTTATGTTAAAGTTAAAGAATAATGATTTTTTTCCTTCTCATGCTGGATTCAAGTAACCTGCTGATGTAGAATTATGTGCTTTTGCCTGCTCCATCTGATTGCTTCCTGTAGTTAATCATTCATATTGACGTATGGAGTAATTTGCAGAAATTTTTGGATAGCTCAAAACTGAAGAGACACTTTCTCATTCATACTGGGGAGAGAGATTTTGTGTGCCCACATGAAGGCTGTGGCAAGGTAACATGTCAATTTACTCATTGTTACTGCTAATGTGTGTATTTGTTTTTTTTCCTGTACTGAAGACATCAATTCTTTTGGTTGGTCTAGTATTGGTTCTCGCTTTAATATGCCTGCCTATGTCCACACACCTCCTCCTTGTATATGAGGTTTCTAGAAATGCAATTGTAATCCTATAATATAGATCTCGACATAGGTTAAGTATTTTTGTAATACCGATGATAAGTAGTTACGTAATCTTAAAGTACTACTATTTTTGTATGTGTGAGGCTATATTTCTTAAGATGGTGTGCATTTTTTCCAGTTCTTGAACATCCAGCTAAAATGCTCGTCTAGTCAATTTATTTGGTGATTCTTAGTATCTTACTAGTTCTTTACTCTTATTTTAATTCTCTCTTTAATAACTTTATTGCAGGCTTTCTCACTGGATTTCAACCTTAGGTCGCACATGAAAACACATTCACAGGAGAACTACCACATATGCCCATATCCAGACTGTGGCAAGCGATATGCACACGAGTACAAACTAAGAAATCATATCATGTCTCAACATGAGAAGGTCTAGTATTCATCTTATGTTTCCTTGTTTTCTTTATTTCCTGATTTTGTTGGCCTCTTGATTTAAAACTTCTGTTGTGGGCTCTTCTTTGGTGAATCGGCTAAGTTCTACTCATGGTTGCAATTATGGAGCTTTGGTAACATTTTGGTGTTCAATGATTCAATATTTTGAATGACTGCTTAAATATTGATTGTATTGCTGATCATGATAGCTTGCCATTTTTCTTTCATTGTTTTTTATACCGAAAAAGAAGTTGGTTATGTAAAGCATGTAGGAGTTTAGGACCAGATTTTTTGATTTTTGGGCTTGGTGTGCATTTACTTGGATCTCTTTTTTTATCCTGGTTGTGTTGCCGTAGCCAGTAGTTAAGAGAAGGATTGTATAATCTTGTAATCTCCTGTGTTTTCGTATTATCTTATAAAGTTTCCTCATTCTATATTTTGTTCTACATTTCAACAGAATATGAATATGGTGGCAGAACTTCCCAAGTATACCACGCCTGAACAGAAGCCAGTTAAAACTCCAAAAGCTTCTACTGCTGGAGCTTACAACTCCCCATCGTCAGACCGCCCTTATGTCTGTCCATATGAGGGCTGTGAGAAGGCCTACATCCATGAGTACAAGCTGAATCTTCATTTAAGAAGAGAGCACCCTGGGCATTTCAAGGAAGAGACTCCAAAGAATGTCCAACCGACAGCTGGGAATGACGTGGATGAAGCAAGTGATCATGATGCATATGCTGCAAAACGGGGGAATGAAAAAATGCAGAAGCAAAGTAGGCCAAAGCCAAACCTAAAAATGCCTCCGCCAAAAGTTTCTCAACGGAAAAGCTCCAATGCCAATGCTTCTTCGGCAGCAAATTTGAAAAAGGCTTGGTTGCAAAAAGAAGTGTTTGAAGATGATGATAGTGAAGAAACAGAGGAAGAGGAGGAACGCGAGGATAATTGGAGGTATCGTGCAAACGAAGAAGATGATGAAGAGACAGAGTATGAGGATTAGGTTATTATATTTATACTTAGACTAGACTAGTTGATAGTTAATACTCAGGTGCACTTATGCGCCAGTTTTTCCTTTTTCCTTTTTGTTTTTTTTAATCAATGTTGATGATGCACATACAGAGCCAAGGAATTTTTAGCTCTTGTTGTACGTTCATAGAAGCATTTTTTCCCCTCTCAATTTGTTGTAGTTTCTGGTGGGGAATGGACTGCCTGTGCTCTTCTTTTGTCAAATGTGTACTTAGGTAATCTCACTCATTCCAAATTTTCACCTTTAGTTGATTATTGATTAGCTCTTCAATTCTTTTGGGTTACATATTTTGGCACTAACCCATCGACGCGGTACAAATCGCTTTTTTGTTAGATAGATCAGGCACTTCTTACCTAAGGAGCGGTCGATTGTAATTAGTCCGTTCTGTCATATCATATATACTCAAAAGAATTTACAAAGCTTTAGAAAGTGTTTTAAGGCTGTTTCTGCTATTAGATTAGGTTTTTACTACAATGTTGTAAAAAACAAATTGCCATCTAAAAAGTTTTCGGAAAAGAAAAGGAAAAATACTTTAAAACCCCCTTTTCCCCGAATAAATACATTAAATCAGTCCTCAGTTGAAAACACAGTCAGAAGGCTTCTTGATCGTTCTTCCTTCTGACATTGATCCTTAAACCCGTTACCACCCGCTTTTCAGTGTCGGCAGTGACTTTTGCAAACTGATCCAGTTGTAATTCAATCTAAATTGACCCAGTTCCGCCGTTTAAGACGCCACTCCGTTTGGCCTGCGACGATGTAAGTAGTTCAGTACTCAAATTGGGTTATTTCAAAATCGATATGTGTCTGGAACTTTTAAAATTTCTCTATGCAAAGCAAATATAGTTGTAATTAATCATAGAAAGCCAATCCTTCGTGATTCTGAAAATTGTATGTTCTTTGCATATTAGCCTATTAACTGTTTGCTTTAATGTCTGTGTTAAACTTTCCGTCGGATGAAATGTCATTTGTATGACTCGGATTACGGGGTTGGTCAAATTTAGACGTCTTTTTTTTTTCCCACTCCCTTTTCATATTGTTGATTCAAGACTGTTTATTACCAGTTTGAGGGCTGAATTTTGTCTTTTGTATCGATGCTGCGTCTGCCAAAACAGCTCATCCTTGATGATGAATAAAGGAGGCATAGGAGGAGCTGGTGTCGGTGGTGGCGGTCCAACGGCTGCGGCTGCAGTTGCTGCCGCTCAGAAACAGAAGACTTTGTTACAGCGAGTTGATGGTGACATTGGGAACATAGTTGACAATTTCAGTTTCCTAGTTAATGTAGCAAGGGTATTCCTCTTGTGCTTGTATTTTCCCAAATCTTAATTGATGCAATTGGCAAATTACAAGTATTGAATTGGTTGTGGATTCTGAATTCACTTACCTTCTATTCAATCAGTTTCAATTTTTTTTGTGCCTATTGATTTTCGCCTCACCAAATTCATGTCGTTCATTTAGGTCAATGATCCACCTGTTAGAAATTCCCAAGAAGCTTTCATGATGGAAATGCGAGCAGCAAGGATGGTGAAAACTCTTGGCTTTACTTTTCAGATCTAGATAATGAATTACATGCTTGATTATAAATTGTTTGAGGTGCATAGGTAGAAATGAGATTGAAACTGTGGAGTTGTACCACACATGCGAGACTGATGAACTTTTGATAAGTATACTTGTTTTTTGCTGAAAAGCTTCACTTTAGAGGCGGTTAATGATTTGTGCGTGCTAGTGTTGGGCCTATAAATTCATGTTGGTGATGTGTTACTTTCTTAGCATTTGTTGAACTGACGCTTCCTGACAACAGGTGAATGCCGCAGACTCGCTGCTTAAGTTGGTGTCGGAATTGAAGCAGACTGCAATCTTTTCAGGATTTGCTTCCTTGACGGATCATGTAGACCAGAGAACGGAGGTGTTGACACAGCTTGCAGAAACAACAGATGTGATGTTGGCCAGGATTGGAGAGGAGGCAGCTGCTAGTCTGAAAGATCTCGAGTCTCATTACTACTCTTCTGCACAGCGAACAAGTTTGCCACCAATGGATGATAGTTTAGGTCAATAGTCTCTGCATCATATTACCACTACAGGTTTCAGCATTCGTTAAATGCATCTTGTCAATCAGAGTGCATTGATATTGTGTCTCCAAGAAGCAGTGTTGTAGTCTACTAGTTCAAAACCATCTCCCTCTTTATCCTTGGGGTGTTCTGTAGCTATTCAGTTAACAGTTCTCATCGTGTCTGTTCTATGACATCTGGTTGTCCTGTAGCTATTCAGTGAACATAACTCATCATGTCTGTTAAAATGACATCCATTATAGAAAAAGGTAGGTGTGTCGTGTAGTTTTGAGTTATATGACATTATAGGTTAGTGTTCAAAGATAGAGAATCGCATGTTTTCTTCTTTCGCAAAGACAATGAACTAGAGAACCCTTGAAATGCTTGGGAGCTGGTAATTGTAGATTTTTCTCAAATTGTTCAATTAAAATTGCGCCACAATTATTTGGCAAAAAATGGAGAAGTGGCTCCCACCGGCAATGATGAAAATGACCTTTTAAAGCGCACACTACTCAAAATTTGTTGGGTAGAAATGACTCTTTATAGCTTGATTTTTCCCTTCACATATCCGTAAACAATTTCAGTTCTTTCCCTCCAGATGTTCCAACATTCAATAAAGTTTGACAGAAAGAACGAAAAAGAAACAAAATCAAACAAGTTAAAAGGTGGAAACAACATCCGTGACGAATACCCTGCTACACTGTCTCAGACATCCTAAAAACGAGATCCATTTTAGAAGATAATATTGCTCAGCAACTACTACAGATTAAGAGAAAGTGAAAAGAAGATGGGAAGGCATCTCGATTGATGTGGTCAGTGGGACTTCACATACTCCTGGACAATGTTAAGACCTTCAGTCTCTTCCCCATAATCCTGCAAGAAGACAAGAATATAAATTTTGAGACAAGATGCTTTTTCCAGTCGTATTAATTCTCAAGAAGTTTTCCAGGTGTCATAAAAAAAAAAAATCTAGTGTATAGTTAGCAGGGTTTGCAGAATGCCAACCCATGAAAGTGCAGAGCAACTCAGGAATGGAACTACCATGTGAATTTCATAATCACCTATCAGGCTACTCTACAACGATACAAACTTCACTAGAAAGAATCAGTTTACAAATTTTAAAAAAATAATCCAAAGTTATTACCTTCACAACAACACAAGAGCAGCCGACCACCTTCCTTGCGTTGCCTTCAGAATCTATCTTGCACAACTATAGACATTGACAAAGGAAAAAAAACATCCATTAATACTATCAATGAACAAGTAGACAATGAGAATAGACAAAACTATAGAGAAGACCTAAAAGAAGAGACACAAATAACAAAGGAAATATGTCTTAAACTTGCATAATACAACTTTCCATTTGCTAATTAACCAGAAGTTAACAATAATAAGAATAACATTCAGCAAGTGAATACTTACACCAGACCATTCACCAAGAGTCTTGGCGCTTGGAACGGTAATCAAATTGACATTGTGATCTGCACAAAGAGCTTTCACTAGTTTCACATAATCCGGCTGGTCACAATCTTCTGCTAAGACACAAAGCTGTGCAGCATGCTTCTCAATGACTTTGGCAGCTTCGTGGAGACCACGAACAAGCCCTCCGTGAGCCTTTGATTTCTTCAACACCAACTGCAGAGCAGTCATGATGTCCATGGGTTCTCCAAGAGCGGGTGCAGGGGCTTCTGCGACAGCAACATCCTCTCTGTTGCAGCAAAAGATATACATTGGTAAGTATACAGACCAACCAACAAACTTAATCAAACACATGGAAAAGATGCATTTATGCAAACTCTTTCATGAAACAATTCACTTTGACATGAGAACCGAGACCATCAAGATAACAATTTCCATCAGATTAATGTCATCCAATCAAAGCCAAAACTGCTGAAGAAACAAGCTTCTCACATAATCAAATCAATGGTTGAAGTACTTCAGAGAATGAGATTGTCATGCAATGAATGTCAAATAAAACTGTGAAACTCTTGTGGAGAAAAAGTTGTCATGGAATCAAATTAAGCGGGCATTTGGCATCACTATCCTAATGGATAGCAATCAGTGCAGTGCAACAGAATGGAATCAGATATACTTAGCATTTTGTCATCATTCCAAGTCCCTCAGCCATTATGGATTACTGCCACTATTATCATTTCTGAGCCCACAAAGCAAACACCAAGTAAAGAACAAAGCAGGGAAAACTATGTCAGTCAAGCCCAAACACTTCACAATTAAGCCCAGCCACCAAGATGAGTGTTGGAAGCAGAACAGTCAAGCCCAAACATTTCATGATTTGGCCCAACATTTGTGCGAGCAAAGTCACTAGTGAAGGGGAAATAAAAACAAAAGCAACATATTCCTTTTCCCCAAATCTCACATGGTGCAAGACAGGCTAGAATCATCCGCATTGGCATTCTACTATCCTTGCTCCAACTGGAATGGTGATATGAAGCAATGTGTAACTCATGCTTGATTTCATAAATGATTTAACTCAATCATACAATATCAATAACTATTACGTCAAGGCTCATTTCCCAACCATTAATACTCAATTTAATTCCAGATCCCAACATAAATAAGACGCCGTTATGAACCAAACACCACCGAACAATCCAATAAACGGAAGAAGACACAGTTACCAAATACAAGATTCTTTCCAATAGTACTATGAAACATCTTTCTACAAGTTATAAAACTGGTGGCACATATCAACCCCAAAAAATCATCTTTGAATTCATAAATATTGATTTGTTATCACAAATCTCAAATAAACGTTACAACGAGTTTTGATTCCCGAAGCGTTTCAGTTTCAGTTCCCATACAGACAAGACATCATTATGAACCAAACCCCACTAAGAATCCAAAAAAGAGAGGAAGCTGCAGTTACCAAAGATTCTTCTGAGACTACAATGAAACATGTTCCTCCTAGTCATAGAATTGGTGACGCATATCATCCTCAAAAAACCATCTTCAATTTTATATGAATTAATTCATCATCACAAATATCAACTAACCGCTAAGTTTCATTTCCCAACGTGGTTCAGTTTCAGTTCCCAATACAAACCAGACATCATCAAGGACCAACCCCACTAAACAAAGCCATAAACAAGAGAAGACATAGTTGCCAACTAAAAGATTCTTTTAGACTACTATGAAACAGCTTCCTACTACTCACAAAAATGGTGGCACATGTCATCCTCAAAAAACCACCTTTGGGGCGAGTTTCATTTCCCAATCCATTTAAGTACCCAATATTAGTAATTGAACCTAACAGGCCAATAACCAGCAGAAGGCACAGTTACCTACTAAAAAAAAAAAAAAATTCTGGAGACAATTGCTGAAACGTCTTCCTACTAATCACAAAACTGGTGATGCATATCATCCCAAAAACCATTTGCCCACAACAAACTATAAGATGAATAACCCAAATCTGCTCACGGCTAATAATGCAAAAGAAATTTTGCTTAAAAGAAACATTTTCAAAACAAATTTTCAGCAAAAAGGTCATCATCCAAGAGGACCAGTGCACACAAGGATAGAAAACAAAGAAACAGATCCATAAAAAGCCATAGAAATTCAAGTAGGCAGTAACGCTAGTATGACAAATGACCCTTGCTTTCATGCCAAACCAGTGGGTAACCGGAGTTGATTCAGCTAAATTTTGGAATTACGTCAAAATACAGAAGCAAAACTACAACACAAACCACCGATTTGAACGTACCCTGACATCGTCGCTCAATTTGTTGCAAATCCACAAAGCCCTTTTTTTCTGTTTAAACGTAAAACAAATCGGATTAACTCCAACCAAAATCAGATACTTGAAAACCGGTACAAAAATTTACAGTGATGAGAAGAAAACTTTCACAAGATTAATGTAGTAAGAAATAGGCTTACCTGAAACCTTTGAGATTGGAGGCAGCGAATCTAGAAACTGCTCTCAGGAAAACCCAGAAGGACGATACTGAAAGGATACGCGCCGTAGGGGTTTCCAAGGGTTTATAGCTCCGCCAATCTTTTTATTTTTATTTTTATTTTTAGGTTTGTAAGGGGCTGTTTGGCAACTTCGGGGAAAAAAAAAACTTGTCTCTACTTTAAGGAAATGAAATTTTGGGCCCTTAAAGTTTGGTATTTGTATTGGTTTATATTTAATCTTTTTGGTAGTTTCATGTAAAGATCAATTGGTACTTGGAAAAAAAAAAAGTCTATTTAATCGACGATGTGATGAATTTTCCAAAAGAAAACGCAAATTAAATTACTTAATAACGATATTTATCCAGGAAGTGATGAAAGGTGAACTTATAACAATGCAATCACGATGAAGGGATTTATTCTTTGAATGGCTTTGAAACACACAAACAAGATAAGAAGATCACACCGAAGCAAAAACATCACTTTTTGTAACATCCCATCAAAATATTTCTAATTGTGATTGTTAATCATGTTGGAATTTTCGACTTCATCTCATGATGGCATTGGTGTGTCCATCTTTTGCCTGTTATTGTTCATCCTCTTATTCAATGAACCTTTGTTGAAAGTTCCGAGCCAAAATTGAATTGTCTATTTTCGTCACAATTTTTTATTGTCCAATCTACGTAGTAAGAAAACGCCTCCAACTTTTCATTAAAACATTCCATGTATTTCACAACAACACTGTTTCTGGATACATTTGGATCATGACTAAAAGTAGCCATCATGCAGAGAGAGTAAGAACAAAAAAAAAAAAAAGAAGAAGAAAAAAATGAAACACAAGAATGGAAGTAGAGGTATAAAGTGATAAAAAAAAACTGTCATAAACTTTGAAGTTCGGTTGAGTTCAAATTGTATCATTTTTGCATGCGCATTTCGTGGATCAATAAAGATCATGAACAATTAGTTTTCGTTCTTATTTTCTTTTCCACAATTTTGTACTATGAAGGCCATTAAACAAAACATTTAAAATGAAATTTAGGTTTATTTATTTTTCATTACCATGTGAGATAAAATCTAACAAAATACATGCACTCCAAAATGAAAGTTAAGTGGGTGAAAACTATAACGAGTCACCTTGTATACTTATTTTGGTGGTTAGGTCGATAACAAAATCTTATACAGTTTCACACCAGTAAAAAGTTAAAAGAAAAAATGAAAAAGGAATTCATTTTTTTTTCCTTTCCTTAACACATATAGCATTTTCAGACCTGTCGTCGACTTTTAAAACTCGTCGACGAAAAAGTCGACGACAGACTGTCGCCGTCATTGTCGGTCGACGCATATCTCGACGAGACTGATGCTTCTGTTGCTTGCTTTCTCTGTCGCCCGGCACAATATGTAGACTACTCTCAGTTTTTTTTTTTTTTCAAAAAAAAAAAAAAGAAAGACGATTCTCAATCTTCTCCTCTTGGTGATCATCGATACATTATGAAAAGCTAGATATAGAGAGATGACTCCCCAAAAAATTTCGCATTGAATTTTCAAACCATTTATTAGTGATCATCGGTAAATAAAAAAAATAGTTTTAGCAACAATTTCATAGTAAGAAACAATTAAAAAGATTACCATGATTTTTTCCTTTTTATAATAACAAAACTATCTTAAAATTTTTCAAGTACACATAAACATATTGTCGAGGGTAAATCCCGGGGGCGGAGAGTCCACGGTCCGACCTAAACAGGGACCTGCAAGACGGAGGTTAGCACTCCGAAGATTAAGTCAGTTCTAGGGAGAGAAGTAGGCTATTATCACACTTAGAGAGAGAAACGGGAGTGTGGAATTGAGTTAGCAATAAATGAACAAGTAGTATTTATAGGTCCTAATGGGACAATACCTGTGGGCCCCTGTGTAGGGAGGGGCAAAAGCATAAATAAACATGTATTTATTCCTCGTAACCTGGCTGGGCCTTTAGGGAGGAATAAATAGACTTCTTGCTGGATGGCCAGTTGGGCCGGTCAAAGTGGGTCAGAGTTGACCCCCATCACATATATTGTTATATTGTATCTTTTCATCCATGTGATCTTTTTACCTTTTTTTTTTAAAAAAAAATCAAACTCTATTTTTAGTTAAAATAGATAAATAAATTATTATTGGCAGGTAAACAGCTAGATAAATAAATTATTGCGGAGTTGAGATCGTCAAAGTAATTTGAGGACAAAACAAACAAATACTAGTATAGCAAATACTGAAAAGAACATGGGCAAAGATGCAAATATTTCTCCAAAATCATCATTTTTCCTCCAAACACCTTTGTTTTCAACTCACTGTAAGGCTGTACGCTGCGTTTCATAAACAAAAGCAAATTCATCATTAACATTACCCTGCAATTCGGCAATTTGCGAAACAAAAATAGAAATCGAAAAGAAAACGGAAAGAAAAACACACAAAGTTTAACGGAAATGGCCGGTGCATCATCGTCGGCGGCCATGGCAACTTCGGCGGTTACAGAGGAGGAGATGACTTTGACGGTGAAGTGGAGCGGCAAAGAGTACACCGTCAGAGTCTGCGGGGACGATACAGTGGGAGAGCTTAAGCGGCGAATTAGCGAAGTCACCGAAGTTCTCCCCAAACGCCAGAAGCTTCTCTACCCTAAAGCAGGACCAAAGCTCTCCGATGACTCCACCCTCCTCTCCCAACTTCCCCTCAAATCTTCTCTCAAGATGACCATGATCGGGTTCGCTTCCTGCCTTCACAAAACTTCGATTTTGTAATGCTTTTAAATTTTTCTTGAAACTTATAAATTTGGCACCAGGAATAAAACTAGGTTTCAGTTGCAGGATTCTGTGAATCCAGCTGCCTAAAATGTGTGTGTATTCTTTCCGGTTCTTCTGTGAAAATTATCCTACTTATAGTTATGGACAGCCGAATTGTACTTGCCAATTCGTTTGTGGGGTGCTTACAAAATGCTGAACTATTTGCATCCATATATGGATTCTTTCTGTGATTATCAAATCAAAAGTTTAACCATTCTTCAGTGAGTTTAGTAATGGGAAAAAAAGATTCTTTGTCTTGGCCAAATTGAAACTGGATTGGTGATTTTTACACCATTGTGTCGCAGTGTTTATTTAAATAGCCCAAGAGTAGATATGCATGCTTGGGGACTGAGTTTCTGTAGATTGTTCAAAGATGGCATTCTGTTTGTAGTTGTGTATGTGTTTATTTGGACATTAGTTAATTTTTCTTGATTTCTTAAATTTACACATTACCATGATATGAAGTCATGAGTAATTTTGATGATGTTTTCCGGGAAGGATAAAAGTTTAAAAAGCATGAGTCCATATGAAAAAACTTCTTTAATGTAGTTCTATTGTATGAGCATGATGGGCGACGTATGATCCATATAGCCTACCCATTTAGTGGTGCGAAGGATAGTTTTCGTTGATGACGATGTTGTTGTAGGTCTTTTGTTTGATTCTGAGCTGTTTGACTTGTTATTGGTCTGCAGAACTGTTGAAAGTGATTTAGTTTTGGAACAAATGGATGCGCCGGAAATTATGGATGATTTTGAGCTTGGGCAAGATGAAGCAGTGGATATCAAAGACAAAGAAGTTAATAAACAGAAACTCAGACGCCGCATTGAGCAGTGCAAGGTATCTGCCTAAACGCTTTGACATAACCCCACACCAGAAACTGGATTAACCATAAAACCTTATTGTCTACCTTTCTACTCTGTCATAAGCAATCAATTCTGTAAGGAATTGTTTTATTCACCTGATTTATTGGTAAACTTCTCGTGCCTTCCCAGTTCCTCCTCTTTGCATTCAGTCATGTGTGCCACTCCTTTGTTTTGAGTCAATCACTCAGTTGTGGGTTACATTATGTTATTTTGGGGGGAAGATGAAATTTTTATATTTGTCACCTGATGAGAAGGCAGGATAAGCTGCCTCTTTCCTTTCTTTTGGATGTTATGTGTGTATTTGATGACTCCGATACTATGTTGTTATGAACTGTTTACACTCCCTGTTCCTTTCAAACCATTACCCACCTTTGTAGATTTCCGTTTCTAATAGGGGCATAATTCTATAGGAGTGTTAGCGCATTAGTATTTTACTACTAATTCCATGTGTTACTGTGGTTCATTTCTGGATATTGATTATATATTTGACATATAGTTGCAGTAGTCTTCCTGTTATACGTGTAATTAAGTCACTTGCTTTTGACCTTTAGATTGAGCTCCGGAATCCATGCCGAGAAGGTAAAAAGCTGCTTGTTCTGGATATAGATTATACTCTTTTTGATCACCGGTCAACAGCTGAGAACCCCTTGGAACTGATGCGACCCTGTAAGTAATTCCTCTATTCCTTTTTCTGCTTTGTATATAGGTGTGTTTGTTAATAAATCCATTTCTGTGTTGCAGATCTTCATGAATTTCTGACGGCTGCTTATGCAGAATATGATATAATTATATGGTCTGCAACTAGGTGAGTTTCTTGCTTCATGCTCGACTCTCTTTATATTCTCATATGAAACCGCATCCAAGCTCCAAAATTCTGAGCTGCAACATTGCATCATGGGTTTTCAAATAAAGAAGGGTGACCAATTATCAAAATGCACCTAAAAGGACTAAATATATATCACCTCTTCAGAAACAAGGGTAACAGGGTTTTTTTTTGTTAATTTGGGGGGGGTGGGGGGTTGGGTGGGTTTTGTATAGGTTAACTAATATTTTTCCCATCTTCTTGTCATTATAGAATTTGATACTAAAAGGAACCACGCCACCACGGCTTTCTCTCTTGATATTATAAATGCTATTCTGCATATATATTTGGTAATGCTGCCAGTCTGCGTCCCTTGAATTTATGTGATGCTAATCAGTCCGTATTTCCTGCCTTCAGCATGAAGTGGGTTGAGTTGAAGATGAAGGAACTAGGCGTACTTAATCATCCAGACTACAAAATTACAGCACTGCTTGATCATTCTGCTATGATCACAGTTCAGTCAGATACCCGTGGGGTTTTCGATTGCAAACCACTTGGCTTGATTTGGGGGAAATTTCCTGAGGTTGGCACAATTCCTATTTTAGTGCATGTCGGTCAGTGTATGATAGAAAGACACCTCTTTTCTCGAACCTTATGAATCACAAAGGGTGCTATGCATTTTCTTTAATATAGTACTTTCAACTTTGTTTCAGCATAATTCTTCTACTTCTTGTGTGTGTGTGCGCCTGTGTGTGTTCTTTTTGTTGGTTTTTTTTTTTTGGTGAATAGCACGGACAAAATTTTCATTTTGCTGACTCTTCCATATGTTCTTGCTCTCTGGAAATTATGCAGTTCTACAGTTCGAAGAACACCATCATGTTTGATGATCTACGGCGGAACTTTGTGATGAATCCCCAAAACGGTCTGACCATAAAGCCATTCAGAAAAGCCCACGCTAATCGGAGCAATGATCAAGAGCTCGTGAAACTCACTCAATACTTGCTTGCAATAGCAGATCTTGAAGACCTTAGCAGCCTAGATCATAACAACTGGGAGTATTTTATCGAGGACAGTTTCAAGAGAAGAAGACGGCAGGAATAGTTGAAGTCCACTTTAATGATTCCGGAATGACATTCCTTCCATTCTCTGGACTTGGGAGCTCATTTTGCCGATCAATTCAATTGACATAAATATGTTCAATTGTATTTTTTCTTTCTAGGGTGCAACAAAACTTGTGAAGAAATGCATCTAGCCCTTTTGCTGGAAGACTTAGAAACCAAATGAAAATCCTTGGAAGTAGTTATATAGAAAATATCAGCTGGTTGCAAAGAAACTCTGAAAGTGGTACATTACTATTATTCTTTTCAACTCTCTGGATTCACCAGAATTGCTATGCGCTCCATTAGAGTATGTATCCGTCAAGAAGATGAATGTCAGTTCTGAGGTCTTTAGTCCATTAGCTTGTGGAAAAAGACAAGTTTTGCAGATATGTTTTGTGAAGGGAAATGCTCAATGAACTCTATCCGAAGCAGCCATTTTTGCTTTCAATACTCAACTCAAGGACCGTGATAAATTGACAGATGATGTATTAGGTAGACTAACACATGAATACAACTGATTCATGAACACGCTCTCATCGCCAATTATTAACTGTCCTTTGTTTCTCTTGTTGAAGCTTCTCGATGCAAAACCTCAACCACTGTCATACGCTAATGAAGCTCAACCGAAATAAGGAACAAAAAAGAAGACTAGATGAATCTAAAGATCCAAGAGTAAGGTTACAAGAAACATATATTGCGCCTGGATTAAAACCAGCTGAAATTCATCATCTTGTAATTGAAGAAGCTGCATTCATATTTGCAATTTGTTTGACTCAAAAAAACACTTCCACCAAGTATTATATCTACTTGCCATATTGGAGGTGGAGAGCTCAAAAAAAGAAGTAGCTGCCTAAAACCTCCGTACATTTTTCTCTCTCTTTCACAAACCATCAGAAAATATGAACTTCTTCTCTGCCAGCTGATACTGTTCTGGAGTTCTGGCGTGCATTCAGGCAGATACTGTTGGCTTCTAAAGGTGTGGGCAAACAGACTCAAAACTGCCCGACAGAATATGAACCTGCAAAATTAAAAGAAACTCTCATTGTTCACATGCATTGATAAGTCAGAGCATGGGCTTTTCTGAAGATGGCAGCCTGAAGTATCAAATACTAGCACAAAGCTCTCTCTTTCAGATGTCCAAAATCCAAATTATAAGCTTTTATCTGCTTTTGCTATTAAACGATGTTTTTAAACTCTGGTGAAATTGACAGCTTCATTGTGTCTTCATATTGAGTCGTTTGAGTGTCTATTGTGTTTAAATCAAAAGAAATCAACCTGAATGCAAAGTAAAACAAGAACAGAAAGGGGAAAAATTGGCTAATCTACCCTAAGCTTTACATGCGTTGTCAATTCTATCCTATTTTTTTTCGATTAGTCAATATTATCCTAAGCTATTCAACCGTTAGCCGATTTTGTCCAATTTGCTCTTTTCCGTTTAAATTAACAGAATTTTATTTGTTTTAATTATAAAAATACCCTAATAAATTTAAAAATTATAAAAATGACTCCAAAAATTTACAAAAATAACAAAATAATCTCTTTTCAGTTTTTGTTTATTTTTTTTTTGTTTTTAAATTCTTTTTAATATTTTCATAACTATAAAAATATACTATATGATCTTTAAAAAAAACTATTTATTTTTAAACTCTAATGTACAAATTTATAATTTGATATTTGTAAGTCATGTTTAATTTACATAAACATATTATTTTTTTAATAATATGGTTTAACGGTAATGATATTTTTTTTAATCTATTTTTTTCAATCTAAAGAATAAGATTATTTAACTAAAACTAATTTTGCACAAAAAATAACACATTTATCATAGATTAAAAAAGAAGTTATTGGTATACTTTAATGTATTACAATTTAATTCAACAGACTTTAGATTGTATCAAAAAATTTAAAAAATAATTAAAACTAAAATATAAATTTTTCTGTAAAAGGCCAAGTACGAAAAGAAAGTAAAAAAAGAAAACACCTATTTCATTTCTATATTGGCCCAACACAAGAAGATAGTGTCATGGTATTTACAAAAATGGTACAAAATATTTTATAAAAAAACGTTTATATTAATCATTACGAGGGTTTAACATTTTGCGATAATTTTTTGAGATATTAATATATCTAACTTTAGCAAAAAGTCTTTTTTTTTAAAGAAAAAATAATATAAAGAAAATCTATTCCAGTACTGGACTCCACTTTTTTTTTTTTTAAAAAAAATTAGATTGCCCCAGTGAGATTCGAGATATCGAACACAGTAATTCTATCTCACATCCTAAATCACCTGACCATCTAACTCTCTCGCCTTTAGTGGACCATGCTTAAATATGGATAAAATCACTCTCCCTTTAGAAATCCTTTGGTGAGACTTAATCTTATACCTACTCTCATGAAACAGAAAATTTGGCCGACTATTTTTTTAATCTATGCTAAATTTTTTAATTTTTTGTAAAAAAAATTAGTTTTAGTAAAAAAAAAATCTTATTCTTTAAATTGAAAAAAATGGATTAGAAAACTAATATCATTATTTTCTAGCCATAGTATTCAAAAAATTAATATGTTGATGTAAATCAACCATGAAATACAAATATGTATATCTATAAATTTGTGCAGTATTGTTTAAAAATAAATTTTTATTCTAAAAGATCAAATATATTTTTATAGTTATGAAAAATAGTAAAAAGAAATAGAAAACAGAGTAAAAAGAGACTATTTTGTTATTTTTACAAATTTTTTAGGGTCATTTTTAATTTTTAAAACTATTAGGATATTTTTATAATTAAAACTAACAGATTGGACAAAATTGGACAAAATCGGCTAACGGTTGAATAGCTTAAGGTAATATTGGCTAATCGAAAAAGAATAGAGTAGAATTGACAACGCATGTAAAAATTAGGATAGATCGACCAATTTTTCCAAAGAAAGGAATACTGCTCCCCGATGATTTAAAGTGCAGCACTTGGGGCGGATATGTAGCAAGAAACTCGTGTGAGCTTAAATGTGAAACCCCAATTCGAATTTTGGATCCGTAATCAGGGCTGGACCAGCAGCAAATCTCTATGTTTATTGGGAAATACCCTAATCCAAAGAAACAAAAGATAGAAAGACAGCAAAAGACAGATCCAAAAAGCTTTAAAAGAAAAGAAAAACCCGAAAGTATATATTTCGATTTACAAACTCATATGGGTTTTTTTTTTTTTGGGGGGGGGGGCGTTGGAGAAGATTAAAAAAGAGGATTTGCTGGAGGATTGTGGACGGATCTTCTACAAAGAAACTTGGTAGTATAAAAGAATGGACGAATGAAAGGCAGAACAAGAACTATAAAGAGCAGTACTGATTTTTACAGAGGTAGTTGGCTGGAGGATGTGTAAACATTTAACCCAAATGTGACCTCATACTTAACCCAATTAAACCATGGCAATTATTATTATTATTATTTTTTTCTCCCGTGAACTTATTAAACTTGACTAATTCCACATATATATACACACAAGCACATGATTTGTTGAGAAATAATTAACTATCCGGATGAAAGCTAGTCCGCGAATAATTTATGTTGTTCTCCTTAATTTTCAGTTGATTTTCTTGATGATGATATTGTGCTCTTCCTTGATGCATTTTTATGAGTAATTGTTTTTTTAAATCAAATTTTATGAGTAATTATTATGTGAAGAAAGCACGCGATTTTGGCTAGATTGCAGCACTTTGACTGAACAAATCTTAATTAATCTCTACGTCTATCTGCTTAAAACATTGAAAAGGCAAATAATGCTTAAAAGGTCTTAGGTTAGACCAAATTCAGTCCACCGTTCTTCTTATAGCCCATGTATTGGATCTTCCTAAAATAAAGATAAGCGGTCTGGATGAATTAAGGACAAATGAATAGAGGTCAAGCATTGTTTTTCCTCACAGGGTTAGTTGGGCTGGAGAGGTTCTCTCACCAAAATTTATGGTTCTACAACTTTTTACGTTCTCTCACCAAGTAATGAGAGCATTAGGCTTGATTTTCTCTAAGCGAACACTTGGGTCCATCTTTAGATTTCAAGGAAAAAAAAGTGTCAATTTTAAATATTTCGCAGCAAGATTGTCCAACAAATTTGCAAACTGGAAAACAAAACTTCTCACTTTTACTGGAAGGATTATCTCGACAAAGTCAACACTGTCAGCCATGTTGGTCTATCCAATGGGGGTTTTCAAACTTCCGCCATCCACTCTACACATAGCTGATAGTATCATTGTAAATTTTATTTGGAAGCGAGATGCCCAAACTAAAGGTATATATTGGAGATCATGAAAAAAGATTAGGTGGTGCTTGGACAACGTTTTATTTTAGTTTTTGACTTGGATTTGGGAGGAAATTTAAAATGTAATTTAGTTTTTGATTTGGAAAGTATTATAGTATAGTGATCATTATGAAATTAAAATAGTTCAGTTACCGAAATAAAGACTTTACAATAGTGTAATGATCAAACGCAAGACTTTATAATAGTTCAGTGACTAAACAAAATAAAGACTTTACAACGGTTCAGTGACCAAAATGAAGACTTTACAATAATGTAATGACCAAAGGTAATATTTTAAAAGGTAAATTAAAATAATGTTTAGAGAGTGCATTGGGTTTTGTGTTTAAGAGATAAAATGAGACAAAAAGTAAAAAAGAATTCGGAACTAGGCATTTAGCCACTCTTTTTTTATAACAAAAAAAGGTAAAACAAGAGGTTGGACAAACAATTAAATCTGTGTTTCATGGCGGACTAGGATCAAAAGTCATAAAGGAATTCAATCAGGCATTGTCGACAAAAAACGCCTGGAAAATATTTTTTTTAAATGGAATCTCTAATTTCAAGAGTATATTGGGCCAAATACTATTCTACAGAATAATTTTCTCAGAACCAAGCACCCAACAGTACCACCTGGGGATACAAAAGTGTACTAGCGGGGGTTAGACTCTTAACAGCATAACATCAAATGGAAAGTTGTCTCGGGAAGGAGTATCTACATTACTGATGATTGGATTCCGAATCACCCAAACTCCATCCAGCATGGGTCCTTTTTGATAACGCACTCAAATATTATGGTCAGTGACCTCATTTGTCCATGGACAATGGAAAATCTCATTCCTTAGATCCATTTTTCCTGATCATATTATCCCACACATCAGTGGAATCTTCATTGATCCAGCCGGAGCTTCACTAAATGATAAACTTCTTTGGTTGAATACTTCACATGGCAAGTACACAGTATAATCTGGATACCACACTGCATTGAATGATAGTACTCATTACTTGCACCAACATCATTAACAATAGCATAGGGAAACTCGAGCTTAGAAGAAATTATGGAACCCTGATGTGTAGCCGAAGCATAAAATGCTTTTTTGGCGGGCAGTTCTGAATGCTCTGCCATCCAAAGAAGGGTTGCAAAAAAGGGGAGTCTAAGTGGATCTCATGTGCCCAGGTTGCTTCACCCATGTAGAAGACAACTTGCATCTCTTCTTCCAGTGCCTAATTTCTCAGGTAATATGGAGTTTAACTTACCCCAAATTCCAATCAATTCTAAATGGAAATGCCACAAGTATGATAAGTTTCTATTTCTTGCATGTTGTGTTTTATGCATGGTAAATGGGGGCCCTTCACCCAACTCACTAGTGTCTAGAATAATTAGCCACTCCAACTCGTTTCTTCATCCTCTACTGTTTTTCCTTTTCCGCAATCTTCATTATCTAGTTTGATTACCTAGGGTCTCGGGTTGTAGATGGTAAGGAGGTTTAGCAGAGTTCTGAGATTGTGTAAGATTGTGTTTCGCAGACTTGAAAGAGTAGTATAAGGTTTTACAGACTTGAATTTTTTATTTCCTATTTCCAATAGTGTTTTCAATGTATGAAAATGAGTTTGTTTACACTAATGGGAAAAGGCTGCTTCTTGTTGTCGTTTGTTGTTGTTACGCTAAGCTTAGATAATAAGAAATGGGAGGCAGGTCTTTAGGGTAATGGAAGAAGCTAAGAATTTGTTTGGGACTTCCTTCAAGTCGATTTTCTCTTTAGTACTAGTTCGTGGCGTATTTTCCTGCAGATTCTGTCTTTTCTGGCACATTTGCCCTCTCACCCCTGTTGAAATGTTTTTCTTTTTCATTCTGAAAATCTTGTACTTTTGTTTCCACTTCCATTCACTAGAAACTTACAGGTACTCCTTTTTCTGTTTCGCATGCTGTATTTGTCAAGAGTAATGACGTTCTGAGGTCTATAGTTCACTTGCTTCTGGAAGAAGATAAACGGATGAAGTAATTTGTAGAGTTGAGCGACAGGCCAGCGTTCCCTGTCTTGGTTAGGTTGACGAAAACACCAAACTGTATGATTTTGAACAATCTGGGACTTCTGGGCGTCCAAGTTTTTCAGGAAGAAGAAGGCCACATCTGTGAGTTCCCAAAGCTCTAAAGGAAGATGCTCAATCCGCTGTAACTCCCAAGTTGCCATTTTTGCTTCACTAATCAACTGAATCATCCTAACAGATGATATTAGATATTAGTGATGATTAGTGAACCACATCTACTATCCATTGAAGGGCCGCCATTTGTAGTTATGATAGATCGGTTCCTTTTTACTAACTTTTCTGTTCTTTGAAGCTTTCTTAATGCAAAATGACGACAAGGATTAAAAAGTTGTGGAGCAAGGTGACAATTATATCATTTAGTGAATCATCATTATGGAACGGAGGTGCTAGTAGATCATCTACTTTTGATTGAGTGATGACAACATAATAATGTTTCACAGGCGAAGGAAAAAGAAAGTAAAAACAAGAAAACATTTGCAATGGTAAAAAAGCAACATCAAGTATGTTTCGCAAAAAAAAAAAAAAAAACAAACAAAAAAAAAAACAAACAAACAATTAACTTTTCTAAATGATCATTATTTTCTTTTAAAAAAGAGTGTCACTCCCTCTATTCTAAAATTATTGTCCAGTTTAAAATTTCAGTTTTAGTACAATTTGAACTAGAAATGAAAACTCAAACTGAACAATAATAATAGGATGGAGGGAGTACTTTTTTGAACCATTCAAAACAGATAACAACCAAAACCATTGACTAATAAGAAATTTCAAATTACTTTCATAATTTTAATACAATTTGGCACTTAATAAAAAATCTATTTACTATTAGGGTTTCGATCATATTATTCTACTTGATTCGTTTCGGTTGTTGCAAAGGGAGGTTTTTGTCTTAGCTGAAACACAAAAAAAAAAAAGTACTGTAAAAGAATTAACCGAAGAATGGTGCGATGGAAAAAGATCTAGAAAAAAAAAAGAAAAAATAATAGATTGCAATTTTAATTATGGCGTGACAAATTAACTTACGCCTTCATCTAATAGCACCGGTGAACTCACTCCTGTAAAATGTACTCCTCACCCCAAGGATAGTCCTCTACCTCACTCTAATTCTAATACTGTAAACCTGAGAGAAAAAAATGGAGAGAAAATGGAAGTTTGGTGAGAATTTCAGTGCCCCGCTACTTTCTTCAGGAGCAAGGTTTGTGACTATTCAGACGAGCTGTCCCTAAAGAAAGTAGGACGCACTAGAATTCTCACCATAATAGCAATGGCGATGCTGTCCGGAGACTTCCGGATCTTGCTCCAACGCTCAACCGTGCCAACGAGGCCCCCTTGCAATGTCGTCTGCTCGATATCTTTGCCTCTTCGTATGTCGTGTTAATTATTTACTCCTATTCTCTTTGTCTTGTTTTCTTTAATTCGTTCTTTTTTATTACGTTGGGAATACTCATTGCTGGGGAATTCGCTTTCAGATACATCGAGTATATGGAGCTAATACGTGCTGATTCAACTGTGTACTTGATGCACGAACGCATGATGGACGGAGCTCGTTTAACGGGTTTTCTATCCGTGCTATTGCACTTGGGGTAAGATCCATGCACTTTTGTATCTTCGATTGGATTTGTTCTTCGATCTGTTCACCTTTAGTTTATTTTTTAATTTGATTATCCAAGTTTTTCACTTCTATCTAAAGCAGCAAAATAGGAATAGAACCCCCCTCTTCCCCCTCCCCCCATTTCGAGGAAAATATAGGTTTACTTGGAATTGCAATTTAGTAATATCGATGGAATTCTTTGTTGGCTAGGGTAAACAGAAATTTAGTTACTTTGTGTGGATGATGAATGCTTTGGGCTTTGATGTTTTGGAGAAGGTTGGTACCTTTTCTTTCATTAGTATTATCATTCTATTTCATTGATTTAGGTTGGAGTTTTAGGTTGGTTCTTTCATTGACTTAGTATTATCATACTTTCATTGATTTTGGTTGCCATCAGGTCACTGATGTGTTGCCTAACTATGGCATAGTTGCTAAGAGGGTTCGCGTCTCTATATCAGTTGATAACAGTGTGATCTTGGGTGCTTATAAGGTCACTGGCTGTTCGTTCAATGTAGGTTTTCTTTTTCAAAGTCTTTTAAGTGTTGGAATTGGTCATCTGTGATACATATTGACTGCATTTTGCAACATCTCCCATCTTAATCATTTTGGTCAAGAAGTCGATTAATATTCCAGTATTTCATGCTATGATTTGACAAATATCAATTATCCATAGAATTTCATTTTCATGCCACGTGAACTAAGCTACAGTATTAAAGTGCTTGACATGCTCAGAATTGTTATTGATCAATGGATATATTAGATGCTGCTTATTATTACAGCAAAAGAAGATCAAATCACCAATATTACTTAGTTTTAGGATATAGTTACATAGTTGCTTATTGGTCTTATCCTTAACCTTTGCTGTTGTATGATAAAAAAGAGAGTTAATCAAACTCAAAAACATTCTCCATACCTTAAAGGTACAACATACTAGAAGCCACCATCCCTTGCTATGAATGTATGTACTCTATTAGCCACCAAACTCCAATTCTTAAAATCAGGATCCTGAGAATGACATTGAAATAACTCATTTGTTAGGAGGAGATTAGAGGAAGAAATGAAGAAATGAAGAATGCATCACACAAGATAAAAGAGATTGAAAAACACTTTGATTTACCTATAAACATCTAATTTAGAGCTCTCTCAGAAAATTTTAGATTGATATGATTTCGAATAGAACTTGAGTTAGATGTGAGTAAATCTAAATAAAATTCGTTTTTTTTTTTTTGGTAAGGAATGCGTGAGTGACAGCTCCCTTTACATTATTGTAGTTAACTAGTTATGAAGCAATTACTTTGGAAAATGAGCAGAAATTAGTTCGTAAGTTTTGTAGTTTGAGGGTAATTTTTTTAGCTATTATTTTTCTCTATATATATAAAAGAAGCGACTAATGATCTACTCGACTGAATAGTTTAATTAATAATATTAACCGTCAGATTACAAAGATTTACCATGACCATAGGATTAAATAAGATATACCATAAAGAAACCTAAACCATCAAACACTATTCATATAGTAACAGTCTAATTTACTAACCGTCGCCGCGGATAATATGATGAGTCCAATTAAAATTTAATCTTATTTTGTTCATGTCTATTCCTACGAAATTTTTTTTAAGTGATGAAGAAAACTAAGATTTGAATAGGAATATTTTAAATCTAGTTTATTCATTTGAATTGTCAGCGGATTCTATTCTTTAAGGTTTATGGGATGAATGAATTAGTCCCAGCAGTGTAATTGATAAGCCAAAGATTTCGATTCCCGTCCTTTCAATGTCGTAACAATGATGCATTATTACGTTTAATTGAAAGCAACAGATCGGATTTTCTCTCCATCTGATTCCTTTATTAGAGGTTGATCAACAAATTTTCCTCTCCAACTTAAATAATGTTCACTGTAAACTAGCTGATCAGCGGGTCAAAAAATAATTTAGAATTTAATAGGAAATTTCTCACCCCACTATTACATATGTGTGCCATATTTTGGTTGGATTCCAATAAAAAATCAACAACTAGACTATAGAATTTTCCACACACGTATATACATATATTGATTTGTAATAACCTATTGATTTTCTTAATTTAATTTTTGAAAATTCCAAATTTAATATAGTCACTCCATTTTATGATTTTTTCTTTTTGAAGCCTATTAGATTTTTTTTAGTAGGTGTTTTTAAGTATTTTTGTATTAGGAATATAAAAATGTATATCTGAAATGTAAAATGGTATGTTGGGAGTTGGGACAGTTAATTAATAATTTTAGAAAAACAATAAAAAAGAAGCTCCCAAACAGAGCCTAAACTTTGTAAAGATTAAGGCATTCATAGTTGATATATTTATTTTGTTGGGTTGCTTAAATTTAGGAGCAACAAGATAGGAAAATATCCACTAAAAGTATTGTTTTTTTATTTTTGAAACTGAAAATGTAATCTGAAATCTTTTATCCAATCAATATGTATTTTCAAAAAAAAATTCCCCCTTTTTGCTATATTAGTTAAGAGCCATTAGTTGATGACATACTGTAAATATGAATATCTCCATGCATACGAATATCCAGATCGTCAAGGTAGAATTAAATTTTTGATGAACTATTTCACGTATGCAGAAGGCAATAAATAAATTAAGAAGATTATTAAGAATTGCAAAATGAAAACTTAAAGGAGAGAAAAAGTGGAACGTTAAACGGAGCCAAATGCGTGAGCTTTGAATTCGTAACATCCCATAAAAGAGGCAAACACTCAACTCACTAGGCAGTATTCTTCAGTCTTTTACTAACCTAAAACATTTTGCTAACTCCCAAAATTCTCGTTTTGTTTCCTTCCTTTAATTCCTGTTTTGTGGTCACATTTATTTGCCATTTTTATCATCACTTCCTTCCTTGCAAGACTCCTCTTCTTCTTCTTCTTCTTCTTTGTACCATTCATCATCATCCAACACTCACAAATTAGTAATAATTTTTTGATCAGATTGTCATAAAAAAAAAAAAAACACAATCAGCTGTCTCTCTTTCATTTTTCCTTGTCTAATTATATGATCTGATCCTCTTAACCAACTCAAGATTCTCCCTTTCTTTGAAAAAACAAAAAAGTCCTGTTTTCTCCATAACACTAAGCTATACCGCACTCAAAAAAAAAAAAAAAAAAAAAACACTTGTTTCTTTCCACTCAATAACAACAACAACAACAACAACAAGCACAATTAAACCCCCCACTTCCCACATCGATGAATGGTGACCCATTCTGTTATAAATCCTCTGTTTCATTTCATTTCGATGAAAGATTAATGGGTTCGATTCAGATTTTGGTGTTTTGTCTTCTGTGTTTTGCTTCTTCAACGTGTAAGTTACTGTTTTCTTACCCATTCCTCTTCTTCTTTCTTGCAAAGTTTATGTTGGATAATAATGTCAGTCAAAGTGTAATAAACGAATATTAAGGGGAGAACGGGGGTGTGATGAATTAGTCTTGATGGCTTATTATTATTTATTTATTTAAATCCATTTAATGGTGAATTTCAGATGGGTATGATCCATTGGATCCCAATGGCAATATCACAATCAAATGGGATGTCATGCACGATGATCAGAATACCCAAGTTGTAAGTTTTATTTCATTTCAATTGTATGACTAAATATATCACTATTTGGCTAGCTACTAAGAATTTGAAAAGAATGTTCTGTCTTGATTGTTTTTTTTTTTTTTTCAATTTTGAGAGCACCATTCCCTGTAGTCTGTAGATGAAGACATTAACGCTGTTGTTTTCCCAAAATTGTGATGTTAGAAGACTGCAATGTTTGAATAAATTTCAGTGAACTTGTTTGATAGTGTGATTAAAAATTGGCAACTTTTGCACTGTTCAATGGCGACCCTTGTAAGAAGTGTTTCTGTAAAGTCTACCATTTGAAAGATTTTGAGTTTGCTGGAAAAACTTTTGTGGCAGGTTAGAGTATCCATATTCAATTTTCAGCTCTTCCGGCACGTAGAGCAGCCCGGATGGAAACTGACATGGAACTGGACTGGTGATGAGGTAATCTGGGACATGACGGGTGCTGAAACTACAGAACAAGGGAATTGTTCTGCTTTTAAGAGTAAACAACTCCCACATTGTTGTGATAGGCAACCTGTTATAGTTGATCTTCTGCCTGGAGCCCCATTCAATAAGCAAGTTGCAAATTGTTGCAAAGGAGGGGTGCTGTCATCAATGACCCAGAATCCTTCGAAATATGGCGCTTCTTTCCAGATGACCATCGGTAGTTTTAACGCGAGTGTGAATGGCACTACAGGCGAAGCTCTGACAGGTTTTCCGCAGAACTTCAGCATTGGACTTCCTGGTTATACATGTGGAGAACCATTGCAAGTCCCTCCTAGTAAGTTTATTGAGGATCGTGGCCGGCGAAGGACTCAAGCTCTTGGTAAGCTGGACAAATCAATCACACTTTGTTCTTTTCTTTTCTCTCTTTTTTTTTTTTTTGATTGAGTTGGATGGATTGTGAAGAGATTGTTTTGGAATATGATTTTGCAGATACATGGAATATTACTTGTTCATATTCACAGTTCAGGGCAACACCTACCCCAACCTGCTGTGTTTCCTTATCCGCTTTCTACAATGACACAATCATTCCATGCCCTAAATGTAGTTGTGCTTGCCAAGGCCAACCAACAGCAAAATGCATCAAGTAAGCTGTCCTGTTTTTCGCATCAATTTTTCCGATTCAGCAGTTGTACATTATATTAATTGAGATCGTCTACATGAATCATGCTGTATGTTGCTGTTGTAATACTCTCTCTGGCTGGTGCACATTTTCATACAGTTTTTCGAGGGTTTTTTTTTTTTTTTTTTTTTCCGCAATGAGATTCTAATTGTGGAGTCCTGATTAATGGCCGATTCGGGTGCAGCCCTGGTGAACTGCCACCGGTGTTGCAGCTACACCACAATGAAGAACCACAGCCGGTGGTAAGATGTACGCCTCATATGTGTCCGATAAGGATTCACTGGCATGTAATGCTTAGTTACAAGCAGTACTGGAGAGTGAAGCTCACAATCACCAACTTAAACTTTGTGAAAAACTACACCGATTGGAACCTAGTTGTTCTGCATCCAAACCTCAAAAAAGTTACCCGGGTTTTCAGCTTCAATTACAAGCCCATAAATCAATATGGGGCACTCAGTAAGTGCCATTCGATCATTCTCTTTTTTCGCCGTCTCATAATAATAGTCATGTTTCTAAACCTTCGTCCTGTAACAATCGTTGTCGATTTTTTTTTTTAATAATTTTTCAGATGACACGGGGATTTTCTACGGGATTGAGTACTATAATGACATGCTTCTGCAATCAGGGAAGACTGGAAATGTGCAGACTGAACTATTACTCGAGAAAGATACAGGGTGGAAATTCAGTTTTGGAGAAGGATGGGCATTTCCAAGGAAAATATCATTCAATGGGGAAGAATGTGTGATTCCACAACCAGATTATTACCCTACACTTCCAAATTCAGGGCCATTTACTGCAATTGCGTTACCTCTCTCACTTATTGTTCTAATAGCATTTCTTGTACTCTATAGAATGACCTGAATTTCACTTATTCATCCATGATATACTTAGTTTAGTAAGAATAAGACCATAATTTATGTAAAGATTCATCCATACATTTTAGACCCTTCTAATTGGTCAATTTTCTATTTTATACTAGTATTTCGAGTTGGGATCTCCTGTCGCACTTTATTTGTCCCACCCTAAAAACTTTGTCTTATCACTTTACCCATCGGGCAAAATCAACCAACCATATTCATGTTCTTAGTTGGATCCCTTTCAAGGTAAAACAGGAATTTTGATCCTTAGGCTCAATCTCATGTTTTGTGCAAAATGGAATCCATAAATCTCTTGCAGCCCCTCGGCGGCCATATCTTCAAAACTGAGACGATGCGCGGATGAAAAAGAAAAACAATTTTTTAAAAATAATTGAAAAGCTTGTGCGGCTTAATAGTTAATAGTACTGCGTAGGAAGCTGAACTAATTACCACTAGAACGTAATTATAAGTCTCTTCAAACTTAAACTCATACCTTAACTTAAACACAGTGCTTGAGTTTAATGCAATTTTCTCCAGTTGGGATGAATTTGAAATGGGAATTTTTGCATGCATATATATATATATATATATATAGCTGCTGCCAGAACTTGGATTAGTTATTTGAATCAATATAAAAGGGTTTCGATCAATAATAAGGTATGTTGTTGCCTTTTTTGGTTCCAAAATTTTTTGTTTTTTAAAAATAAGTTGTTCTTATGATCAGGGTTTGGCGCCTTAATTCCTCTAAACAACTGTCTTCTCCTCCGTTTTCAGAACCACCGTCCACCGCCGCGGCGCCACCACTAGGAGGATTTCTAGAGAAGACGAGACATGGAACATAAAGTTTGTGTGACCGGAGCTTCTGGGTTTTTAGCTTCTTGGCTGACCAAACGACTCTTGTTATCCGGCTATCATGTCACCGGCACCGTCTTGGACCCAGGCATATTTTTACTACATTGAATTTTGTTTTTGCCGAATTCCCATCCCCTTTTACCATAGCTTTTTTTTAATCTTTATAAAAACAGAGATACCCGGGGAGGTTGATCATCTATGCAGATTGGAAGGAGCAAAGAAGAGACTGGTGTTGGTAAAAGCAAATTTAATGGATGAAGGCAGCTTTGATGAAGCAATCATGGGCTGTGAAGGCGTGTTTCATACTGCTTCCCCTCTGTTAGGCCGGCCTTCCTCTGTTCCTATGGAGGAAATTGTCAAACCCGCTGTTGATGGAACTCTCAATGGGCTCCGGTCATGCAAGAAAAAGAGCGTGTTGTTTTGACTTCCTCGGCGGCAACAATCCGGGCAAGAGGTGATTTGGATGCCAATGAATATGTCTCCTGGATGAGTCTTCCTGGAGCTCTGAGCAATTTTGGTTTTGGTTTGGATACTTTTTTTGATTGTTTGATTTATTTATACTTAGTGATTCGAATTTTCCAATCAATTGCAAGATTTGGTATGTGCTGTCTAAGACTCTGGCTGAGAAAGCTGCTTGGAAATTCTGTTAAGAAAATGGGATCGATTTGATCACGGTTCTGCCTTCTTTGATTATCGGTCCTTGTCTGCCTCGAGATTTAAGCTCAACTGCAATCGACGTGCTGGAGTTCTTGAACGGTAGGTATCCAAATTCCGATTCTGTGAAAGCCAATCTAAGATTTATGAAATTATAACACAAAAAACCAGAGTAGGTAATAGATACATCACTATCTTAGAATTAAGAAGCATACTTATTGGGTTTGGATTTCGGTACTAATATAGGCAAAAAGGAGAAATTCGAATGGCGTGGAAGAATGGGATATGCCCACATTGATGATGTTGCTGCTTGCCATATCTTTGTTTATGAGCAAAAAAGGTGCTCAAGGACGATACCTCTGCTCTTCAACAGTTGTTGAACCTCATGAGCTTGCTGAAATGCTGTCGAATCGCTATCCAGGGCTCCTTATTCCCAAAAAGTATGTTTTCATACTTTTGATTTATGAATGAGAAAAAAATCTCTGCAAGCAATGGTGGGTTAGGTTGGGTTGGTTGTGATCTTATTCCTGTACTTGTTTCATTTCAGGTTTAACAAATCTGAAGATGAGTTGTTTTATGACTTCAATACATCCAAGCTACAGGCCTTAGGATTCACATTCAAGTCCATCCCAGAAGTGTTCACTGACTGCATCCCGTCTCTGGTTGAGCAAGGCCACCTTTCTCTTTCTCCTCCGCCATCCTCAGCTGAAAGCAGCAACTGAAAGCCTACACAAATTAATGGTCGTCGCTGTACACAGATTTTCCGTGAAGGGTACTGTATTTGCTGTTCTTATTTGATGGATTGAACAGGTGAAATCGTTAAGAGGAATTTGAGTTTGATCTTACATGGATTTGAAGTTTAGTTTTGCTAATCAAACGTATTGTTTACGCAGGTTTTGAGAATTGATCATGAGTTGATGATACAGGTTTTAGTGTCTTACCTATGAAGTTGAATGACACGAGTTTTTTCAGCATTTGGAAACCGCGACGTAAGAACAAGTTGTTCTCTTCCTTTACCTCCTTTTTCTACTGCAAATTCGATGAACTTTAAAGTGAAACACATTTATCTCTTATTATGTACAAACTCTCATATTTAAGCTCCTGGGTGTGCACGATAGTTTTCGAACTTTGAAGATCAATTACTAAAGGAAACAATCTCATACTTGAGCAAATGGTCTTCTACCTGAACTTCTTCACTGCAATGTAGTCGACATGAAGAACCTATTTTCCTTAAAAAGACAGATTCTAAAACTTCAGAAAATGAACTTTTATACAGTGTCACAAATTGACTGGAGGGAATACACAAGGGAGGAGCTCATTCAATTCAAAAAACATTCAAGAATGTTTCTAATATTTAAACATCAGCATCAAACGACTGAAAATTTTATAGTGTGCACTAGGACATACATGAATTGATGAATACAATAAGAATGGTCATATTCTTCAGAAAACCACCTCAGGTAAGTCAATTGCCAAAAATGTCAATTAAGCGGCAATGACAACCAGGTGCACTGGACGGCTACAAAATTAAAGTAACTCTCAGAAAAACAAAACTTAAGTTAAAAAGGAAGGGATTACCAGAATATTCAGTAATCTCGCTCATACAAGGCGATTGGCCTAATTTGTAAAACCTGGAAAATCACAACTATTAGAAGCGCTCCGCTCCCACTTGATCCCTTTTTCACTAAGGAGACTGCCATCATGTCACTGGCAAGGCAAATTAGTTGACAATTGTCTGGAGGCAATGTAGAAGTCCTAGCTATATGTACAATCAAATGTTAAGTTGGCGAGGAACATCAACCCGTGCAGAACTAGTATCTTTTTGTTTCAGAGAAAGGTTTGCAAGCTGTAAATCAAGATCTTTACTGCTACTGCGTCGATGACCAGATGTCTGATGCTGTTGAGATTGTTGCTGCAGTGGCTGTGGCTGCTGTTGCTGATGATATAGGGATCGTAATCTTCCTAATTCCCTCTCCAATACCTCATGCTCAACTACAAACAGTAAAGACAGGGTCAGTTACTGAAACAAGAATTACTTACTTTATAATCAAGTGCATCATAGGCACCCAAGAATTTGGTCGCATGTGATGAACGATAACTCTACCAATTTGGTACAGATTGACAAGCTTACAAACCCAACCCATTAAATAAAGAATTAAAAAACAGTGAAGTTCTATTACCAAGAACAGGTCAAAGCTTGTTATATTTTGATAAGCATCTCTATTTCCAAAGTAATATGACATACGACTTGTATAGTCCATAAATATGAGAAAGGTTTTAGCATTAGTTTCCAACTCCAAGGCCAGGAATGGAGTTCAATGGTGGGAAAAAGTAAAAATGCAAAAAAGGAGACAAACTTTTCCTTGTCTCAAGGACTACTAGAATCAGAAAGCTAGCTAACTAGGAGAGAAACAGGTGAAAGGACGAGTGTAAACAGGTGAAAGGGCCAGTCTAAAAAGGACATTGTAGGTCTAAATAGAAACTATTAGTTATCTTCAGAGTAAATGCAAGAAAAGCTAACCGAAGCAGGCTTGTCTAGCAATCATGGAGATTCCAATTTAATAACTTAAGCAGGCGGTACAATGAACAACAATGAGAAGCACTCACAAGCTGAAGATTCAACACTAAGAAAAAAAGCATCACTATCCTATATCGACAGAGAACTAAAATTGACTATAGATGACAACGTAAAAAATCAAGCGAATGAAAGTAAAGTTGCACCGAATGTAGGCTCACCGTATTTTATAAGCTGCTCCTGAGCTAAACTTTCTAAGCGTTGCTTTAAAGCCTTATTCTCCATACTGAGAATAAGATGTTGCTGGTTGAGAAACTCAAGCTCAGCAGAAACCTCAGAACCTTCTGCCTGTGTTCAATAAAATCAAAGGATGTAACAATTTGTAGTAGTCTAATAATTCCTCAGAGGCATACTCATTTCAAGTATCAAGGAAATATGATAACACTTGCCTGTAAGGCTTGCACGTTTCTTTCCAGCTCAGCTATGTACTGTAATTTCCTAACCCGTGAACGCTGAGCAAATTGCCTGCAAGTTTAAACATTTTAAATCTCAAAAAACAGTTAACACACTTTAAAATGAAAAGGAAATAAAATAAAATTGAAGATTGTGTGTATTAAAGATTTAGATAAGCTAAAGCACAGTGGGTTTATATCTTAAAACTTAAACAATAGTTTCCACAAAATAGGTAACAGACGTCAAGTTTAATCATCAGAGATAGTCTTTTCAGCAAATAAAATTTAGTGCACAGAATACCTCCCAACTTCAGATTATTATATATTACAAAAGCAAGCAAAACGTGACACAGATGCAAAACGTAGATAAATGAAAGCATGAAAGGGAAGTATTAAGCAGAAGATAGTGAGACTAACCCTGGTTTCCATTTTTTAAACAACACCAACAAGTTGAAAACTACAACTCATGTTTATCATGGTCCAAAAACAAATTCAAGTTATCAGATAAGTAGACCTACTGCTTTGCACGTTTGGAGTCGGTTTCAGATGCAGAAGGCTTTCCATTAGAAAGATCCTTTTTCTCGGAAGACCCTTTAAGATCCTGGGGGCCAGAGTCACCATCATGCTTATCTGAAGCAGTGGATGGAAATACTTCAGATTCTTGTTGAGCACGTGACATTCCTGAGTTTTGAAGAATGTTTCCAGAAGGAGGAAATCCACGCAGATGAGTGAAAGAGTTTGTCGACGCATCCCACGCGCGATTTTTATATTTTCCAAAAGCATTGAAGTCTGGAACAAAAGGACGCTGAGCATCTCTGTAATGATCAACCTCTTGAGATCCCCATGAAGCGACCGGCATCATATTATGAAATCTGATGTCATCTTGAGTTACATAATCTGCACCTACAGCATTAGCTGCATCAATGTATGCAAATGAATCACTTGATGAACGCCGATGACCACCTCTACGTACTGGGGTTTCTGGCTCGTTAAGGAGTTCATCTAACCAAGAAGGCTGCTCCTCTATTACTAAGCTTTCAGAGGAAGTCCGTTGATGGTTTGAGTACCCTTCCCGCGCTTTTATGGTACCTTTTTGCCCTATCACTGAACTGGGGATATAATCAACAAATGATGGAGCAGTGCTAGGAAATGGACTTTTAGGAGGCAAGAGAGAGTTCCTGCCATTCAACATCATGTTTCTCATGCTAGAAGGCCCTTTAGAATTAGACATGGCCCGCACTACCAATCCCTATACCAAAAATAAGAGAAGGGCTTAGATAATGAAGCAACAATGGCATGGCAAGAGCCAAAAAAGAAAAAGAAAAGAAAGGCTACAAAAAGTCAAGCCTAAGCCACTAGCTATCTGGATGGAGCAAATGAACATCCAACAGCCAACAATTACTTTTAATGAACATGGATAGTAATCAAAGGAAATCAGCAACAGATGCACTCAAAGGCAGTAAGCTTTCAGATTGTCACGTAAAAAGATCAATTGGAAGGAAACAAAATCAATAAGATGGCAACAAGAAAAATGATGAAAATAAAGGGAACACTCATTTTTTAGAGAATAAAACCTAGTCAAAGGATGCAGAAGAAATATATCCATCTAAATGACTGCCTCATAAGGACCTAAATTTTTTGTAAAGATCAATTTCATTTCTTCCAGGTACAAGGATCTGATTTTAATAGATTACTCTTTATAGCACTACTCTTGACTCAGTTTTCGAAATTTTAATAGCACTCAGAAGACATATGCAATCCTGCTGAAGCTCCTAATAAGCAAAATTGATGGAACCAATCAAGAATTATTAAGATGAAAATCAAAATATTAGTAGAGCCATACATGGTACTCTGGTTAGCCCTATTTGACCAAATCACACTTTAAAATTTATACAGGAGATTACCACTTCGCCAGTGTATTAATTGAACATTAACTACTCATTCCCGGATGAAAGACTCCCGTACATAACTTGAAAATATCTTCAAATCAAATTAGAACTAGGTAGATAAGATTAAGACAGATTGAGACTCCCAATTGCATCACAAACTTAAAACAAGGACAAGACTGAGAAGAACATAGAAAGGGAATCAGCAATCACATAACAAAAGAGTAAGAGAGCATGAAAGGATTTGATTTCCTCTAATCTTCAAAAAAACCAAACCGATAAAAGAAAATACTACAAGAACACGAACAACCAAATCTCAAGCTTCCACACTTCATCGCCACCGTTCGGATTCTAATAATCCCTTCCGCCAGCTCCCAATGCAACATCCCAAAAAAGAATAATAAGAATACTCAAACTAAGACGTTATCGGGGGGAAAAAAAGTCATCTTTGCCAGAATTTCCCCTCCTCTTCTTCCACATTCCCCGGCAATCCCAAATGAAATTACTTGAATCCCAAATCCAAAAATAAAGGGAAAGATTAAAATCCAATCACATACATTACAAGATGGCGGTGACATGAAATGCTGACCTTATTCTGTGTCTTCCGCAACAATAAGATCTTCAAACGGTGAGGTGATCTGGATATTCAATCTGGGCAGGAGTGTTTTTGTGTTGGGCTAGGGTTAGGTTTTGCTCCTCGAAGCTCCAAAAACTGCTCTGTGTGTGTGTGTGTGTGTGCAGTTTGTCGTTGGGACGAAGTTGTTCTGTTTGATTGTGAGGAAGGAAGGAAGAAAAAAAAAAAAAGGGGCTGAGATTGAATGTTGTTGACAACCCGAAATGACATGTCCTTTTTTATCATTTTCTTCATTTTACAATCTCGATCCCCAACAACTTTTCCATCTCCCATTTTTACCTTCCTTCTTTTTTTTATAATTAATTTATTTTTTCACATTTAAAAAAGGATGGTAAATGGTTACTAATTGAATAAACGTTTTTGTGTGAATGTCAATATTATTGATAATAAATCGGAATTACATTGGACTTATGATCGTCACTGATGAAATAAATATGTCGTATTTGTGTTTATTACAGTAATTTTACTTTTTTTTTAATAAAAAGCTAGACTTGATTGTCTTCAAATGTATTGCTAGCATCGCCAAATTTTATAATTACTCCCTTCATTTTTTATTATATGTCTTTCTAGAGAATTCATCAAAGCCAAGAAAATATTAGTTTATGTAGTTAAAATATAAAAACACCCTTATTTATGATCAATAGAATTCATCACAAACCAATAAAAATTCATTATCAATACTGTTTCATTTTCAATGCGGCAATATTAAAAAAAAATGGTCAAATGTGTTTCGATTTGTTAAAACGACATATATTTAAAAAAATTTACTAAACCCTAAAACGACATATAATAAAAAATGGAGGGAGTAATACTTTTACCGAGGGAAGTTTATGTTTTAATAATGCAGATTTGCAATGTGCATTATACTTGGAGTTGGAGCTTTGCTTTTGTAAAGTATAATTATTATTAAGAAGAAAAAAAAAAGTAAAAAATTACAAAGACTCGGTCATAATCTCTTTGTAATGAAGTAAAGACCCCTAATCTAATAATGATAGAGTGATTAATATAATGCTTATTTTAATACACATGGATCATGATAGAATAGATTGCAGTACAGAGTCTTTGTCATTACCTTTTCCCATGGGGAACCTCAAATGGTACTTGATAGTTGCGATTCAACAACTCGCCCCCTTTATTCAAGTGGTAAGAATAAACAAACATATGTTTATGGTAATTTTTACTATAATTTAATTTATTTATTTGACTTAATGGTGTCATAATCATGTTTTTTTTTCCAAGGTTGGCTGGTCCAAATCCAACTGTTATTGTGTTGTGTTTGCCAGAATTTTTACAGCTCATTGTAGTAAGTACAGTGTGCATTATGCTGGTCTAACTTTCATATGCCAAAAATTATTGGGCGAACTACATTTTGCCCCCCAGTTTTGGCTCTTTAATAATATCAACCTCGAATTTCGATAATACTACGATTTCTCCCTTTGACAGGGTTAAAGGTTTGATCAATACTGAAAAACTCTGAAATGACAAAAAAACCCCAAACCACTTCCGACATATTTCCCGTCGCATCACCTGAAATATTTTATGGTTTTGGGAAGCCATCAGTGAGAAATAAAAAGGCGAAAATCAAAATTTTGTGGGAGTGAGATTCTTTGAATTTCAAAGTTTAATAATTGAAGTTTATTCCCAATCAAAACTTCACAAAAGTTGATTTTCAATCTCTTCTCCGTCAATTTTAATTGCTATTAGGTGAGTGTTTCATCTTCGCCAACTTGTTTCTCTTCCCTGTCAATTTTATTTGGGAGTGGGTGAGTATAATTAGTGAGAGTAACTTCCTAAAATCAAACATCTCGGACTTGGCTTCAATTCTTGTATCTTTGATCGGATTTCGTTTGATTGCGTAGATTGGAGAATGCTTCTCTTAAAGCGGCGGTGATAGCAACCTCAAATCTAGTTTATCCTCTTGCATTGATTAGAGATTCTTACATCTTCCATCAGATCTCCAAACTCGCCGATGGTGATGATCTTTGACTGGATTTGAGAGATTGGAGTTGATAAATGTAGTTAACCTGGTTATTCGTGTCATTTTGGGGACAACAGACTCTAGGTAGGTTATGGTGGTACCGGCGACGAGTGCGGCTGACAGTAGCGGCGATGGATGGTAACATTGTCTCTTTAAGCAAAATTTTATGATGTCATCGTGTTGCAATGTTTTCCTGATGATCAGGGTGTAATCGGTAGGTTGACCGAAGGTTAAAGGGAGAAATTGTAGTATCACTAAAACTCGAGATTTATTTTGTTAAAGGGCCAAAACTGGGGGGTAAATTGTAGTTCGCCCAAAATTATTTTGCATGTAAAATCATGTGTACAAAAAGGTCCACACATTTCTAACAGCTAATGATGACCTAAAGTTCCCTCTAGATCATGTAATTGTTAGGGACTCTATCAAATTTTATGTACTAGTTACTTCTTCGTTTTCTTATCGCACTCGTTGGAGTTCAAACCCGAGTTACGCAATAATTCACGAGTGATTCATTAATCATTATAAAGTTTTATTGCGATTTTTTCCCCATAATATACTCAAAATAGATATGAAAATCAAAACTCAAGTTTGTAATCTCATGAAGGAAATGAATTGAGGAGTAGTAGTAATGGGCTGTCAATTGTGAATACTGAAAAACCACAGGACCACACTTTCCCCTCTCTTTAACAACTTGGTTCACTTGCAGGCTGTTGCCACCAAATCCTTCTAAGATACTACTTTCGGTGCTTAGTCTAGTCTGGTCAACCACAGCAGAAAGCTCCCAATCCCCATTCCCCAAAACATACTATATTACTACTATTATCAATTATCAAAAACCCAGAAAAGACATCACGCAAGTCAATGCAAGGAGGAGTAATTACCAAACCATAGAACCTAGTATATCAACCCAAATAGTGGAATGAAATGCAATTCTTTCCGTTCCAACATAATTGTTCTGTTCGTTAATAATAATAATAAGAGCTCAACCACAAGGAACTTATGCTAATAAAGCATTACAGATAATTGTGGAAGTTACACTAGAGCTTTATACAAAATGTCTGGTCCCCTCCTTCCCCAAATGAAAGACAGCCTACACCAACCAAGGGGGCCATCACAATCTCACAACTCATCATGCAATTATTCAGAGAAATTTCAGCTGGAATCTGCTTCATACTTGCAGTTTCATGGGGGTTAATGCAAAGAAGTATGAAAGAGGCACATAAACAAACAATACACACCACATTTACTCTAAAAGCAAAGACAATAAGAAGCGCATGAAACATGAAATTTATTTGTATGGTTAGATTACCATAACTTTCCACAGATTGATCATTGAGCCGTCCGAATAAAGGCTTTCAGTTCATATATAAAACTCTAAGGAGTGTCCACAAGATAAGCACTTTCCCTTTGTTTTTGTTATGCTAATGTTCACTAAATATAAAGAAGTTTAGGATCCCAGCAGCTTCTTCCATCTGGCATATCCTAGAATAAGAAAGAATAGTATTATACAACCAGCTGTAGTACCCCAGACAATTGGCCAGAAGATCCCTGCAATGTTATACAGTGAGCAAGGGATATTCATTCCAAATATTCCAGCAATCACGGTCTCTACAGCAATAGCAAATGAGGCAATGGTCAATGTCAACTGAAGTTGGATCAGCTCATTTCGCTGATTGTCAAGTTGAATGTTGACATAATCCTCCGTGTCATCTATGTACTCCCGAACCTGGCAATTACACAAGTTCAAGAAGCCACAAAAGTTTACTATTTTCTCCAACCAGGAAAACTCAAATAAATAAGTAACAAAATACAACAACGTACACCAAGATTAGTTGTAGCATCATAACTTAGCAAAGAACAGCCCAACAAAGAAGTTAGCAACGGATGTCTTCCTCAGAATGAGATGACAAACCACATAGCAGATGAAGCCAGGAAGTTATGGCAGCGTCTACTCGTAATCATATAATCTCTTTTCCAGAAAAACCAACAAAATTTCTCCAGGCAGCAAACAGAATTCATTTGGCTTGGATTTCCACAGAAGATTCAAAAAAAAAAAAAAAAAAAAAAAGACAAGACAAATGCATATGCCTCATTTTCCAGAGTATTTTTGAGGACTAAGAACCAAAAATCCTCATTCATCCAATTTTTTCCTCAAAATCAGAACTGCTGCAGCTAACAAACAGCACCCAAATATAGTGCTTATAAATATCAGCAGTTCCTTTCAAAGGAAACAATCTACACGTACATGCACCTCATTCACCAGATTTTATAAAAGCTCTTAGTAAAGCCAGTTAAATAATGCATTAATTACTTAGAACTCTAGCAATAAAATCTCAAGAGAAACATCTATTTCTAACTAGATAGTGGAGCAAACTAAACACAAGATCTCTGAGTCTCAAGAAGCACAAGTAAATTACTGACAAGAAAACATCCAGAGCATTCCATGTCATCCCAGAAAATATCTAAACATACAGATCATTCCAGGTCTCAAATAGATGAAATACACAGACATACAATAGTACGCACTACAGTAAAGATAAAGGTACTTACAGAAAGAATTTTGTTACGAGTGCGATCGAGCTGCACAAAGTATGCTTCCAGCAACATCTCCAAATCCTCCACATCATGATCATTTAAATGGTTGATAGTCAAACTTCCACTTGTTGCAGAATTAAGGCGTTGAAGTCGAGTACCGGCAGGGACAATGCTATTTGATACCATTGCTCCAAGCAGCACCTCTGATTGCTGATTCTGAATCCATTTCCTAGTTAAGTACAACTGGGCCATATCTTCATTGTCATCCAAAAGGTGTTCAATCTCGTCTCTAACCTACAGACACATAGCAGCCCTCAGTGATTGGTAAGGTAAACAAACTACAGCACTGTAAGAAGCTCAACTGAACAAATCAGTGTAATATCAAAACTACATATCATCTCATAAATTGAGAAACTATCCACCTTAACAGCCAAATTAATATCATAAGCCGGGAAGCAACACAAGAATGTCCAACATTGGTTAACTTGTGATAGAACAAAAACAAATGTCAATTCTAAAAACCTGGCAACAGCTTACAGCTAGTTCCTCAAAAATAGGCAGCCTTACCATTTATCAGAACAGACTGAACAGCAGTCACTCTACAAACAAATATGAAATTTCAGGCAAAAATGAAAAAGGATATAACACAACTAAAACACAAAACTCTCGGATGTAGCATAATATACTATTTAACTCAAAAAACAAACCCCTAAAATTAACAGCGTACCCTTGACCAAGTAAGTGCGAAAGTTAAGAGCACAACAATAAAATAGCAATACATTGGTACAAAAACGAAAAGCAAGGGGTATTTTGCATGAGTGATGATTGTAGACAATAACAGTTTACTCAACTAACAACTTTTCGTGTGTATGTTGGCCTTAGCCCTTTGCCTTTATACTGCAGTTCTTTGAATACAAATATAGAGTTGTTTCTTCACGCATGGCATTCATCCTCCCCCAAAAAAGAAGAAAACAAGTTGTCAAAAGAAGTAATCTTGTCATTTTGATACTTAAAAGATACACAAAACACATTCTCATTTCTCAAATCAAAAAGCTTCGGATATTAAAATATGATGATGTGATCATGGACTACGATTTTTGAAGATGTTGAAATACAGAATACATAGATATCAAAATACCTTTTGGACACTTGCAAGCAGTCGGGTCAAATTGCTTTTCAAACTCCGAACATGCTCTAGATTTTTGGTGCTAACATTGATGGCCAGTTCGTCTAAAATAGGATAAGCATCTCTCTCCAGATCAACAACTTTGGAATCCAAAAACGTACAAACCACTTCTAAAGCAATTTCAAGGACTTGGAATTCAAATGGAAGCTCAGCCCGCATCCCTTCTGCAGCTTCTGGAACAGGCAACCATTGACCCGACATTAGAGATTGCATCTCCTCATCTTGTGCAACTACTTGACCAGTTCCGTTATTGGAGGTGTTTGATTGAGGAAGTTGCCGCCTAAGCTGATCCACAAAGGGAAGCACCTCTTGCCGTAGAGGATCAAGCAACAACACCTCCTCAGCTGTAATTATGGCTCTTATGTCCTCTAAATTGACTACTATAGCCTTTTCCCTAGCTGCACAAGAAAGCAAAACTTATGGAGCCAGGCAAAACAAATCCATACCAATACTATCTAAACCCGCGGATTCATAATAAACGAATAAGCTGAGAACTCAAATTCACCACTGATCCAGTTCAGAAAGATGTTGAAAATCAATGATGTGGCCAAATCCTAGAAATTCTGTACTCATTGCCTAGGTCCCAAAAATCTAAGGAAGCTGTTACAGTGTGAAAACCCAACTTCAAACAGACAGCAAAAAAATAATGAATTAATTCCCCTTATAACTAAACTAGCATGTATCTAAACAGGCCAGGATTACATATAACCACATGATTGGACCTTGTCAAACAATAGCCAGTTTTTACTAAATTACAAAAAGACAAAACAATTCACAATCCAAGGATAAATGCAACGGGAAAACAAACACATAAGAGACACAGGACTGGTATCACTCCATAATAGCAAACGACAAACGAGTCTACTTAGTAACGCACAAGAACATGTATCCGCCATAAATACTGGCTTTCACATATTAAAAGAGGAGTACCCAAGTAATATACACAAAAGCTACAAAATCCACAAAAGTACTCATGGGAGAAATGGTGGTTACCTAGAATACTAGAGGAATGAGAGAAAATGGGGCCAAGAATCCGAAGATCACGAGCAGGTATAGAAACGCGCTTGATAATGGCGCTTTTATCACACTCGATTAACTCCGAATGGCCCGTCCGATCAAACCTCATCCACAATTTCGCAGCACCTCCAGGCTTTTTTTTCCCAACCAGAGCCTTCCCAGTAGCAGCACCTCCAATTCCACCCGCAACCACCGAATTATTAAAATTCCCCGTCGAAGCGTCAACCTCCGGCGGCGACGGAGGCGGGAGAAGTTGCGGCGGAGCATTCTTCCTCCGCCTAAAGATCGATTCCCCTTTCCCCATAATCGCCTCCCCAAATAACAAACTCTACGGCGTGTCAAACAAAAATTCTACATACAGAATTAGTTAATTCGAGAGAATAATTATGATTTTCTTTTTGGGAAGGAATTGAAGGAAGGAGGGGAAGGAATCTTTTGGTTGTTTGGTTCTGATCCTGAATCGTCTTCTTCTTCTTCTTCGTCTTCCAACTCCTCCATAAAAAGTAACACAGGAACAGAACAGAAGAAACCTCCCTCCGCCACTGGGAGAATACTTGAATTTAATCTATTTTAATTTTTTTAATTTTGTTTATATTTGTGGGCAGGTTGTATTCTCAAGGCAAGCATGAAGAAAGCCCGCCAATATGACGCGAATCTTAGGCCCACCAGAAAAAAAAAATTAATTAGCTCACTCTGATTTGGACTCTTCTGGGCTTTGGATACCCATATTCCTACCCCAGCTGGTATGATGGTAAGCAAAACTATTCTACTTCTTCTTCTTCTTCTTTTTTTTTTTTTTGTGTTTGATTTTTAATTTTTCCTATGAAAAATTATGTAATGGCATTTCACTTATCATAATAATTCAATTGATGATGATGATTCAAAAGTTACAACGTTATTAATTTGATAATATACTTTTCTCTTGATCTGTTACACTCATCTAGTCATGATGAGAATAACCACTAAATACTTAAACACTCCCTCCGGTCTTTAATATAAAGCATTTTGATTTGTCCTAAATTTCTTCTAGTAAGCATTTTGAGAAAAAAAATCTTAAAAATATTTCATAACAATCAAGAGAACACAACGAATATGAAACATATTTTTAAGGTTTTTTTTTGTCAATTAAAAACGTTTACTTAGAATAAATCAAAATGACTTATATTAAGGACCGGAGGGAGTAGTAAATCAGATATATTCTTTAAGCCTTTATTAAAGTCTCCTAATTAGTATTCGGACTATGTTTATATGACCTTGTACGATAGGATCATGGGGGATGGTCATTTTTGCTTGCTTGGTTGGTGTTTCATTGCATCTAAGGTTGGATCCTTAGTTCACATAATGAACTGTCAATCTGTCATTTGTAAGTTGATATGGCCTATGGTCGTGTTGATTGGAAACTCATCACAATCTCTAGGTATATTTTTTAAGAAAAAGAAAAAAAAAAAAAAAACTCTTTCTTCCTTCTAATTTTAATTTTAAGGGCATCTACCGTTTATCTGGAACCAGCTCGATATAATTTTTTAATTTGGATTTTTAATTTTAGTACAAAAATCATGTTAAAACTGCTGAACATTCATTACAGAATAGAAGGAATTTTTTTCTTTTCTTTTTTTTGGGCAGAAGAAATATACAGTATTAGTCTCGTCTGTCAGTTTCTTTAGTTGCTAAATCAATGTCATACTTACATCAGCTTTGCAAGGTTAAGTACAAAAAACAACTAATACTTCGGTTAGATAAATTAAACTAATTAGATGAGACATTATACTTAATTTATTAGCCTGGGATGTTTCATAGCTAGTTGACTTATTTGAAGAGGGTATGAAGCTTAAACTGGAGCCAAAGCAGACATCATCTTGGTCACCACTTATCTTCTTTGTACTATATTTGTTGTTTTTGTGCTAGTAAATATTGCAGAAATCAGTGACATCCATTTGATGTCAGCTTCAATAAATTGACCAAATTTAAACAAAAAACAATGGGGTGGGTGGCGGGAGCCTAAGGAGAAGAAAAGAAACCTTCAATGTGTAGTTATCCAAAACACAAGATAAACAATATTAACCTAAGATCCTCTTTCTGAGTGATGTATACTTTGCTGCGACAGTTCTAAGAGAGTTAAGAAAGGGATTCAAACTGCTGCTTAATTGATACATCAACAAGCAGCCTCATTGCACTGTAATATTACCAAAGCTTTGATCAAATGTTCCCGGAAAACTCAATTCTCAGAAAGCTTCAGACTCACCAGTCTCCGGGTTTCATTGAATGTATGTAGAAGGGCTTCCCTTCAGATTGCCCTCTGCAGCAGAACAAGTTCATGGCTTCTGACGGACTTACGTCCTTTTATTCCACCAGACATGGAGCGGCAATGAGCTCCACAACCAGGAAACCTACTGTGTAACAACTACAATTCCATTGAGCAAATAGCAAAACCGCTAATAAGCAGCGGTTGATAATCTACAACACTCCATCAGAGCCACATTCAGCATCCACCAAGAATTGACAGGCCAAATTTACAGCAGATTAAAATCGCCTTTGACTTCTTCAATAAAAACAACCAATGCCCCAAAAAGGATAAAAACTATATATCAACTACTAAAATCTGTTGATGCCAGCTTCAGCTAATTGAGTAACATAGACATTACTCGGCCTTCAACAGCTTTTTCTTGAGAGCACTAATGTCTAGGAACTCTCAAATTCAATGAAGGCAATGTTATCAACGCCCTACATTAGTCTTTGAAAAACAGAGCATGTTATATAGAGCTCTAAATATATTGGTACTGGGAAGTACTGTTTGCAGAGGATATAAACAGCTGGTCAACTCCAAGGTAACAGAGCAGCTTGTAGAGCATACAAAGAATGCATCCTCAAGACAACAAGCAGATTCTACTTCTTGAGACCTTCAAAATAATTGCAAAATTGCACCGCAGCTCCATGTACAGCTAGATGAATGAGGACAGAAATCTCTGGAAGAGTTGGTGAAACCATCTTCAGAAGTCAATAGCTCCACTATACATCATAATATGTTCGCAAGCGAAGCCACATTGGAAGTACTGTCACTTTAGTTCTCTGATATACAACATCTGCATTGACAAATTACCAAATATATTTCAAAATTTTTAAAGATAGTTAAGATGAATTCAAACTGAGACGGTTGCGAATTAAGACTGCATAGTTGCAAATATACCAAACATAGAATGCCAAGGACCAGGTGTTTGTATTTTACTAAAATCTATACAATCTTCTATTTAACCTAACTCTTAAGCACAATTTACAAGTAGTTACAATCTGACAGGGAGAATTTGTATGCAGTTTACAAGTTTTCATCCAGACCATTCCTTTTGAAAATTTATTTTTCAGCTCTCCAACTTTATAGGTTATAATTTTGTCCAATGCCTTGGCTGCCAAGGCTGCCGCAAGGTTATGAGCATCATATAAACTACCTTGGACTAAATGAAAAGCTCAATCTTGAACTGTTTTTTCATAGGTAGGCCTCGCTACTTCAGATTCCTATTAAAGTTTCTCCCTGACCTAACGCATAAACTCTCTTCCTGCCCAAAACCCAGGCCAATTGCTTCAGCTGACGACAACATGGGAGATGACGGTAACAAATCTGTTACCGAAAAGAAAGGTAATGGTTCAAAAGTTGATAAACTTATCACTGTCACCCTACCGACTCGTTACATAAGAAAGTTCTCTTAATTTTAATTGCTCACTCTAATATTGTAATAACGAAGCAATTCAAAAAAAAAAAACTAATTCTAAGAGAATCCACAAAACACGCATGCAAGAATTCAGTCACACATACACTAGTAGCACTGGAAGAATGAATTGAGAAGAAACAACCAATGGAAAGAGAACATAGCAAGGGTATCCTATTGCTCACTATACAAAACTAAAACCCAGTTAATACAAAATACTCGGGAGAAGATTTTCCAAATCTAAGTGCCAAAAAGGAAAGAAAAAGTATATCACCCTACATATCCAGGAGGAGCAAAATGATAAAACGGAACTTATTGTCCATTCTATCTTGATACCACATTCCTATTTTTGCTCTTAGTAACTTTTAAATTTTGCATTTAAAAACAGCCATGCAAGATAACTTTAAAATTTTGGAGTTAGAAAAGATTTCTATGTAGAACACTTAATTATAGTCATTATGAATGTCAGATAATTCTTTCATGTTAAAGACTCATATATTTAGATATGCATGAATGCCAACAGAAGATAGATCTGTGAGAAAAATAATTCAGGTCTAATACGTGGAGTAGATCTCATATGCCATAGTTCTCTGCACCGAATTCATGTTGGATTTTAAATGACGGTCGAAGGAACATGCAATTATGACAGGTGCAAAAGCGGTTGCTACAGCCACCACAATTCAGACTATAGTCATAAAATGAAAGCACAACTGTCCCCACTATACTTCAGCAAAAGCTTTCTACCTACTCAAGTAGCCACTTGGCATTGAGACCCACATCCAAGAATAAGAACCAAACAGCAATGAACTCAAAACAGCCACATGGCATTCAAGCCGACATCCAAGAATAAGAACCAAATAGCAACAAGAAGGCCAAGAAATTCCTTATAGATGTACGAGAAAATCAAAATAAAATGGTCATAGGAGTACCTCTAGGACATTTTTAGGTGATAAATATTTTAGATATAAACACAACGTTTTTTTGAGAACGTCCCCAAAGATATTTGGTGAGGAAACAAAAGCAGGGAAACTGAGGGGGGGAGGGTGTTTGCGGTGGCAGGAAGTTGGCTATTTGGTCTTTTTCCTTCTGTTTTTGAGATTGTAAGAAAATACTATTGGTTTTCTCCCCTTTCTATTGTTGAACAGTACATTCCACCAAAATGCTCCAGAAGCTAAAAATGAAGCATGATTATGAAAAATTACACTTTCCAAGCCCTTTATTTGTTTGGATGATAAGATACCATGAGACCTTACAAACAAGCCAGGGAAAATAATTTCTTCAGGAGTTTTCTTTTCATGAGTATCTGATGTTAAAAGGACTCCATAGTTTCCAATCCAACTCAATTAAGCTCCTCTAATTGATCAAAAAAATATCTTCTGTAAGACCAGAAGCAGTATATTTTTAAACAATTAAGTAAAACATGAAGAAGTAGTCAATGCAAACTTATTATTATTGGCACTCCTCATTTTGCCAACAGAAACGAAGTTTTGTGACTGATTATACTTCTTACGACGAAAGAGTGCAAATGAAATGGACAGCCAATATCTCTAACCACAAGAAAAGACCTAAACAATTATGTAGGATCCCATCAAAAATTGACAAACAGCCCACAGGAACAAAAATTAAAAGATCTGATATCATGCAAATATCCATCAGTTAAAGAAGCTAAATTGAACAAAGTACATTACACTGGAATAATTTCAACTAACAAAGAAAGCATAAAGGTTTGCACAGTCTCATTATATTAATCTTAACGGTAAACCATCCCCATGTCCAATCACCTCGATGAATTGCAGCTTCCAGAATCTTTCTTCTTTTAAGTCTAAACATATATTCAGTAGCTTCATCAAGCCAACCTGCAAAAGGATAGAAGCATACACAACTGTCAGAAAGAGGCCAAAATGAAAAGGATGTAGCATAAAAGAGAGAAAATCAATGTACATATCAACTTGATACAGTAAAAGATATATCAACTTGGTACAGTTAAAAATGATTGAGCACAAAGATACGCTTATCGAGACATCTAACCATTGAACAGGATCGATCACTAAGGAACTGAGAAAAGCAAGCACCCATTTTCCCATCGAAGTCTGATTTCCCTTCCAACATGGAGTTTCTTCCCTCTAACAATTTTGCCCCATTTTCCAATAAGATTATAATAACTTCCCCTCCATCTCAGTTTCATTAAATACAGATCACCAGTGTCCTCATCCCGTGCATTAACATTAATCTGATGCTCATTCCTCAACTGCTCACGAGCCTGCGGCGTCCAGTAGAAAAGAATGTGATCTTCTACAGCTTTTCCAGGTAAAGTTAGGAATGGATGATTAATATCCACATCAGAAGATGTAAGTGCCTTCTTAATTGGCCAATTATCCTGTCCAGAAGCTGTAGCAATATAACGCTCCTGAGGAACAGAGAAGTATAAGCATTCATTCATCCAGCGCAGATTAATCTCTTTCCCAACACCAAGGCCTTTCTGCCGAATTATCGTTCCCCACTTGCCAATTAGGTTATAGTAATTACCCCTCCACTTTAATTTCATCAGATATATCTCACCAGTATCATAGTCTCGAGCATTCACATTTACCTGTTCTTCTCTTCTCAAAAGTTCTCGCTGTTCCTGTGTCCAATTAAGAAGAATATGATCTTCAACCAATCGGCGAGGCAATGGTAGAAATGGATGATTGAGGTCTACGTCAGACAAGGTTAAGACCTTCTTAATGGGCCATTGGTCCTGTGCAGGTGGTGCTGGTAATGCAAGCATCCGGAGAGGTGGCATGGTAACAACCTGCTGTTGAGGAACTGAAAAGTGCAAACAACCATTAGACCAACGAATATAAATGTCTTGACCAACATTAAGCCTCTTCCCTCGTACAACTTTTCCCCATTTTCCAATCAGATTATAGTAACTGCCGCGCCACTTCAATTTCATCACATACATTTCACCGGTGTCATCATCCCGTGCATTAAAATCCACTTGTCCTACTGCCCTCAAATGATCCTGTTGCTGTTGCGACATGTGCACAACAATATGACTATCAACTTGCTGCCTCGACAATGTGAGAAACGGATGAGTAATATCAACATCCGACAATGTAAGAGCTTTTTTGATGGGCCATTGATCTTGCACGGGAGGGACAATAGAAAGAGCATTATAATATGGTGTCCGCTTCATGCTGAACCACCTAGCCATAAATCAAAAGTATCACATTTACTAACGTGACTTAAACGGAAACAGCACAAATCAACTAACAAATCTAGAATGCTTGCTAACCATCAAAACTGACAAAAAAAAGGGGGAACAAAGGAATTTTATCCATCAAACTGTTGCCACAAAAGCTGATTTAAATGCCAAGAGCCACATGCATTTAAAATGTTTAATAAACTCTAAAAGTTCATGCATATAAATCCTAAAGTGCATGGATATCATAGACAAACCATTCGACGTGGCTTACGTAAGCAACAGAATGGTTCGGCATAGACAGAACCACTCGAGAAGGATTGCGTATGCAACAGAACCGTTCAACAAGGATTATGAATGAACCATTCAATATGGAGTACGTAAGCAACAGATTGAAAAATTCATGCAGGAAAGCAACCCAAACCAGTATTTCTGAATAATTGTTTCAAAAACAAAATCAATAACTAGAAATATCTTCAAGAAGTTTCTAAACTAAAAGGCAGTTAAAACAGGAAACCAAAATACAGGAATGAATACAAGAGAATTGATAGATAAACTTCTCAGGGGAAGGCCTACTTCTGCACCTACAACTTAATGCTACAACAAATTCTTCAGATTTCTTAACAGTATTGAAACATTAGAATAAGCCATGCTTAGCAGCCAGAAAACCCTAAAAAACCAAAGGAGTAACCTAGGGAGCACACCACTTCAAAGTGCAAACAAGAGAAACGACCTTAAAACAATAGAAAGCAAGTCAACTTTGCCATGGAGAAAATGATCTCCAAAAGAAGACACCATTGCTCAAGTTCCAGCAGATATAACAAGATCATAACAATATCGCTTTCCCAACTAGTCCTACTCGGTAGTAGACCATAAAATACCAGTACAGTAAGCTTTAGTCATACCAATCAAACAGCAGAATAAACATAGCAGCTCAAAGTCTCAACTCAATTCCAAAACCATCGAAATGAAATGCGGGCAAAATAATCAAAACACCGAAATGAAAATTTCCAAATACTGCTCAACAACAAATAAACTAACTCACCACAGCAGAAAACCCCCTTGATAGCCGCCAATTCAGGAAAACAGCTTGTACGTAAGAAAGGCGGGGGAGCGGGGTGAAATTTCACAAACAGCCACCGATCAAGCGGAAAATTCGAATCAAGAACAATAGATTACTGTAAATGCTGAGCTACCAAAACCAAAAAATCATCACCCCAGAAAGAATAAAATCTCTCAATCACGCTTATCCAACAAGGGGGGCGATCAAAGGTAAGCGATCGCGATGAACAACCCAAAACAAAAACCCTAGATCCTAAACCGATAAGTTAGAAAGCGGTGACAGAAAACGGAAGCTAAGAAAAGAAAGGATTGGGGAAAAAAATGAATAAAAATTGAAATGATATGGGCTGGAAATGGAGGGGGGAATTTGTGGGCTACTTAGTAGAAAACGATGCTACACTAGGGAGAAAGGATGAGGAGGAGGAAAGGTGAGGATTGGGGTGGAGAAGGAAGATAAGCAACACATTTTCTGAGAGGAAGGAAGAGGGAGAAGAAGAAGAAGAAGAAGAAGAAGAAGAAGAAGAACGGTGCTGTGCTTGGGAAGGAGGACGACAACAAACATGTGATATGGTGGTGGTGGAAGAGGTGCGTATGAATCAATGAATGACAATGAGAAAGAGTTCTTTTCTTTTTTTTTTTTTTTGACAACTTATTAATTGAAAAATAAAAAAGACAAAGATAAATTACATCGGAAATGAAGGGGGCAAAAACGAAAAAAATAAATGCAACGTTTTATTTTTATTTTTATTGTTTTTGGTACCGAAAATTGAGAGAAAATGTATGATGCTAAAAAGCTAAATAGTTATTTTAGAACTGGATAGGTTTTCGCATAAGTAGCTCTTACAAATTATAATCGGATTTTTTTTATTGTTTAAATTAATTTATAGTATTGTTTAAATTAATTTATAGTCGATTATAAATACTGAATAACGACATTATTAGAACTTACTTGATTAACCTGGCGTTAAAAACTGACTTTTTAGTATATTAGGAATTAGTGTAAAATTAACTATTGAATAACGTCATGGCCAAACTCTAACTAATACTTTTGATAAAATCTTGTCTCAAAGCACGTTCAATTTTTCTTTCTTTTCTAATAGTACGTGATAGCATAAGAAACTATCGAGATCTCAACCGTACTCTAAGTAATACTGTTGATAAATCTTGTCTCAAAGCATAGTCATTTTTTTATTTTCTAACAAGTACGTAATAGCATAAAAAACTATCGATCTCAACCGCACACATCTTTTTATTTGTTTACTTAATACATTACAAGAAAGTGAATTTTTCAAATGTGGTGAAAAAAAAGTATTAGAAGAACCACGCACAAAATGTACAAAATGTTTTGTTTTTTTCTTAAGCATGTAAACCCATTATAAGTTACTTTACGGGATAAATAAAATTTTTTATAACATTAAATCATTTTATTTTCTAGGATTTTTCTGGTTCGGAAAGTTTGAGGGGGGGAGTTTTTGTGTGAGAATAAGTTGAGTTGGTGAGGGGTAGATATATCATACACAAAGGCGAAATGTTGGTGCGCGTTTGGGTACCGAAGGCGGCTAAAAGTACACATAATGTGGGCTGCCGAGGGAATAATCTATTTTAATGTCGGCGTTAAAGACCATTGGGATTTAAACCTTTTTTAGGTTGTGGTAGAAATTTTCTCCAATTTGACCAATTCCCCCCATTCGGAGACATTGACAAAGTACTACAATTAAACGATTTGCGCAAGTACTGTGCTTCATGACTTCGAGTCAAAACAATAGCAGTACAATAACTAAATTCCTTTTTAATTACTCCGACAATGTCAATTGAACAGTCAAACTGGCCAAATTACATAACAGTCTTAAATGCGAACTTGGAAAATATAGCAAGAGAGTTTCGGGAAATTGACTTGATCATGTGCAAAAAGATGACTAAAATAGTCAAATTCTTAACACTCAGTTCTTCTAATCTACATACAGCTTACAGGCAAATGCAACAAAAAAATCCTTTCTTTCCGGTTCTTAAGCAGTTGACGATCGTACTCTCTGGACTACAAGTTACCGAACTAAAAAGCAAGAGAGCTAGCCTAAACTGAAAGAGGGATTGGCTTCACTGCACTTTGTATCCGCTGGAAGGCAGTCTTTACACGTCCCTTGAGAACCTCATTCTTACTTTCAACCTCCCCGCTTTGTTTATCGAGTAGAGCTACATTGTCATCAACAGTTATGACAAGCTTCCCGTTCTCCCCTAATTTCACATCTCCAAAGAGGGAGACAAGAAGCGAGTGCACAATCTTTTCGGCTTTTCCAGCATCTTCTTCTTCTGTTACTAAAGGTTCCGATTCCAGTACCACCTTGGACATCTCCCTGTTTGCATTCAAAACAAGAGCCACTATAGAGTCTGCGACCATGTCACTAATAGGGTCTGCTACCCAGTGGAGCGAGATGTGATTCTCCGACTCTTGCTTTACAGTCACCAGATCATGAACTCTCAATGTTGGAACCCCAGATTCCTCATCAGTTGAGGCCTCCACACTCTCGTAAATCTGCTTAAGTCTATGTTTGATAACAGCAAAGGCTCCTGAATAGGGAATTGTAATCCTTTGGGTTACATTAGCTGTGGAGAGCTGGGAGTAGACGTGCAGATCATCAGGTGCCATAATCTGATATGTGAACCCTTTCTTTACAAGCAACCCACTGACGGTATCACCAACTTCAGGGACCTTTTCAGCCAGCTTCCCGATGGTTTTTGCCATTTTCTCAGATGTGAAGTACATTTCGACAGACTGGCAGTTCTTGGGGGTTATAATCTTAGTATTTCCATCAGCAAAGACGGACACGAGCTTCTGCTTAAGCCTTCCCATCTCATTAGCTTCACCATGAACCAAGATGATGTTGGGAGCCATAAGCTCTTTCAAGAATTTACTTGTCTGAGCATAATCTGCATGAGCTGAGAAGGAAATATAATGCACTTGCATGTTCAGAGGAACACTCATCCCACTCATCAGGGTCACTTCCTTGGGTTCATTGATGATAGTCTTTGCCAGGGTCCCTTCGACAACATACCCAGGTATGATACAAGCATTCTTCTTGTCTGTGCACCATTTCTCAAAAAGCTGTCTAGACAAACCGCTCTGAAGCCCACCAGGACTTGCCATCACCACCGAGGGACCAACATCACTAAAATTGTCAATGCTTTTTAAATATGATATGTGCTTGAAGTCAAAGGGATCTGAAGTGCTGGGTTGATTGCGGATTCTTTCATTCATCGAATTGAGGTATGTCTGGTACACTTTCATACACCTCTGGGCAAGAGGAGACGCATAATAGACTTTGACATTGTGGAGCTCAGGATGGGTTGACCAATACTCCTCCAATATCAAAAGAAGTTCTTGGGCTCGACCAAGAGCAAAAGCAGGGATCAAAACACGACCACCTTGAGAAACTGTCTTATGAATGACCTCAGTAAAACGATTCTCTCGAATATGCCGTGGCTGATGAAGTTGCACCCCGTAGGTTGACTCAATGATGCAAACATCTGGAGAGAACTGGGGGAGTTCAGCAGCTCGAAGATGTCTATCCTCCTCACAGGAATAGTCTCCAGTATAAAGAACTCGGACACCAGCAATATCCACCATAAACATTGCAGCACCAAGGACATGACCTGCAGTATAACACCAGAAGCGGATACCATTGACTTCCAGAGTCTGGTGGAAGTCAATAACCTACAGAAGAGTGAAACTAGTCAGTGCAATCAAAATACGAACTTAAAGGAGCAAGCTTTGAACTCACAAAACTCAGGTCCCAAAATTGCAGTAATAATCGTTGAAATGGCAGGAAAAATGCAAGCTAGCTATAGTGACAGTTCATCCATTAGAGTAAAAATTGGAGAGAGAGAGAGAGAGAGAGAGAGAGAGAGAGAGAGAAATGCAGCTGAAGTCCCTTCATTTTGAATAACATTTATGGTGTTATATCGCACAATAATCTAAAATTCTCCCTAAGGTGCCAGAAGACTATTGTCCAATAATCTTTTACTTCTTTATTAATCTCACCCCCCACTATGAACAGCCGCAAAAAAGCCAGCCAAATAAATGTGTGTATACGTAATTATCTTTGAAAATGGTAGAAGAACAACCTGAAGGTAACAAAACATATACAAACCTCAATTTTATTCATGGAGTTCTCAATGTCTTTCTCAGTGTACAACATATCTTCAACTGAGACTTTGCTTACTTTGATATAATCAGTCAAAAGTAACCTGTATATGGCTTTAGTCGCGTGAGTCATGAAAACTCGCCCTTTAAATGTTGTCTGAAAAAGAAAGAAGCAATGAACTCAGACATGAAGAAACAAGTTCACAATTATTAGAAACATTGATAACCACAGTCTGTCGAACCTTCTCAAAAAAGTATGGGAGCGAAGCAGCATGATCTAAATGGAAGCTGCAAATAAAAATCATATCAGTACCAAGAAGGAATGCCAGATAGTAAGAGCAAGAATGGGAGCAAAGGTGAATAATGAACAAACATGAGTAGAAATATACACCCAATGGTGAATGATGAACAAACATGAGTAGAGATATACACCCAATGATCAGATGAATATACTAATATAAAATCATTTAGATGAATGAGGGATGAAAGTTGCACACAGAATGGGGAAATTCTTCAGTAACAGAAAATTTCAAATGATTATCCATGTTGCATAACACGAATATAAAGAGAGGCAGAATTCAGACGATGATGATGACTATAACAACTCAACTACTCAAGTGCAACCTTATTCCAGAAGATACTAGGCCAGCAACGTAAAGTTCAGTTTTGTTTGTTCTAACAGAATTATGATCAAATGCCAGACATTGTATCAGTGGCCAGAATAATGAGTATGAAGATAAACTCAAAGTCAAAGACACAGACTCACAACAGCTACAAAATCGAAGCCTCGTACTAGACCACAGTACCCTGTTGCTATAAACCTCCACACAGTTCAAAATTACATCTACAACAACCGTCCTCCTCCCTTCTCAATCCACACTCACGCACTCAATCAGGAAGCAAAAAAAGAGAGGAAAGAATATGAGGCTAGTGCAGATAGTCTACAAGTAAGGGAAAGAAAGCATACTGAGTTACAAGTAGAACATCGATTGTTGAAGGATCAATTTCATCAAAGTAAGGCAACGCAGCCATTCCAGAGTAACCCGGATGAATCCCACAATCGAACTGCCAAGAAAATGAGAATGCAAATAAACAAAATAAGCAACAATAATAATCTACAAGACCCAGCCCGACAAAATTAAAAGCTCGAAGTTAAAAAAGAGTGTAAGGAACACAAAAATTAAAAAAGGGGGGAAAGCACCCGGCAGCGTACCAAGACAGTTTTTCCTTTGTAAGACATATAAACGCAGGACCGACCCACTTCATTGCCGGCTCCTAATGGAGTAATAATCAGCCGGTCATCCTCTCTGCTCACCGGAGCAGCCTCTCGCTTTTTGGAGGTCATTTGGGACTGCATCGTCGACGCCATTGCACTTGTATACGGGTTTCTGTGAGGATCGTGAAAAACGATAATCCAAAACAGAAAGCAACGGAGTGAGGCAGTTTGGTGGAGAATTTAGGGTACAGTACTTAAACATAAAATTAAAATCCGGAATCTAGAGAAGTCCGAGGTCCCCGGATGGAGATTGAAGTTTTAAACTAAAACCCTAACTTCATGTTCATCTGACCGGACGGGGTAGACTTTTTGGTATTTCTGCAATATTTGAACGGAGGAGCGAACTTAAAAATGGGGAGTGGGAACAGCAAAAAAAAAGAAAAAAAAAAAAGGGAGAGATGAGGAAAACGACCACAGTGGGAGTCGAACCCACGACCTTCTGATCCGAAGTCAGACGCGCTAATCCACTGCGCTATGCGGTCCTCGCCGTCTAAATTGATAGTTAATTAAATTTATAATTTTTCCGTTCCTTATACTTTATTTTTTTTTGGGGAGTATCATCAGCTATCATCCTTATGGTGTTAATCACTTCCAATAAAAGAGCTTTTTTATTTTTGAAAAGAGATCAGCATGTTCTCACAAAAAAAAATTAAATAAAGTAAACATCCCTCATCCCTCACCCCTCATCATACTTAATGTATAACACACTATTTTCCTAAAAAAAACAAAAAAAGAAAAGGAATTATAACACACTATATTTAATACAAACACATAAGTCACGTCGTGCGCCTTAGAAATGAATGTGAATGAGTACAAAATATTATGAAATATTTATTCCTTGTAAAACTCCAATTTCATCCAGCGCGATAACAATGGCTTATGATCACTCTCATCGCCACCATTTGGTGAAAGGGAAAAGAAATACTATACATGTAAGGCAACATTCAAACAACCAAACTAATTAGCGGTATAATTAACGTACGACCTAACCTTAAATATATAAACTCTACGACTTAAAGGTAGAGGAGCAACACGTGTACTAACATTACTGCAACAAGAAGTGCCATTCGTTGTGATTTGTTTTGTTGGTAGTTTCTCCGATTGAATTCCATTGCCGTAAGCTACGGGAGCTCTCCCAGTCATCATCTTCTTTTCTTTGTTGAAAACACGATAACATGAACAGCTTAGAAACTCTCTTTAGTGATAGACTTCCACCGACTACAGATATAATGTAGCAGTAAATTGTAATCAAACCAGCAGTTCTTCTGGAGGATGAGTAGTCGAAATCATTCTTCCCCAGACTACAGATATAATCCGGAAACGACCTCTTGTATGCCCAGGGATAACATTAGTTAATTTGCCCTCTTGTCTCGCTCATCCAAGATCAAATAATGCACCTTACTACAAGTATGTCTACAAAGTCTTTATATCTAACTCTTTCTTTGGTTACATGATTGGGTGGCCTCACTAATTCTTCATTTGTTATATTTCCCATAGGCAAACATCCCTGCTGCTTATCTAAGTGCCAGCATCGAGTGGTCTGAGCAACAGGATATTCTGAGGGAGCTTAAGACATATTATTACAAATACAAGCAGCTCTATGTCACCCCCGAGAAAGTTGCTAAGTATGTCTATGCACCACTGTTTTATCAAACATTCTAGTCTGGTCTTTTTCATTTATTAAAGAAACTTCAAACATATCTGGTAACTTGGGCGTATGGATTGATTATTAGTTGAAAGCATCCTCATGTGTTGGAATTCCTAGGCCACAATCCATTTTACTGGACAGGCATTTTTGTGAACTTAGTAATTCAACTTCCTGCCAACCAGTATACCCACCCATTCAAGCCATACTTGTTGAGAAGGCAGAAAGTTCGTTTATCAAGCACTTCAATCCTATTTATGAAATCTCTACTTGACCTGAATTGAAAGAAACTATCAAAAAGGACCTTAAATATTTAAATTTGAATGAAGATATGTATAATGATTGAGCACGATGGTGACATACGATTCATAGAGCCAACCTCTCATAGTGGGACAAACGCTTGATGCTGTTGTTGTTATTTGATCCGAACATTGGATAAATTCATGTGCCTTCTTCAGCATTTTTTCATACCTTCCTACTTGTTAAATTCTTCTTGATACCAGCATACTCATGTGGGGAATATTTTTCTTTCTTATTCAGTGATTCAATATTTGTTTTTTCAATAAATCTTTCACGTTTGTCTCTTGTACAACCTTAGAGTTTATTGGTTCCTTGAGGACTCAAAACTTCAAGGATCATTTTCCACCCAAGTTGGAAAAACATGGGGATTATCAGTTTCTACTTTGTCCCTGGGGGCTGGAAATTAATCCTTCGTTGCTTATTAGCGTGACATGTCTAGAAATTGCCAAATGTTCCTTATATTTTAGGCTGAAGGATTCTGCGGTCAGGTGCAATTCATGGATGCATGATTTTGCTGATTATCATGTTCAATTGTTAGTCTTTGTTTGCATTTTTGGTGGATTGTTTTTTGTGGAGGGTTGAGACAAAGGAGGGCTTTATATAGTGACTTGCTTCTCAGACACTTGGATAATCTACATTCTCGTGGATTACTTGCTTGGTTAGTTATCGATGAAGCACATTGTGTAAGCCAATGGGAGCATGATTTAGGCCAGATTATCAGGTTTGGTTCTACAATGCTTTCAATACTGTTGCACTCTTGAAACTTGTATTAGTTTAAAATCTTGACTAATGGGGTGCCATATTGGTTCAGGGTCTTGGTACCGTACAAAAAGGGGGAAAAAAAGAAGAAAAGATAACAGTATCACTAGGCATACTCTTAATACCATGCAAACCATCGGCCTACACTCACATATTTACTTGAACAGCAAAAAGATGAAATGATCAACTGAACGGCGACATTTCTGAGGGTTCCGACTGTCCAATCTAATTGCCAAACCAGATTGTTTTCAGCGCCTTCCCTGCAAAATTGAAAAGAAGCATAAGTTACGATGTGTTATCTCCTATGCAAATGTCCAAAACATCTTAAACGTGATTATCACATATTCACATCTACTGGCACGTATTTAAATCTACTAGCACATTTCACTTTTAATTTTAATAAGTTCACTAATAATCCTATATATGGCCACACCCATGTCAAACTTCTCCCTTGGGCTACCCTCATTCTTCATTCAACTTTGTTTCTTTTTAGTATTAGTGACCCAACATTCTCAAAAGTAACGTGTGCTGATTATATGGCCTGAAAGATTTCCAGAATATACTTCACCACCGGTGTAAAAAATTGGTGTTCAGGAAAATTGTCTGCTATCCAATTCAAATCAAGAACTTTGTCCAAAAATAAAAAAAAAATTCAAGAAAGGAGAAGAAAATCAATTGATGCTCTGACTAAAATTTTGATTCACAAACTAACTACTAAAAGACCTCAGCTGTATAATTGTCAAGGATATAAACTTGTAACTTTGAAGAAGTCCATCAACTTACTTGCTCCTCGAAACCAAAGTTTTCACTTCTTGCAGGTTCAGAAGATAGGTTGCTGTTACCATGTGCATAAGCAGACTGATCTCCTGATGGGAGGTCTGTTCTCCCAGCCCAATTATGATCTCTGGGACCTGTGGCTACCCCTCCAGATGAGGGTTGACTTGGAAAATGCGCCCCTGGAGAACCAGAATTCTGCTGAGGTGAAAAATTATGTTGCACACCATAGTTCTGCTGAGGTGGTGCATTGGGAGGGAGATGATGGTTCTGCTGAGGGACTGGATGAGGGCCATAGTTTTGCTGAAATGGAGGAGTCTGGGTAGGGCTGAAATGCTGCCGATGCGGAGGATTTTGATGGCGGCCGAAATTCTGCTGATATTGCGGATTTTGTGGATGACCGAAATTCTGCTGATATTGCGGATTTTGTGGATGACCAAAATTCTGCTGATACGATGGATTTTGCAAAGGGCCAAAATTCTGCTGATGCGGTGGATTTTGTGCCGGGCTAAAGTTCTGCTGATGTGGTGGACTTTGTGGAGGGCCAAATTTCGGCTGGTGTGGTGGACTCTGCAGAGGGCCAAAATTCGGCTGGTGTGGTGGACTCTGTGGAGGGCCAAAGTTTGGCTGGTGTGATGGACTTTGTGGAGGGCCAAAGTTCTGCGGATGCGATGGATTTTGTGTGGGGCCAAAGTTTTGCTGATGGGGTGCATTTGGTGGGGGGCCAAAGTTCCGTCCTGGAGGACCAAAGTTTCGAGAAGATCTTGGACGAGAATCACGTTTCAGATAAGCCATCGGGGGTGGCATGGGTATAATTTGTCCATTGATATACTTATCCCCTATTATAAATCATGTATCCAATTGTTAATACCGGAAAAGTTAATGACCATAGAGAACAAAGCTAAAACGATATGCTCAAATTGTACCTCCATATTGTTTATTAACAGGATCAATATAGGAATCTGGCAACACAAATACGACTCCTGGAACCTCTGTTTGATCATAAGTGAGTCAAAGTCATTTTCAAGATAAACATTTCAAGCAAAACTGAAACAAAAGTGCTTTTAAGCACAACATTATCATAAAATGAGTGTTACGAAAATCCTTGTTAAATCAAATTCAAGCACAAGATTGATCATGAGATAACTGTAATGAAAATCTACCTTTAAACTTTTCAGATACTTCCTCTGAACATTCAACCTGGAAACCATTATAAACAGTCGTGCTGCAAGCATATATTCTCTTCTTAGCCTCGTCCATACTGCAGCATAGCAACAAAAGTAGTCGAATGAGTTTAATTACATAATAGGAATATCTCAGTCAATCTGCAAGAACCATACCAACATCAACCTAGCCATTAATACAATTTGTCAATTTTCCCTCAAATTATTCAGAGTAAACAGGAAAAAAAATCTCATTTCAAACACAAAGTAACACACCATGTCAATGCTCCCAATGAGTCTTCTAATTAAACACAAAATCAGGTCAAATAGTATATGCTCAATCATTTCCATCTCATTCAACAACGACCAACATTTATATTTTGAAACCAATACAGAAATGTAAACAATCGGAACCAAAAAAGACCCACCTTCCGAACACTTGAGCAGCCGCACGCTCGTAGGTAGCAATCTTCTCCTCCGGTGGAGTAGGATCAGGAAAATCAACCGTGATGAGCCAGTGATTGTAGTCACAGCCTTCGAACAAAATAGTATCTTCGGTGATTTCCATCTCGTCATCAAAACGTTGCCTCCTTGAAGAGAGAGAAACCGGAGATGATCTGAAGAGCCTGAATGATTGCAAACCCGAAGATGGAGAGGGAACCGAGGGTTGGGGGTTTACATTGGCGGACGAGAGAGTTGAGGCGACTGATTGGATGGGAGAAACGATTTTTGGATTGTGCAACTGGCGGTGGAGAAGGGAGGAGCAGAGAGGCAAGGCTCGCCGGAAGCGGGAACTGTAAATCACCATCTCCGGCAAACGATTGATTACTCGATGGACGACGGTGCCCGGTGGAATAGGGAGTGCGTGAGACTGTGCGCCTGACTGAGGAGGTTTTTGGGTTCTTAGGGTTTAAGGCTTAAACCGGTTTGGAAATAATTGGAATTTGGGCGGCGTCGAAGGGGTAAATTGCAATATTGGCCCCTTGGAGTTTGTTGTTCTTCTTACTAAGGTCCATAATCCTGCAAATTTTCTCAAAATTGTCCTGTAGCGAATAGAGATGATTGGAAGTTGAAAGTTGAAACTTGTTTTGACCATTGGTCATCTGAAACAATTGGAAAAATTACTACATGGAATTAAAGGCAAATCTCAATGTTTGGACCAAGAAAAAGTGATCAATTTCAAGTCAACTGTCAACAAAGTATAGGCAATGAGTTATTTCATTCAACCAAAAAAATATATAAATAAAAAAATGTGTTGTCATTACATTAGTTATAGATTCAAAATTATAGGAAATGTGTTTTGGATTTTTTTTGTTTGATGTGTTTAAAACAATGTTTGAAGAAGACTAGAAGGAAGGCTTTTGTATTCTTCCCTGGAGAAGATTAAAGAAGGTGTGAGTTTCATTGTTCATCTGGTTCATCTCAGTGTTGTTTCAACTAGTGGATTAAATTCAGATGACACTATTTATATACGTAACATTTGGTCCTACGAAATTAAAAATATCCACCAAATACTTATTCTATATTAGTCTGCTCCCCCGCATCCAGTACTTGCCTTTCCCTCACTTGTTAAACCTCCCTAGCACCAACAATTTCATTCTGCACACAAAGTCACAAACAATTGGAACATCATTCATTCATCAATTCCTTAAAGTAGGTTATTCAGTATATATCCTTAAGGACATCGTAGATCAACTTGCATTACCTTTTATCAACTGCTTCCTCTGATTCCTCACTCTCTTCGTCAGCATAGGCATCCAGAACTTGTCCCAACTTCTGAACTATCAGATGCCACTTTGAGAATTCACGCTCCAGATACATCTTCTCTGAAGCTAGCCGCTCTCCATATTGTACCAGTCGTACAATAAGAGATGATTTTATCTACAATAGAATTCAGAGTTTCAAACAAAATAAACGTCAAAACACTCAAGACATACCAAGTTAACCACTCATCATCAACTGGACATATGAGACTTATGTATGGTTTAATAATATTCTCTGTAAATTGTACTAATCTTCAACGACATTACTAGAAGAATCGAACATGTTTTTTATAGAATCACAAACCTTAGAGCCATCAAAACATTCCTTAATCTGGCTAATCTCAGACAGCAACTCTCGAACCTCTTTACTTAACTCCAAACGAGCAGCCAGATCATCTTTGAACACCCTCCCCTGAAAAGAAATATTCCAAGCAAAATATTTGGTAAACATAACAAATTGCCTTCACCGTTTCAAAAAAAAAAAACAAAATTGCCTTCCAGTTTGTTCAGGAGACTTGGGGTCATAGGACCGGTTCAAACCAACTAAGCCATATTGTGCAAAAACAGACAAATGATTGAACAGACAGGACGTGTGATTCCGAAGAAAACTTCAATCCTAAACGGTTCAGAATCTAGTTCCCGATTTGGAAAACTACAGGGAAAAGTAAAACATTCAATATATAGATAAACTTGAATTACCTTCGCATGAGAGTGACCCATAACCATCGACCTGATGGACTGAACTACACCATACATCTTGTGCAAATCCTTTTCCAGCTTCTGGAACCAAGAGGCATATTACTTAACACATTCTACCAGCATCGCAAAGACGTTATATTTCCCTTACAAAAAGGATTCAGATTTCAGAGATTCCAGTGAAAGTAACATCAAAACGAGAGACTGTATCCAGTATACTCGGGAGCATGTGCTCCCCCTCCTATTTTTTGCACACATAATCCTTATTGTACTTTTTTCTCAACTCTTCTTATATTTTTGTAAATTTAGTCCCTGTTATTTTTTTCACTCTCTTCTAAAAAAACATCTCTAATATTCAAACGATCATATCTCTTAATCCGTGAAGAATTAGAAAACGTGTTACACATGAATTTTATTGTATTCGGCAAGATCTATCCAACAAAATTCATGTCGAATATTTTTTCCGAGTTTAAAAATGACTAAATTTCGATAGGCAGAATAAGATGGATATCTAGTTTAGAAAGATGGATAACCAGTTTAATTTAGATTAAGATTCTTGTATTGCATATATATCTCTTGATCCGTAAAGAATTAGAATACGAATTATACATGAAATTTATAGTGCTCGACGAAATCTATCCGATAAGATTCATGTTTAATATTTTTTTTTTGAACTTTAAATGGATTTAAATTTTACGGGCAGAAATGAAGAAATGTGTTTTTCGTTTTTCTTTGAAAAATAGTTATCCGTTGTGTTCCTACTGATTATCCAATCAGTGCAACACGTTAGATAATCAGTACAAAAAAATTTGACAATCATTTTCATAAAAGAGCAAGGAAAAAAAATACCGGATAACCAGCACAAAGAAGTTGGATAATCAATATGAACACTGGATATCCAGTTTAATAAGATGGATAACCAACTTATTTTACATTCATATTGTTGTGTTCCTTATATCTTTTGATCCGTAAAGAATTATAACACGAATTATATATGAAATTTATAGTGCTCGGCGAGATCTATCCGATAAGATCAATGTTGAATATTTCTTTTAAACTTTAAATACATTTAAATCTTACGGGCAGAAATGAATAAACTGAAAAATGATTATCTGTTGTGTTCATACTGATTATCCAACCGGTTTGGACTAATTACCTATTTTGTTTTATCCAATCATATTTTTTACATTCACTTTTCAAAAAAGAAAAAAAACAGATGGATAACCAACTTAGCTTAGATTGATATTCTTATATTACATATATTTCTTGATCCGTAAAGAATTAGAACACGAAGATGGATAAATATCCAGTGCGTACAAACAAGTTAGATAGGCATATAGACCAAATGGATGGATATCCAGTACAAACAAGTAGGATAGGCATACAAACCAAATGGATGGATATCCAGTATAAACAAGTTGAATATCCAGTACAAGCGAGTTGGATATCCAGCACAAAAAAGTTGGATATGCATACAAACCCGTTGGATTACAACTACAAAACAAGTTAGATAAGCATATAAACCAAATGGATGGATATCCAGTACAAGCAAGTTGGATATCCAGTACAAACAAGTGGGATATCCATTACAAACAAGTTTGATAGGTATAGAAACCAAATGGGTGGATATCCAGTACAAACAAGTTGGATAACCAGTTCAAACTGGTTGGATAATCAGTATAAACACAATGGATAACTAATTTAAAATGAATTGGGTTATCCATCTTTCTAAACTAGATATCCATCTTATTCTGCCCATCGAAATTTAGTCATTTTTAAACTCGGAAAAAATATTCGGCATGGATCTTGTTGTATAGATCTCGACGAATACTATAACTTTCATGTATAACACGTTCTCTAATTTTTTACGGATTGAGAGATATGATCGTTTAAAGATTAGAGATGTTTTTTAAAGAAGAGAAAAAAAAATCAAGTGACTAAACCTGTAAATTATATGATGTTATTTAGAAAAGTAGAAAAAAGTGTAATAAAGACTAGTAGTGTAAAAAATATGAGGGGGAGTATGGTGCCCCGAGTATACTGGATAAATTGCCTCAAAACGAAACTCAAGACAAAAAAATAAAATAAAAAATTAACCCACTACTCAACATGATTTTAAAGAATCACAAACCTCGGCCCATTCCTCAACCAATCGAGCCTCAGACAGCAATTCTCCAAAAGTACCTCCTGAAAATAAATCACCTGACAGCTTACCCTGAAAATAAATAACCAAAACAAAATTAATCTACCGAAACAAAATCCATATATTTAATGATTACAATCGACATCAAAACAAATATGCCCGCAAGGAGGGAAAGGAAGTGCCTTTCCAAGTGGATACGTCTAGAATGTTTTAACAAACCCTCAGTCACCAAGGACTTGACTATGGTGGTTTATCTCCCGCCGTTTGGATGGGTTTACCCATCTCCGATGAACTTTCCAGCATTACCAGAAAAGGTTTAGGGTTTTAGAGCCCGACATAACACTATCTTCCTTGTCCTTTAGTTTCAACCATCAATAAAATCATGTTTTGCTATTGATTTAGTAGCATCAATTTCGGGATTTCGAATCGTGGGATCGACCTGGATCCCCGAACTAAAAAAGAAAAAAAATCATAAATAAAATAAACCAAAAACAAGGAAAAGAAGATTACTTACAGTGTTCTCCATTTGTCTTGGTGTCGATACTCGATACACGTTCGGAATTTTTTAGTGGGTATTTTTAAGTGTTTTGTATTGAAAATGTAAAAAATTACTATGATGAAATGAGATAATTATTATTATAGATTGAGCTTATAAATAGGAAGAGTGGGAAGGGTCTGGAATCTGACTAAATTTACAAAACTAGAGTAGGATTTACAAAATTGCCTTCCTCAGTTTTACTTTGGTTATGGGGATAATTAGGTGATAAAAGTATCCCATAAACATTATTAAGAAAAAATGAATCCTTATAAACATTATTAAGAAAATATGAATTCTTAACAATAGTAAAAAAATTATGAGTTACTTTCTTTTTTTAAAAAAAAATGCACTTTTTTTATATTCAAAAAAAAATCTGACTCAAAAGATTCCACTTAAATCCACCCCGTGGATTCTTTTCAAATATAGATAAAAATTTTTCTTTACAGACCTATTGATAGAAATTAAACCCAGGTCTAGCAGCATAAAGCACAACATCATAACCATTAAATTATTATTCCCGAGTCACTTTCTTGTTTATTGCACAATCTAAAAAAAAAAAAATTCTAAATTACAAAGTTTACTTAACGTATGAAATTGTATCATTTAAAATGGGTGATTTCTGAATTTCAGCAGAAACGACACATACTATTCAAATTTTGAAATAAAAAAGAAAAAAGAAATATACACTTTTAAAATGAGTAAGAAAACACAATCAGATCTCTATATTAAAAAAAAAACTCAAATCAGAAAAAATTCAAAGCTGAAAAATAAATTCCAAAATAACAATTAGATAAATAGTTAATTACCTCAATAGACTTTTGATGGAGAGAGGTCAAAGTGTACGGGGCAAATGCTTGAAAAATAATACTAGAAAAAAAAAAAAAAAAAGAGAAGTCGCAAAACTCTTATGATTGAATTTATACTTGTAAATTCTAGGTAAAACCTTTTACTATTCTTTTGAAGTTCGCTTACAATTCTTTAAATTCTCATTAATAAAACCATCAAATTTAAATAAGAAGAAGAAAAAGAAAAGACATTGAGACATAACAAGAATCATAAAAAATAGATTTTTGACTGTTTAAGTTCACCTAATCATAAATAATGATTTTTTAATCCTAAACCTGAAGGTAAATGAGAAAAATAATAATGAGACAAGATTAAAAAACATCCTTAGAAAAATATTCAATTTGATTAAGACACAAATTAACACTATTTATCAGAGATGAAAATACGATATTTAATTTTCAGAGATAAAAACAAATCAAAAGTGTATAATTATTATTGTTTTAATGATTTTCATTTATAAACAATCAAGCAAATAAACAAGTGGCGGAAGACTACCGAACCTCGCTTTTTTATTTTTTATTTTTTAAAAATTCACCTCAGTAGGCGTTAGTTACAGGTAGTGATTGAAATTTATGAAGGCGATGTGAGATTTTTTTTTTTAAAAAATAAATAAATAACAATATTATTCTTTATATTGGAGGAAATAAAAAAAAGCAAAGACAGCAATTTGCAAGTCAAAGAAAAGAAAATGAATAAAGCTTTTATCCCAATAAATAAAGTTAATTAAAACGCGCGGAGACTTTAAGACGGTAGTAGTACTGTAGAGAGAGACAGAGCGCCAAACTAACAGGGTAGCCTCCATCCATGTGAGAAGGTCGGTTTTTGGGGAAGCAGAGCACATAATCAATTCTTAAATCCCCCATTTGGGTCATTAATATCCAACCAATTCGAAGCTGGGTTTTTCCAGTTTTCAGCATTATTCTTTTGTTTATTCCCTTATTTTAATCAATGAACTCGATTCGGACAACATTATTTGATACTACTTTGTACATGCACATGTCGGAAGACACAGAAATTTTTTTTTTTTTAAAAAAAAAGGTGCATAAAGAACCGTGATTCAATCTCATCACAGTAATAGTATATAATAAATGAAGCCTCTCTACACGTACTGCTCTGTCTCAGTTCCCCATTTCCTGAATCTTGGGCTGTCCCTACAAATATTTTTGGTCCGGAAAATTCCAAGGATCCAGAACTTGGGTTTTGATTCTGGAAGTTGGAAATGGAAGGATTGGTTACTGTTAGGGAAGGGAGATCTTTGGAAGTTACACCAACATGGTCAGTGGCGTCAGTGACTACTGTTATGGTGTTTGTTTGCTTGTTTGCTCAGAGGTCCATTTACAGATTTGGAAGGGTATAATAACATTACATTTTCTGGGATTTTGTTGCACTAATTAATGGTTTTGTATTTTTGATTGGTGATCATTGAGAAATGTGTTTTGGATTTTTTTTTTTTTTTTTTTGATGTGTTTAAAACAGTGGTTGAAGAAGACTAGAAGGAAGGCTTTGTATTCTTCCCTGGAGAAGATTAAAGAAGGTGTGAGTTTCATTGTCATTTCAATGCTGTTTCAACTAGTTGAATAAATCCAGATGGCATCTTTTCTTGTTTTCAAGGCTAAATTTTTTTTCATATTTCCCCCAAAGTTATTTTTTTTTTTCCGAAGTAGTACATTTTTCGCAGCTTTCTCATATCTGGTATCTATCACAACTCGAATGCTTCCAAGCAGTTAATGCAATGTGAAGAGAGTTATTGCTTTAAATGTTAGGAATTTAGGATGTTTTCTTTTGGCCTTTGTTTTTTTTTTTTTAATCTATCTATTTGTATTGTAATTTTGCGGCAGAGTTGATGATTCTTGGGCTCATTTCTTTGTTGTTGGGGCAATGGGCGAGATGGATTTCTCAAATTTGTGTGAACTCTTCTCTGTTCAGCAGTAAATTCTATCTTTGTGATGAAAAAGATTACGAAAGTAGCAAGAGAGTACTATTTGAAGAATCGGGTACTTCTCCAAATCAAACTGATATTCCCAGTGGGCTGATTTTTTCAACAGCATTACATCAATGTGGGGCGGTAATTCCTCATTCATTCAGCTTATTGGTTCATTTTAACAGGTTTCAGCAATGTCTAACAATCCACTCTAAATCTCAGAATCGTGAACCGTTTGTTTCCTATGAAGGCCTCGAACAGCTCCATCGCTTTCTCTTTGTTCTTGGAATCACCCATGTTCTGTACAGTTGTATCACTGTTGCCTTGGCTATGCATAAGGTGAACTTTTTCTATACTAGTTGAGCTTTAAGTTCATTTGAAGTTGAATTGGTTATTGTTGGGACAGTAGGAGTCAGACTAGGAAAATTCGACAGTGAATAGTAGTATGGATTCAATAAGGAAAAAGTACAAATACGTAAGCAATTCATCTCTCGGTGAGTGTTTGAAATGATTGGAGTTTGACTTACCTTAGTGTGGGCGATGTTGTAGATATATAGCTGGAGGAAATGGGAAAACCAAGCAACTGTTGCTCCTGAGGGGAGTCTGCAAGGTATGCTTGTTCTCAGGGAAGTTATTCTGGTGCTAATGAGCTTATATAATAACTAATAAGAACCCACATTGTAAATTTTTATATAAAATGGACAAATTTTGTGTTTATCAGTCTCGAAGAACAAGGTGATGAGACGTCAATCTACCTTTGCTCTTCATCATGCATCTCATCCATGGAGTAGGAGCCGAGTTCTTATCTGGATGGTAATTGTCCTCTCCTTGCTACAAGACTGTCAATAGCTAGTGTTCTGCATAAATTCTTCTCATACTTTGTATACTAAACTTTATGAGGTTAAAGTCATCAACCTAGCATACTTGTGCTGAGATAGATTTTTGGAATTTCTTTTGCAGTTTTGCTTTCTGAAGCAGTTCAGACGTACGATACAAAAGTCAGACTATTTGGCTTTGCGATTAGGTTTCATCACTGTGGGTATTTAGTCTCACTTTTTAGTTTTTACTATTAACTTGTATTCAGGCTCTTTTTCCTTACCTAAGTCACAAGTCAGATTTGGTGTGAAATGTATAACACAGATTTCTAATCTTTCCAGAACCACAGTCTGCCACTTTCGTACAATTTTCACAAGTACATGGTGCGCAGTATGGAAGATGAATTCTCTGGAATTGTAGGAATCAGGTACTACATAATTGTGAGCTTAAATATGTACTTTGACGAATACTGCCTCTACCGATTATTTTGCCTGGCTGCGGCCCTTATGTATGTGGTAACCTTGCCTTGATTTGCCTATTTAATTTGCAGCTGGCCGCTCTGGGGTTATGCCATAGTCTGCATCTTCATAAATATTCATGGTAAGCAATTCATTTGCTCACCTTGGCACTCGAATAAGTAAAATATCTAACCTTTTAAAGCTTCAAACATGATTTGATTCGTTTGATGCAGGTCTTGACATTTACTTCTGGCTTTCTTTTATACCTGCAATAGTGAGTGTCCTTGCCTTTTTCATTTGGAATTGAGCACCATGGTGGTTTTCCTATTCTCAGGATTTCAAACATCTGATTTACTCTTTTTTTTTTCTTGTGTGTTGAAGCTTGTGATGCTGGTTGGAACAAAACTTCAGCATGTTGTCTCCTTGTTAGCCCTAGAAATTGCGGAGGCAAAAGGACCTACAATTGCAAACCAAGTGAAGCCACGGGATGAGCTGTTTTGGTTTGGGAAACCAGAAATACTATTACGTTTAATACAGTTCATCTCATTTCAGGTGATTGCATAATTTGTGTTTGCCACTTTTTTAACTGAATTCGTGTGTCAGAGAGGGATCATGAATGACAATGCATGCAGAACGGCTATTAGATAACATTTGACATAATTTTGTCTCTAAAGTATCTTCTTGTGTTTCTGCAGAATGCTTTTGAGATGGCTACTTTCATCTGGTCTTTGGTAAGGCCATGTTACCCCCTCTGAGTTATCCCCTTGCGAATCGAAATATTGAAATTGGTTCTTCAGGAAATTTTGTTAGTAAAAAGTTTATAGCGTGCTTGTATGTAGGGATGCAGGGCCACTCATGTTCCAAATGCTGTACTAGTGTTGAAACAGTTTGCATTCAGAATTTTTTTCCCGAAATCTATATTTTACTGCTGTGAAGATTTCTGTTAGGTGCTAGGGTCAATGCCTGCATGATGATTTTATACTGATATTGTCGTCAAACTATAATTTCAGACAACTCCCAACATCTAAATCCAGAAACCTGGAAACTATATTGAAGGAGTAACTTCTGGTACTGCCAGTCTCTCTCATTAAAACTTCTCAACTAACTAATATTTTTTTTTGTTGTGTAGTGGGCATTCAAGCAAAGATGTTTCATGAACAATCACGCTATGATTGCCATTAGGCTGATTTCTGGGTATGTCTCTTTGCTTGATATCTAACATCTCCATGTATCAGCATATGACACTTTTTAAGTCTCTGCTTCCTAGTTACGCTACTGTCTGCAAATCATCATCTATTAGAGGAATCATTGTGTTGTAAGAGATTCTCCTTTTTAATCATCGAATAGAGGCCGGTGACATGATATTGAAGTCGCTAACTTATAGTCGTACACAGAACCTAATCTGCCTATGAGATGGCTCTTAAATGCTACAATCCTCCAAGGTTTGGAAGTTGGAACTTTTTAATCCCGTAACCACCTGAGTTAGATATTCGTGTAACTTGTTTATACTTGCACTGAATTAGCAGTTGGAGAAGGAACGATTTAAACACACAGCGGCGGTCAAGTGACCCCAATGTTGTCAATACTTATCATATTTCACAGGCAACTCAATAAAGCTTTCTTTAATTTCATGCAGGATTGTTGTGCAATTTTGGTGTAGCTATAGCACGGTGCCCTTGAATGTAATTATCACACAGGTAAAAACGCTTATCATCTTTTGATATGCCTGTTTTGTTTGTTCATTTTGGAGCCTGTTTTATCCCAATAACTGTGTACTAAACATGTCTTGTGATAATTTGCTGTTAAATTTTTCAGATGGGATCCCGACATAAGAAGGCTTTGATAGCTGAAAGCGTCCGAGATTCGCTGCACAGCTGGTGTAAGAGGGTTAAAGAGAAGTCTAAACGCAATGCTGTGCTCTCAGTGACTACAAGATCTACAATCGACGAGAGGGACGAGATAATTACTGTTGGATCTGGTACTCTTTCCCGCTGTTCCTCATCAAGTTCAATGAGAAACCGCGCTGCAAATGAAGACACAATAAACACCCTGCCAGATTGCATTGTCGGGATTGATCGAAATCCAGATGAATTCGATATCTCGTCTCGCATTTCTGAATATTTAGCTCAGACAATAGCCACTGCTCCAGAAGAGGAAGAAGAAGACAATGCAGATCACTTAGAGGAGGAGGAGCAAGAACAAGAAGAACACGGAACTCTTCATCCTGAGACACATTCCGATGAATTTCAGAAACCGTGATGCTAACTTTTAGGACAGAAATTTTGACTGTTGGAGTCTAGAGGAGTTCATTAGCCAAACTATATAACAAGGGAATTTAACTAGCTTTTTAACTACAGAAAAGCTGTTAATAGATTGGGGATACAAGCTAGTTACACTAGACATGTGACTTAAAAAAGCAAAATTAATCAATTTGTAAACTGTGTATCTCATAAACATATGATTGATATTCCAGCTTAAACATTAAAGTTACAGATAAAAGAATAATGGCATTCCGTGTAGATCAATGATCAAAGCCTTTCTGTTCCTCCCCCCAGAAAATCATTGGGCAATCATAATCCCGGGGTGATCATCCGCAATACTGAATCGTGAAATTGGAGGAGAATCTAAACAAACTGGTGTACACGAATCCGTAACCGAAGAATAGATGTACACACCAGCCACCAGGAGTTTGTTTTCTTCTGGGATAAAAGTCGTTAAACTTTCTACCGGAAAAAGCATCAGTAAGAAAAACTCCATCGGAATCAGGCACCGCCGGTTTCCTACTCCCAGCAGAATGTTGAAGGACATCAGAATTCACGAATTTTGGCGGGACAGAATTCATATCCTCCCCCTGTCTCAAAATTATTGTCCGGTTTGAGATTTCACTTTAGTACAATCTGAACTAAAAATGAAAACTCAAACTAGACAATAATTATGGGACCGGTGGAGTATATCTCTGTTCATCATCTTCGCAAAACCCAGCCATTTAACTGGAAATTTCTGCTGCTTTTTGAAGTTTTACGTGTATCAAGTTTGAACACTTTGTAGCTGAGTTTATTATTATGTACTGTGGGATTTCTCCTACTGTATTAGTAATAATTGTGTGGAAACTGATTCTATATGGCGCTGTTCGGTTTTCCTTGCTCGATCACTCTACTATTAGTACTTTTGTTAATCCTCTGTTTCTAAATGCCACCAATTCGACTCTGTTTCGAACGTGTAATCTTTTGGGATGATGTTTTGTGGTTAAGTTGATTCGCGATGGAAATTTCTCAATTCTAAAAATACTCGTGTTATATGGATCCCCCAGGTCTTCAAATGGGAAGATGTGTGAAGGAAGCAAGGAGAAATTTCTCAAGTTCATTATGCTTGATTCTTTAGATTCTTCAATTCTGGAAGCCCTGTTTACTCAGAATCAGCAGTTCCTCTGTTTCAATCATGTCTAGACTTTTTTTTTTTTTTTGAAAAGGTATCATGTCTAGACTAATTCATCTCTCTTTTTTTTTTTTAAGGCCTACGAAAACACTGTAAACGGCTGAATACTGGTGCCCCCAATAGCTAGGACGGCTGAACAGTGTTAAGTTTGAAAGTGTAAAACCCTTGGAGGTTGTTGTATTGATACATACGATATATATATATATATTACAATTACATGAATATAATTACAATTATAGCCTTATATTAATATACACTAACATCCCGCAATCTGTACGGGAGGTGTATGACATTCAGATTGTCTCGAAAATCAGTAAAACGGACATGGGGCAAACTCTTCGTCATAATATCAGTAAATTGGTGAGAAGAAATAACATGAAGAACACAAATAGACCCTTGAACAACCTTCTTACGAACAAAATGGATATCAATCTCAACATGCTTGGTACGCTGATTCTGAACAAGATTAGTAGTCAAGAATATAGCGCTGACATTATCACAAAATATAAGGGTGGCAGTAGACAACCGAATATACAGCTCCGAAAGTAAGGAATGAACCCAACATACTTCAGAAACAGCATTAGCTACCGCTCGATATTTAGCCTCAGCACTAAAACGGGAAACAATAAGTTGCCGTTTAGAGGACCAAGAGATGAGATTGGGACCAAAGAAGACACAGTAGCCAGAAGTAGCTCGACGAGTATCAGAACAGCCAGCCCAGTCAGCATCAGAATATACCACTAACTTATCAAGAGGTGCAGAGTGAAGATGAAGACCATGAGAAAGAGTACCCATCAGATAGCGCAGAATGAGCTTAACTGCTTGGTAGTGAGACTCCCGAGGCTGATGCATAAACAAACAAACATGTTGCACTGTATAAGCTATATCAAGACAAGTGAAGGTAACATACTGAAGGGCTCCCACAATACTGTGATACTCATAGGGATCAGCAAACAACTCTCCATCAGACTGAGACAATTTAGCTTTAGAATCCACAGGAGTGATAGCAGGAATTGCAGAAGTAAGATTACAATGATCAAGAAGACTGGCAATGTACTTCGACAGCGATAGAAAGAGACCATCAGGGGTACGTGAGACAGATATGCCAAGAAACTAATGCAAATCACCCAAATCTGTCATAGCAAACTCCTTTCTGAACTAAGCAATGATAGAGGACATAAGCGAGGTTGATGAAGCAGTTAGAAGAATGTCTTCAACATAAAACAGAAGAACAGCCATGTCATCACCATGATGATAAACAAACATAGAGGAATCAGACTTGCAAGATCAAAAACCATGAGTAGTGATGAAGGAAGCAAACCTTTGAAACCAAGATCGAGGGACTTGCTTCAGGCTATAGAGCACACGATTGAGCTTACAAACATAGTCAGGATACTGATGATGGACAAACCCTGAAGGTTGTTTCATATAAACATACTCGTGCAAGTGACCATTAAGAAAAGCATTCTTCACATCCAGCTGATGAATAGGCCAGTTGCGAGATAGAGCCAAAGACAAAACTGTGCGAATGGTGGCCGGACGAACAACTGGACTAAGTATCACCAACATCAACACCTGGTCGCTGAGAGTATCCCTGAGCTAGAAGTCTTGCTTTGTAGCGATCCAAAGAACTATATACCTTTTCTTTGATACGGAACGCCCATTTAGAGCCAACTATATTGCCCCCAAGAGGTTTGGGAACAAGAGTCCAAGTGTTATTACGAGACAAGGTACCAATTTCATCATTCATTGCTTGCTGCCGCTCATCATGTTTCACAGTTTCACGAAATGTAGTAGGTGCCTGCAAAGGAGGGTTAGCAACAGAACTAGCTATATCGTGCGGCAACTTTGTTGTCAACTACAACAGGCCAACGAAAATTTCAACGCAAGAACTTTGTTAAAAATTTGCATTTGTAAAACACGAATTCTATACAGTTTGAAAAAAAAAAAAAACTTTTTTCATCCATTTTGAGATGTTTACAAAAGTGATGATTATAGTCAACACAATAACTTTTTTATTTTCTTAATTATAACTTTTATTTTATATTATTCAGCACGAAACCATGTTAATTTCCAAAACCCCCCCCCCCTCTTTTTTCTTCTTTAGAATTTTGAAGCTTCTTTATTATTTTCTAGTTCTTATGGGGGAGTACAATTATAAGCATGAGAGTGTGATTTGTGGGCAGGTTCGGAATCTTGGGTTTGTGAGGGTGGTCAGAGCAAGCACCTCAGATGTTTGCGGGAAATATTATCACCTTACATTGGAGGCGATTGACGAGGATAGCGAACTCAATGTTTACTATGCGCAAGTGTATGCTTTTTTGAAGATGAAGAAGTTGGTCAAGTTGGCAGCTGGTCGATGAGTCCTTTACTTAACCCTTTTCACAAAGTGTTTCATTGGATGCTCCTTATAGTTTGTGGAACTTTATCTCTACTTGTGTAGTTTCTACTTCTGATGCTCTTTTTGTTACCCAATTCCACTAGCCTGGTTGCTCTAAATTTCAGTACCAATAGTGTGAGTTTGGTTTATCAATGTTTAGATTTCGGAGCCGTTTGTTTCCTTGGAATCGGATTCAGGAAACAGATTCAAAACCGTTTCAATTGTTTGGTTGTCCGGAATTGGATTCGATGGAATGGGCTGAATCCAAAAGAATGAATTAGCCCTCCCACCCCATGATTCAAGTTGAATTCAATTATCAATCTTCTCCTGATTTTTTTAAATTATTTTTAGATCTTATAAAATTTTCTTCTTTTTCTTTCCTTCTTCCCCCCTTCGTCTTCTATGTCCAAGCCCAATCTCTTCCTTCCGTAATCATGCCGCCGGTTGCCGACTCCAAAGTTACCGCCGTCACCTCCACCGTTAGAGCCATAGCCACCACCATCTTCTTAATAGTCCTTGTAGCCCGATCCAACCCCTCCCCTTGGGATTCGACGTATTCTGCCTTTTGACGGATTAGTGTTTAGATTTCAGATCTCAAGTCTCCATCGACGAATTATATAGCCTTTGGATTGATTGTTATTTGTTTATTTTTCTTGGTTGAATAAATCAGGGCTTGACAATCCGTCCATAGATTCGTATTCGAATTTATCGCCTAAGTATTTGGGCTTGGAGATACTTTGGCTTCATGGCCAAACTTTTTACGTGCACGCTTAATACTGATGCCACCATGCTTGGTACATTTGAGCACCATGGAAAAGTTATCTTCCTTCCTTCCTTCTTCCCCCCTTCGTCTTCTTTGGATTCGTATTCGAAAGTTTGGCCAAAGTATCTTGTTTTCCACAATGAGATTCAAGGTTCCCTTCTAAAAAAGTTTCTTGCGAGGACACAAAGGTTGCTTGAGTTTTGGTTTCTTTTTGGAATCACGACATCCAGGTTCTGTTTTTTATTATTTTTAGTTTTGAAAGAACTTTTAGCCACATATTAAGATTATGATTTATCAAAAGACATCTCACGCCTCACACACGCACATGCACGCCTTTGGCTTCATGGTGGGATTTTGCGCTTCTTAATATTTGGGGAATGCATGAGATGAAAACCAAAATATTTCAGCCACCTCCATCCTTCTCGAGCAACAAAGATTCTCAATAATTGTTTATTAGACAAGATTTGAAAGTCACATGTTAAACCTACTAGACCAAATCTTTGATGACGATGTCATTAGGGTTCACCCAATAACTCCACGATTCGTAGAAATTACTGTTGCATTTGCATTTGCATGCATATTAATGGTTTTAATAACACACTGCTCATTAGCCTTTGTTTACGTGCACGCTTAATACTGATGCCACCATGCTTGGTACATTTGAGCACCATGGAAAAGTTATCATGTTGAGTTACAACACCCGCTTATATACGAGCAAATAAACCTTGTAATTAGGGTTCACTCGCATATTAGTCATGAAGCATGGTGTTACAGATTTTACATATACACGGCTTTTTTTACTCTCCAAGCGTAAATTTTTTCTATCTATCTTAAAATCGATAGGCAATTCATGTCTATTTCCTCTTCTTTTCAAAGGGGGTAAATACTCCTCTCATACTTATAATTGTCGGTAATACGCTCTAAAGGTCATAATGCAGGATAGTCTGTTTTCCTTAAGCCAAGAGTCGCAATGGATCGTTGTATCTACTCTATCGAACAACTAACTTGCAGTTGCTAACTCAAATCTACAATGGCTTTTACATCTGATGGTCTAGTTCCCTGTCATATCACTATGACTCTTCAGGGGTCCGTAGTAAGTACAAATCCATGAAGAAGCATTGCACGGTCTCCGCAGCATTATTTCATAGCTGTTGCGAGTTAAGCAAACCATGGCTTTAATATCCTTATTCATATCGTGGTGAGATCTTCCCACTTCTTACATTTTATATCTCAAAATGGCTGTTTTTGAAGGGGGTAGAGTCCCTCAATAATATATTGTATTCCATGCCATTTCTCGTGCTATGATAATTTATTACTTACTAATAAATCTACAAGTGCAAGAGTAGGTATTTTGTCAGGATCAGAAAACTGTGTTGGATCTTCATGGTGCCTGCACTCGAGAGGCATCACCATCACAATGTCATATCCTCGACAACTATGATGATAGAATTCAAGTAGATTCTTCCTCAAACAAAAGGATAAACATACCCTGATAATTCTGGGGCACAATAAGTCGAGATACGTAACTCTCGCAGCTGATCCCTTGAAGATAGTAGCAACACCAAGTTCGCTCTGACCTTAGGGAGTTTATACTTTAAACCCGGGATATAGACTATCAGTCTAATGCACATAGTGGTAGCACACTCGAGTACCCGTGGGAGCTGGCGTATTACATATGCCCAGTTAAGCATGAATAGTTATTTGAACGGATATCCTCTTCAGGATCGTCCTTAAAAAGACATTCTCTTCAGAATCGTCTGTATTTGAGGAGCCCGTACCCAGTTTCCTCGTGGATATCCTTTTCAGGATCGTCCTTCAAAAGACATTCCCTTCATAATCGTCTGTATTTGAGGAGCCCGTACCCAGTTTCCTTCTGGATATCCTCTTCATGATCGTCCTTCAAAAGACATTCTCTTCAAAATTGTCTGTACAAAGGTATTCTCTTTAGGATCGCCTGCAAAAGAGCCGTGTACTTAACATCCGGCCATTATAAGTGCTTTACAAATAACTCATAAGCCGTGTACTCGACATCCGGTATTGAGAAAGGCCTTTATTTCCATGTTCATCAGCAAGGAGAAGACTATCCCTCAAACCTAAACACGCGTTTTATACCTCAATGAGAACTAGACTTATTCTCGATCAGAATGAAAATGACTTTATTCTCGATGTTTTTGAATTCACTTTGTGCCCCGTCAATACATGCATATTTATTCTATTTTGGTGGTTGCCATCCATCTCCTTCTGATTGACGGCATTTTAATTCTTTACCCATACGTGGGCTTTTTAAGCAGGCATCGCCTCGAACCAAGCAGCAAAAATTACACTCTCATACTATTTTTATCGAAAAAGTCTCGGTCTGCCAAATGCCACCCCAAGACTTGGGGGCTCCGAGATGAGTAATGGTTCCGGAGTTATCTATAACGAGGAACGTTTATGTACGGGAGAGTGTAAGGTGTCTGGAAGGTGTATAAGGTGTTTGGGATGTTGTGTTTTTGTTTTTTTGTGATGATCTTGGGTCAACGGATCTCTTCCTATGACTATTCTCGACGGTCTTCACTTGATGCTCAGACTGGGGCATCGTTTCCTCTCACACTAATGAGTAAAACCTCCTCGATTCTTGCTCAAGTTCGAGCAATGATATTATACATCTACTTAGGGTCGACACATCAACCTGGTTTATACTTCTCAAACCCGGACTAAGGGTTCTATGCTTTATTTCTCGGGACATGAGAAATGGCGAGCGGGTCGGTTGGACAGAAATAAATAAGCTTAAATACTTGTGTACCTTCTTCGAGGTCAGATGGTTACAATTCTTGAGTTTTGTATGGCGTTCTACTCGAGAGAATCTTCTCGAGTCTCACTATCCCTGTATTGACGTGATCACATGCGGCATCTTCTATGGTGCCTCGTCTCTTCTGTCCCTCCTCGACAAATCGAGGATTCATATGGTGACAGTCTCTGCTCTCTAATTCTATACCACACTCGAGCTGGTCTTCTCGAGTCTTCAGATTTCTTAGCAGGAGAGTATGCTGGGGCAAGTTCTTGACGTGCTGATTCAATCCAAGACAGTGTTCTTTCTCGAACTTATGTCATCGACATCGAGTATTCTGTTTTCATTCATAATGCTTCTCGATCCACTACCCTGTGGTTATTCTCGAGGGTTTGGGTTTATTACCTCTCAATCAGAAGCCTATGTCATAGTTCTCCATTAGACTCCTCACCTCGACAGTTGATATATTTTAGCCGCTTATGTCCCTATTTATATGTTTCCTTCTCGATTATCTCAACAAGTAGGCCATCTGCTTTGATATGTCTATGGAGCATACCGTAAGGACTTCTCGACTGAAGTCTGGATCAATGACATGAATTGCAATCTTCAAACAGATTCTTCGTTCTGGCAGTCGTTGTGCCTTCGAAAGTTATTGATAAACACATCTCTAAGATCATCGCATATTGACTTCTCACTTGAAAGGTTGAATTGATGACTCTTCTTTCTTCACAAAGTGGCATAAATATCAATCGCCCTTTATGACACGCACATTCGACGAGGTACGCGCTAATGCTTTCATTACATTGTTTTTTCCTCGATGCTAACCTGTCGTAGGTTCTCGATTCAAGTCAGTTCTTTCCGAACTTGGGGAAAATTTATACTTCATATTATCAAGCCTGCCCTATCTTCAGACTTCAAAGTATAGGCTTGATAAGGGGCACTTGACGAGTCCAAATTAGCACGGTCCGCGACTAGGCCGGCCCAAGTTCGGTGAGCTGTCCATCCGACCCGCTGGAAGCTTCTAGGTTGGTTTCTAATTACTTTCCTACCAAAAAAAGGGTTTCATAACCTAACACTATAAATATGGATCAACTCCTTACATCAAAGGTACGCTCTACGCACCACAATTCATACATATGTTACAATTACTCTTACTGACTTAAGCATCGGAGTGTCTACCCTCGGGAGACCCCGAGATCCTCTTTTGCAGGTTTTAGGGTTTTGATACAGCCATGGCCGCCAGGAAGGAAGAAAGGGAAAGAAGGGAAAAACAAAAAGATTTTTTATTATTTCAACAGTAAATTTCATCTTATTTTATGTTAAAAAATTATAATCAAAACCAATCCTTCCCATAAACTAAACAGTAAAATTGGATTCATGAATTCGTAAGAATTTGAACCAATCCAAATCTTTTTCCTAATCTGTTTCCAAATCCGTTTCCAGATAACAAAACAAACACCTCCTGAGTTCGCCATCCTCGTCAATGTTTACTATGCGCAAGTGTATGTTTTTTGAAGATGAAGAAGTTGGTCAAGTGGCAGCTGATCGATAAGTCCTTTACTTAACCTTTTTCACGAAGTGTTCCATTGGATGCTCCTTATAGTTTGTGAAACTTTATCTCTACTTGTGTAGCTGCTTCTTCTGATACTCTTTTTTTACCCAATTCCATTAGCCTCGTTGCTCTAAATTTCAGTACCAATAGTGTGGGTTTGGTTTATCAATGTTTAGATTTCGGAAATGGTAATTAATATAGATGTGGAATGTCGTTTCACGATTATAATAGTACTACTTAATTAATAAGCCGCCTTAAAAAGGGTCTTGCGCTATCTGATGATAAGTGTGTCTCTTCAAAAAAAAAAAAAAAAAAACTAAGAAAAATGTGTCGTTGGATTATTGAAGTTTTTGGAATTTTGTCCCTTTTCTTTCTGACTGATACCTTCCTAGCTCGGAGTCGGTGGAAACAGGGCTAAATAAACTTTAGATTTTTTTCATAATTAAATGAGTTGTTTGTATGTATGGATTCGTCTAAACTGTGAATGCTAATTTGTATAGTGCTAATTTGCTTTACATGTTTTAATCACTATTCCCACCAACAAAAAAAAAAAAATCATTTGGGAATGTTCGTCAATGGTGAATCTTTATTATTACGACGCGGAGAACGCAGGTTGTAGATGTTTCAGCTGTCGTGGAATAGAGGATTCACGGTTTATGTATTTCCATTCAATTCCACATAATTGACATCGCCTAACCAATCGAGATTTAACTACTGGAACGGGAATATGGTTATTGGCTGCTGGGAGCACTAGCAAAGATGACAATTTTTTTTTTCTTTTTTCCTTTATATTTAGAGGATAGGAAATATGCAAAAATTCTACTTGTTGGCTTCGACATCCCTACTGATAAAGTAGACAATTTCCAAGCTCAGATGAAAAGCCCTTCCCATTTTAAGAAGTGAAAAAAAAAAAAATAGTACGTAATCACGGAACAGCATTTTTCTTCTTCCCAACCAAACAAATCAGTAATGACGATACAAGTATTCACCAATTTACCGTTGATTTTCCTCTTTACCAATTAATGTCTGACTTAGGTGTCAATGCAGATAATTTGTCGAGATCAAGCGGAACAATCATGAATCAACAACGGAGATTTTAGTACTGTATCCACTTACTCACGTTATAATTAATAATAGATAAGCCGTTTGAAATGCAGATTCCAGACTGTCCCAGTAAGTAGTGTACTTTGCATACAAGGTTTGCAAATCACATTGGTTAATGACCAGATGAAAAGTGAAAGTTCTCATATCATATGGATTTAGCAAAAATTTAAGCTATTTTAAGCAAACAAAAGGAAGCATAAACTATCATTTATGAGCTAGTGCTACAACAACAACTTGTGGTGTTGTGAAGGAAAAAAAAAACGTTAAACGAAATGAAGAAACCAAAAAGCAGGGGTGGTTTTACATCATAATAATAGGCATTGAATTTAAGGTACTCATCATCAGTTGAGAAACTCAGAAGTACACAACAGATCTTCTTTTTATGACCAAATTAAAACAAAGAGATTTTACTAAGCAGTGAGCTCTTCCTCCTTGTGGGTCTCAATGACAACATCAGAAGTAGGATAAGCAACGCAGGTGAGAACCCAACCCTCAGCTATTTGGTCGTCATCCAGGAAGCTCTGATCTGACTGGTCCACTGTGCCGGAAACAACTTTTCCGGCGCAGGAGGAGCAAGACCCGGCACGGCAAGAGTAGGGGAGATCGTGACCCTTTTCCTCAAAATGGTCCAGAATGTATTCATCCGCTGGGTGGCCGTCGTATTCGATTTCTCCGTCGGGTGTAATCAGCTTCACCTTGTAGGCCATACAGGTTGTCCTGCCGCCGCGGATGCTCTGAGCGCCGCCGGATTTCAACCCGAACAGAGCCTGGCTGACGGTGGGGAGTGCCCGGAGGCTGGTCACCGGCTTCCTTGGGAGGAAGGAAGTGCTCACCATGGTGCCGGAGATGGTCGCCATTGCTACTGCTTTTTGGTTTGGTTTTTTGGGTTTTTTGTAGGTAGTTGAAGAAGAAAACTCTCTCAAGAAAACACTTTCAAATCTATGGAAGAAAAATGGGTTCAGGGCTTGTGGAAATAGTGTGGCAATTGGAAGGCTATCCTCCACGTGGCAGCATATCGTGGCTCATTCTATCGTTTCTTTTATCAGTTTCATTTCCATCAATACGATGGTGAGGTGAGGGTCACTGGTTTTTTCAAATTTGTGACTGTGATCGACTCAATTCTACTTCATTTTTGGCCTTTCATTTTGTGGGATGGACTTTTGACAAGTGGTTTTTACGTTTATCTCGTATTTTTTTGCCCCCAGAATATATATTATGTTCTCCAATTGGCAATGCCAACCACAGTTTTTGGCTTCTTTCTTCATGAATGGTAACAAAAGAAAAGACAACCCTGAATCCACCCATGTCACATAAGGGATACAACTATCATTTATCGTCAATTGCACTACCAAAAAATGATATACTAACTAAACTAAAGAATTATACTCTTTATGTGAAAAACAAATATTTTGAGATGGAAAGAGTATTTATTAAAATGTATAGAATGGAATTTAATTTTCGGGCCAGAGGAATATCACAAAGACACTAGTCACACCAGGAAGGCACATATCCATTTTCATAAGCATCGATGATGTGTGGCGGAAATTCCCGGGTTCAGCTAAACCCTTCATTGCCTTGAACCCCAATATAACTAGAAAAAGACAAAAAGTAGTAGAACATACTAGATGCATCTGGATTTGAACTCCTTTTCCCATTGTCTTTAGGAAAGAAGATGAGAGGTTTTAAGCCGAGCTGGTAGAAGGGAAAAAAAAATTCTGTGAAATAGAACCATCATTGTTGCTGGTTATTCGTATTTACATGTAACAGTCACATCTGCTCCTTAGAGAAAGGTGCATTAACTTTTCTGCCAAATCCAGTGTTTAGGAAACCAAGTTAAAAGCGCCTATCTAAGATTGGTTGTGATGCAAAGAAAAGAGAAAAAAGAGGACAGAGATGGGTTAGTAACGCAGAAAAGAGTGAAAACAATGTTTATGTATACAAATAACATTAGCTGTTTCGACCTGTCGCAAAACAGTAAACTCATTTACTGATTAATCTTCCCCACAATTTCCTCTTACCCGAAAGATGTATCTGAACAAAATCAATTAATGATAGGCATATCTGAAGAGGGAAAAAAGGGAGGGGCTACCATAAGTCATCTACTACTGTATTACATTATCATGCCAACTTTTCAAAATTATAGAAAGCAGTCTCTTCCTAATTTACGTAAAAAAAAAAAAAAGAAAAGAAAAAATAGGCTTTCTTTTACAGCCTGGGGGAGCAAGGAAATGATCAAAAGCTTCCCCAGAATCCTGAGAGTTACAAACCATCCTCAAAACCCTTGAGTTCCTCGATGAAACACCGGCATCGGTGACCAAAAACTCACTTCATGCTTCTTGGTTTCTTTCAGGTGATGACCAGAAAGACGCAAACTACGTTCCGCTGTCCTTTGAACTACACTAATCACATTTGATGTTTCTGTAGATCCTCCTCACAAACAGATTAGAACCAAGATAACCAACAGCCCCTGAAAAATGAAAGCACCAAAAGGTGAGAAATACTCATTACAAGAATTCTGCAACATAGCCAACCCCTTCTACAACAGAAGATGAGCCCGAATTTAAGACGGCTCTAATTGCTATATATAGCCAACAGCTTCCACAATCGAAGATCCCAAAACCTGAAATCATGAGCTAGGCTATACACCTAATAACCTATGAGCCCATGCAACAGAAACATTTAGCATCAAAAGTGCCTTTTCAGGGGATTGCCTCTCACAAGCCTAACCTTCCCAACTACTCCCATGCCGAAAGAATGAATATATGACAATTTGATACCCTTCTGTCACACTACTTACGAAAAAATATACTAGAAGTTATATTGTTCTAAGATCATGATACACCAAAGTAGTTGACTTCCTCTCCCCCATGATTGACTCCTCTATGGGAGACCACCCACAAGGTACTTCAGACCAATCTTCTGTGAAAAGGAGCCTTAACAGCTAACAAAGAATGAAAAGCAGAAAACAAGGCCCAGAATGTGTATTAAATACTAATAAAAAAACACAACTTTCACACCCAGAAATCATCATCAATATTAACATACCTTGCACACCCAGAAACCATGATGTATATTTACCGAAATAAGAAATAAGTAGGTTTTAAGGAGAGGATATCTGCAGTGTAGAACATGCGGAATGCAAACAGCATAGCAACTTATGCTGGCTAGGCATTTAATGAGGCCCACACAAAGAGGAAACTATTGTATGAAGACAAATTAAAACAATTGGAGGGTTGACACTCAAGTTGTAAGTTTTTAATCACTGGGAATCACACCAGAACTACACATTGCAGTGATAGCTCAAACCAGATCAAGACCCAGAGATTACATTCACAAATTTCACCAATTTCAAATGTTAGTAATTGACTTAAAATCAAATTGATACTGCTGAATGTTTTTGAATTAATAACAGTTCAAACAATAAGCTCAAACTGAAGTACACCCATAACAATCATAAGCACACAGCGCAGATGTAAAAATCTTAACACATGGAGCCAATCTATGTTATACGGAAAGGAAAAAAAAATTTAAGTACTCACCACAGAGTATTCCTAAGCCAAGGCAGAACATGAGAGTGTAACCAAAATAGAAGCTGGTTTGGAAGAAACCAGACATCTTTGTCTTCACGTAGTAGTAATAGATTGAATATAAATACACATATACAGCTGTTGAGGCGGCCGAGAAGAATGATGTCCATTGCCAGTGATAATTTTCAGCATTAAGCAAGAAATAGGTGCCAACAATTGTAACACATACTGTTACAATGATGAGAATCAGGAAAACCAACAGCATAAATCCATACACGTAGTACACCTGCCAATCATGAAAGACAAAGTTAAAAGCAATACGTAAGCATAAAAGCAGTATCTTAAAACTATAGCATGAGACTAATGATCCTGTTAATGCAAAAAGAATGAAATTTCAGATACGATGCAGGCTAATAAAAAGGATCCTTTAGTAGAAATCAGGTATAAAACGATAACTAAACTTTCATCACAATTGTCATATATTAATTATCACGCAACCTTGTGCTCCCAGCTTGATTTCAAATTAAAAACCAAAAAAGAAAAAGCAGAAGAAAAAGAGAATCAATTATCAAAAAATTCCTGACCAAGTTTGGTTGTTATTTAATGGATAAATATTCCGATCAAGATAGAAAAATTCCCCATGCTACTCAAGCAAAGGTTGCTCGCTGAGTAGGATGCAGCAGAGGAAATATCTAACAAAGCGACACAGAAATCTACAAGAAAATAGCAGGTGGACAGGCAAAGGTAGAAAAGAAGAGAAATCTCACTAAATCTTACACGTCAGCCTAGTGCACAAGTGGACGAGTGAGAGTATATAGTCAATCATCTAAACTTCAGATTATTAGAAAATGTGTAGGAGGAGGTGCAGCATTACTCTAAACTTTGTCTCGGCATCATATTATGTACTAAGAGGTTCTTCAGACATGGTTGATGCATCCATGCAAAGCTCAAATTGAAAAGCAACCACTAAAAGCAACAGTAGCAATGTAAGGGTGATCAAGTGACTCAATAATTGAAGACATTTATTTTACCTTATAATTCCAAAAGGAGGTGAAAACAAAATACATCTCAATGAATATGCTGCCAAATGGTAGCAATCCTCCCATCATGGAAACTACAGATGGAGTCAAATACCATTTCTTCTCTGGAATTGGCCGGGGAATGGTTTTTACGCGACAAGGATTGTTTGGAGCACCACTCCAGTTTCTACCAACAACTGTACCAAGAAGTGCTAGAGGAAAGGAGATAAACGCCCAAATGACAAGAACCACCACCATGGTTCCAAAGGGAATGGCAGCTAGTGACCCATAAAATATAGCAATGGTATTCAACACAAAGCCAATGCCAAAGCACAAGAACGGAAAAAGTGATGCGGTAAGAATCATCGATTTGATCCAATTTTTACCTGCAAAATGAAGAACCAATTTTTAACCCGTGCAAGTAGAAAGCATTACGAAAAGTTAACAGAGAATCATGACACTGCAAAATGCAGGAATATTACTTACCCCCGTTCCGTGAGTACATTCCACCACTGACATAACCAGAAATGAATGATGTGAAAGCATAGCATACTATGAAAGTGGTGACGATAGCTCCCCTCCTGAAATTAACAGGTCCAGGATGAAACCGCATATTAGAACAAAATCAACAGAGCGAAACCTGAACCAAATTATAGGTGAAATTGAAGCTCGTAACATATATGTAAAGAAAAAATGAGAAACATTCCAGATGACAACCCCATAAATTGATTATGACAGAATAAAATAACAACAGACCAAACAGGTTTGTCGTGGGGGACGATAAATCAATCAAATCCCGGGAAAAGGAGTTATGTCCCATGTGAAATTGTGCCCACCACCCAAAGAAATAAACAAATAATCAAATCAAATGATAAAAATCACTGAACATTTTCAATTTCACAGCAATTATGTTGTATAGCTCGAACCTACCCAATGTACAACATTCCCACAATAGCAAACAAGATGACGAGGAGAACCAGCAACGCTAGTTGTGCGCCTGTGCCAACAAGAGCAGAAAGCAATACTAATGTGCGAGGAGAACGGAATACATCTCCATGAACAAGCTTCCAACCAGACTCCTCACTGACATCTCTTTCCTGTTAAAGAGAAAGAATAGGAAGGAGTTATAAAATTCAACATAGTATTGCAGGACATTGTATCACAATAATAACTAAATGAATGGTTGCAACTTAATTACCAGGGTTTCAAGGTCATCATCTTCACGAGCATATTTAGCATAGTCATTCCTCAGAGTTCGCATAAGTATCATTGACACCAACCCGGTTAGAAAGATAACCATCATGAAGGAATTAAAAATGGAGAACCAGTGAATCTGCAAGTAGTACGATACAATCGATTAGTTGCACTATTAAATCACCGAAAAGCAACAAGTAATAAGAAATATTCTTGAAAAATTCAAGACTATAAGCTGAATACTAACACTCCCATTAGCCATTCCATAATGCCAATAAAAGAGAAAAAAAAAAAGGAGAGAAAAAAGAAAAAAGAGGAACTTTAATCAGGTACAATGCGTGGAAACCCAAGGCAATAGCAAAAAAGCACAATGAGAAACATAACACAAATAAGGATGTAAGAATAGGCCTAGTAAGGATGTGGAATCTAAAGTTCACCTGATGCTCAAAAAAAGGGTAGTCCAAGTACACGTCAAAACGACGTGCAAAGGTGACATTGGTTGGACTCCACTTAACGGAATAGGTCATGTCCAATTTTCTGCCAACTTCCAATGGCTTGGGATTCTCTTGAGTGAGATTCACATGGATGATCTGGGAAAAATACATGTTTGAAATTAATATAAAAATGATAGCAAACCTTGCATGTCCATTCAGCAAACAAGATTTGTTATCCCCAAACCTGATCTTTGTTGTATTGGACATTGATGCTCTTGTGTGTATAAAGCACATGCTTATTATCACTGTTTCGGTCAGCATGCAGCTCGCCAACAAAGCCTGCAAGATGAACAATATTACACTCACAAAACAAAATTTTGAAAATATTCTGAACATAAAAGCTTTAGAGAAACGTACCCCACAATGGCAGATCATCTGAACTCCCAGACAGCCCCAAGCCAAAAGAAAAAGATTTGAATTAGAACGGAACAATACGAAATAAAATCTCAAGACTTCAAAGCAAGCTCCATAAGCTCACAATAAAGAAATAGCGACTAGATCATAGCGGTTATCTATTTATTGCGCAATTGTCATTACCAGAACTAATAACATAATTCAATTGGGCATTTGAGAGCAGAGAGCCTCGATCAGGGTATCTTCACGAATCACAAGAAAAAATAAGCTAAAGCTAATAGTAGGACCTATCCGTATGATGGCAATTAAACCATGTCATATTACCAAAATTCTTATATTGAATAAATACCAGAAACAGAATAATGTGTTATCATTTATCAAATGGTGAACATAACAGTGGACAACTATACATGCAGCTCCAGTTGCAGATACAGCTTCAAAATTATAGATGATATAAACAAAAAGAAATGAGCCACATACCCATAAAAAATTCAAACCAATAACTGCTTTCAATGGCATCCTTAAACTGTTTAACTTTTGCTTCATCGAGTTCAAGCTCGCACACAGATGTCTTTTCCACATTTTCTGTCACAAAACAAGGATCCAGTTGAATATTCGAATAACAAAATTAGTTTTACAACATTAAGTAAGATTTTGCCACATACTCCTGAATTTGATATCAATTAAGCTGTCAATAAGTTCATTTCCACCCAAGACTTCACCGAGACCTCCCCATTTATGAGCAGTATTCCCCTCTGGATGACAAAATGGAAGACTGTAGTAGTTGTATGTTTCTTGCGGATTATTATACGGCCCTACTTTGTTGACCCAAAGGGTAACTTTGTCATCTTCTTGATACTGAAAAAGAAAGCAAAAATGGATCAGAAGGCAAATCAAGAAACAACTTCACTTGGATAAACAACAAAATACAACCACTACCAAGGACTGACACGTTGCTCAATTTGAGAAACAAAAGAAAAAAGTCTAAAAAGCATACAACTCTCCTGTACGTACAATAAACAATAGTATGACAGATCTTTTTCTATTCACGTGTCTCATCCAACAAGCCACAAAACAAGAGTAAGTCGTCATTATTTAAATGTACTCATCAATGGTTCAGGAGCTCCTACAAAGATTTCATGGTTAAAATGCTCATCCGGGAAACACAAAAACAAAAAAGATAAAACATAATTCTTCAAAGAAAAGCACCAACCTAGTTGTACTGTGATCTCTCGTTCAATTCAGTTCAATGTTATGTTTGTCCAAACTACTAAATGGGTAAACGATAAAATTTTTTCTTATTCCAAAACTAAGAGAACATCAAATTTGTAACAGAGGATCCAAGCTTTAAATGCACAACTCAAAGCTAACATGCATTAAAGATGTTCATAATGATGAACAGAACATGGTTAGACAACTTTACAGGAGCTACTGCATCTAACTGATCAAAAACTCAAGTTGTAATAACTGAATCTAGATCCTGTTTTATATCCCACACTAAGTCCCTTCCTCCTTCTATCTACGTCTAAAATCATAACATTAAAAACCGCGGTAAATCACACGAAACATGTCGATATCATAGTTTGTCAAAAGCTGGTGTCACCTAACCGCACTCTCACAAGCTCACGAATGCCAATAACAGCTTGCCACATTTCAACCGGGCCAATCAACACACAGATACATATATTCCCGAACTGAAAGCATAATGAAAACATACATTTACAGATACAAGGGCAGCATTACATGTCTGCTAAATTTTAATGATTAACCATAAGTACGCCCCAATTCATCAAGTGCATAACAAGTCAAATACCTAGAATTCGTCAAGATCCAAACCCAAATAAACCATATAAGAGCAAACTCGGAAGTGAAGATGCAACTCAATACACTATCGAACAGAAACACGCTCTTTAAATGCCAAACACGATAAAATAATCAAACGCGGAGAAATGAGCACCCAATCTGCTCAATCCTCAATAGATCTGAGCAGCAGTAACAAAATAATAACCAAATTCAAAGATCCAAGCATTCAAAATGACAAAGCCACATGGAAATCCAGCTTAATTAGGGTTTTTTCAGTAATGCGGGAAGATCGCGGGCGCAACGAAGAGAGAGCAAGAGATGCTATACCCTGTGATCATACTCGGAGGCAACGGCCGGCGAGGCGATGACGAGAAACACGGCGGCAAGAAGGGAGAGAAGAGCGAACGATCGGACGGGGAGCCGCATGTCGGAGAAGAGAAACGCCGGCGATATATTTGGATCTTACGGTAATAAAAGAAGGTGGGGGAAGTCAGTGAGAAACGGATTACAGAAGTCTAAATCGGAGAAGTGCAAAGTGCAATTTATATAATAAAGAAAAAAATAAATAAATCAAGTAGTCTAATTTTATTTTTTCTAATTAAAGAGTCGTTTTTAATGCAAATGGACGCCAAGTTCTTCTCAATTGGACGACTTCAACACTAATCAAAGTCAATTCGTACCCATCAAACTTTGGTACGCTTCTCTGTTTTTTTTTGGGTGTTTGAAGGAGATTTGGGCCTTTCTTTTCCTTTCATGTTTTTCAGACGCAAAGTGCTTTGTTTTTTCTTTTTTTTTTTTCTTTCGTTTGTTAGATACTTTAAATTTAGAGTTTAATAGAAAGCATAATGAGACGATATTGATATCAGAAATGATGAAGTTAATCGGTAATATTATGAGTTAGAAATAGATGGAACATTAATTTTTAGAAAAAAAAAAAACAAAAAAATCACTTTATATTAATCATATAATAAAGACTCGCAATAGTCTCACTACCCCTCTGCAACGAGCAATTTTGAATGCTCATATTCTTTACTTGAGAAAGAAAAATCACAACTTTTTAAGGAACATTTTCATCTCCTAAATAAATACAAATTTTCAATGTAGCAGATTAATATTGTTGCTCAGTCACTGTTACACGTTACTTAAAACAGACGAAAATTCATCATAATAATTAAAGGAAAATTATGACATAAGTGGTCAAGAACTGAGAGATTGTTGTTTTGAATTTATATAACAGCTAGTTTTAACCTTGTGCGTTGCATGAATTATATTAAATCTAAAATTTTAAATTTAATGTCATATGTTTTATGTGAATAAATTATTACGAGTCGGAATTAGAGTCTTACCCTAATGATTAACCTACGACTCACAACATTCAAATTTTTTAATATTTATTTTTTAATGTTAAAAAATTGTAATATTCAAGTTTTTTTTTTGTTACTTTACATTTTTTTGGGTATTTATTAGTCTACATGTCTTTAATGATAAGGTGCGTAATATATATATATATGGTGATAATTCTATATTACATTTGAAAGTAATTAATTAACTTGGATAGTTTTATTAATGGTGTTTATATACATATCACGTTTATTGACCTGGTTTATAGATTTGGTTATACATGAATTGTTATCATTTTGATTATAAAGGGTAAATAACATATTAAAAATGTGAAATTAAATTGTAATATTCAAGTTTTTTTTTTGTTACTTTACATTTTTTTGGGTATTTATTAGTCTACATGTCTTTAATGATAAGGTGCGTAATATATATATATATATATGGTGATAATTCTATATTACATTTGAAAGTAATTAATTAACTTGGATAGTTTTATTAATGGTGTTTATATACATATCACGTTTATTGACCTGGTTTATAGATTTGGTTATACATGAATTGTTATCATTTTGATTATAAAGGGTAAATAACATATTAAAAATGTGAAATTAAATTTTAACTTTAAAATTTTACATTTTATTTTACTTTAATGAAGGAGCACTATCACGATGACAAGTAGCACATAGATCCTAAACTACCTTACTGGACGACATGCATCGATTATAGACTCTCCTAACATATATATATAAAATTTGAACGTAATTGCAAAATTATACTTATCTTATATTGTGATGTAATGCAAATAGATTTATTTTAAGAAAATTAATTATGTTATAAAGTAATATGTAGTATAAATGTTGTCATATACCGGCCCTTCCCATAAAATAAAGTAAAAGAAATTGTAAAACATAGAGTTAAATTTAATTTATTGTCAATCATGATAAACCTAAATGGCAGTATTGTCTGTGCTGATAAAGACTTTACCTTTTCTTACAAAATAAAGAAATAATAATCGACTGTGTATTTCATTCATTTTTTAATTATTTGTTGAAAAGTTAATGTCATTAGTGTAGTGATTAAAGCCAACAGCATGCTTATAAGTCGTAATACGGTGAGAAATAAAGGAAATTATTATTTTTTTGAGTGCATGAATGCAATTTTGTAATTTACAAAGGCAATGTAATTGTAGTTATTATATACTCATTAATTTTCCACTAGAAAATGTTAAAATATACTTATTTTATGCATATATAATCATTAATTTTTTAAAAAATAATCAAGTAATTCAAAACAAATAAGAAGAATAGTGTACAACTTGAATAAACAAAAGTATTAAATAACAATATAAATAAAACCACCGGAAGAGTAGGAAAAAATATATATACGATGGTACAACTTCCAATTTAAACAAATTAACTCAAAAAAAAAATTCAAAACTAAATATGTACGATTGGTCAATAATTCACCTTCATCACCCCATAATATATACTACATAACGTAGTAGTCCATTCTACAATAAATAATTAAATACAATCGTAGAGACACCATACTTTTGTTGAACAATCATCATGTTTATAACGTGTCAAAAACTTAAATTCCAAACGATGGTCATGTTCTTTTAAATAATTTGATTTCTTACTATTCAAGGTTGTAATATTGTGCATTCTCTTAATTTAACAACTAACAATTCCAATGTTGGTTCATCACATTAATCATAACCTTTTAGACTAAAATCTAAAATGGTCGTTTACATTAAGCCAAATCTACATTTTAATCATCTACATTCACATTTGACTGAAATGGTATTCTGTATTCTTGGGTGTAACTTTTTTGTCATTTGAGACTATTCAAGGAATTTGGCCGTTCAAGTCAACAAGGGTATTTTTGGAATTAAAATATTTAGTTTTTTTAAAAAATTAATATCGAATATAAAACAAAATATTAAAATAATTATATTTATAAAAAAAATTAAGTATTAGTGAAAGATTTTAAAAATTATTTTTATACTACAATGAAAAATAAAATAAAAAATTTGCCCCTTCTTAGCAGAAACTTTTAATTATTTTTATTTGGTAGGCTCGGGATAAAGTAAAATAAAATATTACTTTCGTGACAATCTCTAATATAAATAATTATTAAATTGAAACTTAAGATTATATTAAATCTAATTTTTTATTTTTTATTTTTTATTTTTTTAATTTATCAAATTATAGGGTTTTTACAGTAGATTTCTCTTGTAATTATGGACTGAAAAAGTTACTATTTTATAAGAGATCGTCAGTCTATATGAGTGTAACTATGGAGGTTTTGATGTATCGAATAAAATAATAATGTAAATATTAAATATATAAAAATAACTCATAATAATTAAGAAAATAATATTCAAAATTTTTTAAAATTACATTTTTTTAAAAAAATGACTAAATTATATAATTGTGTACAATTGTACAAGATTTATAGCTACTTTAATAAAATATTATAGTAAAAGACTAAACTATAAAATTTTTGACAATTCAAAAATTAGTCTTTTTTAAAACTACATAAATTTTTGATTTTTTTTAAAAATAATGCTTTTGTTAATATTGCTATCACGAATTATTTTATTAGTAAAGTGAGATCCTAATTTGAAGAAATAAAATAGATGTCTAGGATTCTATTGGGATAGATACTATATAGGGTGAAAATTCCCCAGTGATAGGACTAGGTTTTTTCAAAAGGGCTGAAAAAGTTAAAAAAAAAAATTAAATTTCTATTTTTTATGGATAATTTTTTTAATTTAATTTAATTTTATTACTTTTGTAATTTTAAATTTATAGAAATTCTTTTATTCAGTACTAATTTTTTGGTAAAACTCCTAACATAGTTTGAAAGGATAAAAAAATTACAAACAAAAATATTAAGGACCATTTTAGCTAATTATTTATGTTGAGGGCCGAGATGTGTATTTAATCTAATATAAAGGACCGTTTTCTGATTTAAGTAAAACTTTTTATTTCACCTTCTTAACTCAAACGAAACATACAGTTCAATTTTTTATTTTCTTCCTCTAAAACTTTCTTCACAATATCCCCATTGTTAAAACAATAGCGAAAAAAGTTAGACAAATCTGTTATTCCATTTAGTGAATAAAAATACAAGAACTTGGAACTAGGAGATGGTGTCAATTTCAACCATTAGTTCTTTCATAAACACTAAAATCTTCTCTCTAATATGTTAACTTATTTTAGAAGCAAAACCAATAAAAACGTTAAAGAAATGACAAAAAAAATAATAGAAAAGTTCATATAAGATTCGGCCAAAGTACGGTAATAGTTGGCATAGGAAGCAAATCCTTAAAATCAGAGATGCTGCCAAGGAAGGCTTCTTAGTGAATAAATGGAAAGCCAATGTAAATGGGACGCATACCGTTAGTTCAGGGTGTGGATGGCTAATGGGTAGTACAAATAAGTGGAAAGGTGTGCAATGTATTTGGTTTGCTTTGACTGGCTCATCAGCATTCTTTCATCAGCTGGTTAGTTTGGAAACAGAAAGTGCTAATTGGAGACAGATTGTCTCATATGAACATTCCAGTAGATGACAACAAGGGTGTCTTGTGTACAACAACCGATGAATTAGCTAAGCATATGTGTTTTTACTGCACTTATGCCAGAGAGTTATTGGAATTGGTTAAGAAATGGCAGGGACGTAGGAAACTGTCGAACTGTATGAATTGATGGCAGGTTCAGATTCTTCATATATGGAAGGGGACTAGATTGAAAAGAGATAGGCTTTGGACTGTGATCAATGCCTGCATCTACCACGTTTGGGAAGAAAGGAATCGAAGGTTTTTTACGGGTGCTACCAGGTTGGGCAGGAAGTGTTGAAACCGATAAAGGAGGAAGTTAAAATCAGAATTGGGAAACTGAAGAATCCATGGAATGCAACAGAAAGAAAATTAATGCATCAGTTTTTTCCTTGGGTTGATTTTTTTGTGTGTGTCTGGAAATGATGCAAGTAAATGTAAATATAAAGCAATAGATTAGCAGAGGTTCAAAGTAGTGGAGAACTATGTAAAGTGGCAACAATTGTTTTTTCGGGTTGATCGTTAATACTCACTCCGTCTCATAATTATTGTCCAGTTTGAATTTTCATTTCTAATTCAAATTGTATTAAAAGTGAAATACAAACTTGACAATAATTTTGGGAGAGAGGGAGTATATTTTTATCTTTCACCAAAAAACGTTCATATAAAATTTTCTTTTTTTTACTAATTTAAATCTTCCACAAAATTCAATAACGAGCATTCTGCTATATGTAAAAAAAAAAAAATAAAATTACGAAAAAGAACAAAGGCATCATTCTCAGATTCGTTAGCGCATAGTACTCCATCCCATGTCATATGTTGGCATGTTGCCCCCCCATCCTCGTAGCACATGCTAACGTAATTAAAGTAATCATCATCTTCATACTACAACTTTCTTACCTTATGATTTATTTAATTACAAACACAATTATTTATTGATTATTATTATTGCTTAAACTAATAACAACACAAGATAAAATCATAACAAGTCCCCCAAACCTTTGCATCTCATGCACACTCAGGCAGATTCAGTACTTACTGCTTAAATATTCCTTCCTTTTTCTTCAAATCAGAGCAAACTCCAGCTAACCATTTTTGCCCCAATTTCCCTATCAAATTCTTAAATTCCAACTTCATCACCACCTCTCATAATCAAGCCCTTTTTCGAATCATCCAAAGTTCCTTCTGTATAAACCCTGATTTCTGTAATCCATCCATCTATCCATCCCCAGATTGATTAAATCTCAGCTTCCCCTTTTGGCTTCGTTGGTGTCTTTTCTTGTTAGCATATCTGTGATTGGAGGAATTTCTAGGAAGCCCAGCTGCAAATCGAGCCTAAGGGTCGTTTGTACCGCCAATAAAACCTACTTTTTTTTTTGAATTTAACAATTGGGGGTTTTTGTGATATTACTCTCTTTTAAGTTATTCAATTCGATTAAAAGATTAGATCTTTATAAGGTTTTGTACGTAGCCCACTTGTTTTTGCTGTCCTGAATCATGTTTTGAAGCTGAATTCTGGAGATTCTCTGGGTTCTCATTTGATTGCTGGGGTGAACGAGATTACAAAGGGTTACTGTGTTTATTCTCCACGGTTTATTTAGCAGAAAAGAGGATTACAACTGCAGAACATCAAAATATAATGGACAAGTACGAGCTAGTTAAGGACATAGGGTCCGGTAATTTTGGAGTGGCTAGGCTTATGAGACACAAAGAGACTAAGGAGCTGGTTGCCATGAAATACATTGAGAGAGGACACAAGGTTGTGTTCCTTTTGTATCTTCAACTTTTGATTCTATTATACTGCTTGATTTCTGTTACTTCCAAAAATTTTAAACCGAGGCTGTTGTTCTTTATTCTGCTCTTTCTGATCCGTAATATCTCTTGTTAAGCATCGTTAAGAAATTTGATTGTTGTTCCGTTATTTTGTAGATTGATGAGAATGTTGCTCGAGAGATTATAAACCACAAATCTCTTAGGCATCCAAACATCATTCGGTTCAAGGAGGTGCGTTCCTATTGGTATTGAGAAGTTTAGTCTTAGAAAATCATTACCTTTCCTGTGCCAAGTCACTGATCAGAAGAAGCTGGTCTGATACTTGAATTTACAGGTGGTATTGACTCCAACCCATCTTGCCATAGTTATGGAATATGCTGCTGGTGGCGAGCTCTTTGAAAGAATCTGTAATGCTGGACGGTTTAGTGAAGATGAGGTATTATAGTTTTTAGTGGTATAATTATGTGTCTTGAAGTAAACTGATATTGCGATGCTCAGCTTTGTTACTTATGTATTATCATCTGAATTTTGTTTTTTTTTTTTTGTTTCAAATGTCCAGGCCAGGTATTTCTTTCAGCAGCTTATCTCAGGAGTCAATTACTGTCATTCCATGGTAAGTTATTAAAATGACATTATTTGTAATTCTGTCCTTTTTTCTGAATCCGCAGAAATCTTATTATGATGACATTTTGGGTCTATGCATTTCTCTTGTTTACCAGCCAAAGTTTTTCAGAAGTTTCTTTTTCTTTTTTAATTGCTTTACAGCAAATCTGCCATAGAGATTTGAAGCTGGAGAACACTCTTCTGGATGGAAGCCCTGCCCCTCGTCTGAAAATTTGCGACTTTGGTTACTCTAAGGTTTAGATTACGAGTCTTAAAAATTTGCGTGTTGTTTGGAGAGTTAATTGTTGGGTTTGTTCCTTACTATTTTTTTTTTCCCGGCATTTAGTCTTCCCTTCTGCATTCAAGACCCAAGTCGACTGTTGGTACTCCTGCTTATATTGCTCCAGAGGTATTACAAAGGAGAGAGTATGACGGCAAGGTGTGTGACTTTCCTTCTCATTTTTCACCTTATGCCTTATGGTCTACTGTTGTGAGTTTTTTGTTAGGTTCCTAACTTTAGGTTGTGTTTTCAGTTGGCTGATGTATGGTCATGTGGTGTGACTCTCTATGTTATGCTTGTGGGAGCTTACCCCTTCGAAGATCAAGAAGATCCTAAAAATTTCAGGAAGACAATCCAGGTGAGATTTGTCTTATCCTGTTTTTGAAATGTATTTGATATTTTTCTGGGAAAATATGTTTATAATTTACCTGCATTTTGGACCTTTCGTATTTCTTCAGAGAATCATGGCAGTGCAGTACAAGATTCCTGACTATGTCCATATATCTCAAGATTGTAGGCACCTTCTATCTCGTATATTTGTCGCAAATCCACATCGGGTATGTATCCTATTTTTGACTATCGTTTGGGTTCTCCATGACTTGCATTCTTAAACTTGTCTTATTAGCAATTATTTCTATTTTCACTCATTCAGTAGCATTTTTACATGTTTTATACATTGTGAATTACATTTAATGATAATGCGTTTACTTCCCTTAAGAGCAGATTTCCATTCTTCACCCTTGCTCACTATCCTGTTTGTTTATTATTTTTCCACTTCAGGCAAAAGGCTGAATTAATGCAACTGTTACATATTATAGCATTATTGTTTATGTATTTTTTTTTTTTTAAATTTTGCAGAGGATCACAATCAAAGACATAAAATCACATCCGTGGTTTTTGAAGAATCTACCAAGGGAATTAACGGATGCAGCACAAGCTGCCTATTACAGAAGAGAAAACCCGACTTTCTCCCTTCAAAGTGCGGAGGAGATTACTAGAATTGTCAGTGAAGCTAAGACGCCGCCTCCTGTTTCCCGCTCAATCGGTGGTTTTGGCTGGGGAGGTGAGGAAGATGAGGAGAAAGAAGAAGATTTGGAGGGGGAAGTTGAGGAGGAGGAGGAAGATGAGGAAGATGAATATGATAAGCAAGTGAAAGAGGCTCAAGCAAGTGGAGAAGTCCCTCTGAGCTGAAAGCTCATCATCTTTGGTTTTTTGTCTTCAATACTAAGTCTTAGTTTGAGTCCATCAACTTTGGAAGCTTTTATGGTTGTGTAAAGTTATGTTTTCGCTTTGTAGATTATGGGATGTTATGATAAAAAGGGCCGTGAATTACTCTAGTCAGTAATGGGACAGGCATATGTGCAATGCCTGTGAATTTGAACTTATTGAGAGTCTGATTTCATCAGTGTGATTGTGAACGTTGAAAGCTCAGCCATTTGCTTGTGTTGGTGTCTGTAATATTTCTCCCCCTTCGGAATGGTTGTCAGTTATTATAGGTCTTGTTTGTTATAGTGGTTACAGTTTGTTTGTTACATTTTTTGAACTTATCTGAATCGCTACTGGAATGGCCAGTTAAGCTTAAGAGGGAGCTTCAATGAACCTTCACAGAGGAGAATGTTTCTAGTTGATAGCAGCTTTTCTTGAATATTTATGAATTGATTGATCGTGATTCGATTCTGTATCACTTTGGCTTTAGCACAAAAGATATTGACGGAATGTCTCGATATTGACAGCTTTGTCATCAACTATATAAAAATGTGTTAAGAATCCATTATTGCTGCCACCATCTCTCAGTGGAATACAACTTTTGCTCATCAAGTTATTGGAAAACAACATGCACCATCAGTCTTCCAGTTTGATTGAAGAAGCAAAAGAGAAAGATGTTAGCCTGTTAGCTTTGAAAAGTATTATGCAGGTGGCCTTTTTCACCCTTTCAAACTGTCTTTTGTGCTCAAAATAGGATTTCGCTAAATATAGATTATGTTGGCACCGTGTTGCAATGACCACCACGTCTAAATTCACATGATGTCACCTGGCTAGAAGAAATTTTGAGGATCTTTCTAGCAGACAATGCCACGGTTCAATCTTAAAAACTCAGAAAAAGAGAACAAAAAGGTTTGGGGTCAGGTTATTTGTCAGCAGCCGCAAGCAAGCATATCTAAATCCAGGAAATCAAGGCGTAATCCAGGAAATCAAGGCGTGGATGATCCGATAAGGGACAAAGGCAGTTGAAGTAGCGAGATAAGGTTGAATACTGCAGTGTTTGGCATTGAAACCTATGTAGGACCATCAATTATATTTGCATCAGTCAAAAACATATTAGGACGTCCCACCAGGCTGCTCATTCTGCTGATGAATGGTAAGAAAGGTTGTGATAAGATTTCTAAGCATGCATTATGTTCAAAATGAGTATAAGGACATCATTAAGAAGGCCAAACAAGAAGTAAAATAATACAATCATTATGCTGGACGAGGGGATTGCCGAGGTGATAACGGAAGAGTAGCATAGACTAGAGGTTCTAGGTTTAAACATGGAGATTGCATCCTAAATACAAAAAATCTTTACTCACAGATCCGATCAACTCAAAGAATAGGCGATGTAGAATAGATTTGTTCATCATCAGCAAACCAAAATACGACAAAAGGCTCCTTTGTAGTATACTTCTTGTCATCTTACTTTGACGGCTGATTCCAGAAGCACCTTATGCAACTTTTGTGTTTCGGTGACTATCGATTCTCGATCAAACAGCGCAGACACAACAGCCACACCTCTCAGATTTGGAACCTGTAACTCCATTACAGAATGGGCATTTGAGATTCCAATACCACCTATTGCAACCACCGGTAACTTTGAAGCTGAACATACTGTTTTCAGCCCATCTAATCCAATGGTCCGATTGTTTTCTTTAGTGTTTGTTGGATATACGCCACCACTGCCGATGTAATCAGCACCATCAGCCCATGCTTGCTGTGCTTGCTCTGGTGTTTTGCATGAGACGCCAATGATTTTGTCTGGCCCAAGAAGTGCACGTACGGTTTGAGCTGGCATGTCAGATTGGCCAACATGCACACCATCCGCGTCACAAGCAAGGGCCACATCTACTCTGTCATTTATCAGCAATGGAACACCATATTGGCGACAAATTTCCAAACAAGCTTTAGCTGATTCCAGAAAGTCTCCAGTTTCTGCCTCCTTTTCCCTTCAGGTATCATGGATGACAAACAATGAGAGAACAGAAGTAAACAGAATACAAGCAAAACTAGTTTAGAACTTGTAAATTTTGAGATGACCTTTATGACAAAGAACTAAAGCTAACTAAATTCCAAAAAGAAATGTGAAAACAAACAGAGGGGAACACACCTGAGCTGAACTATGGTGGCACCACCTTCAATAGCAGCTTTTACAGCATCAGTAATTGAACGACCCCACTTGCGGTTCATTCTCCAGTCTGTAACAGCATATAAAAAGAGCGAGCTTGGATCAAATGGATATGCTGCACACAATCCAGGGGCATTGTTTTTCAGCTTCAAGAGGTGGTCAAAAGGACCTTGACGTCCATTTCCTATATGAATATCCTTACTGTACTCCAAGGCTGATTCAATAAAGCGTTTAGCTACCTGAAAAGAGAAGAAAAGAGATATCATGGAAACATGACCAATAGGGAAAAAGGAAGTAACAAAAAATCTCAGAACTAGATGATACTCCCTCCATTTCAGAATGCAGTCATTTTAGGATTTTAAGGCAATACTAACTTTCCAATTTCCCTCTCAATATATGACGTCAACTCTTTTTTAATTAGTCTTGTTTATAATTCCAATACACTTAATGAGGGTTATAAAAGATATTTGACACAAATTAATTGCTGAATCATTTTGTTCTTAGTTTAGATGTGAAGTCTAAAGTGACTTACATTTTGAAATATAGGGAGTTACATAGAATTTCCTCGTTTTCTTTCAGTGTTAGGTTAGAAGCGGAGGTGGGAAAATGAATACAGATTATAATAACATGCTGAATATAGAGCCCACTGTGAAAGACTGCTGCAGACACAATTCTAAGTATGGTTGGACCAATAAATCCAACTCCCATGCAGATAGACTCTCCAAACAACTAATTACGGGGGATTGAACCAAGGTAACATATAGAACATATAGAAGAATCTCAAGGTATCTCTTTTCTCTGTTTTCATGAATGGAATAAGATCAGGTCTCAATCAGCTCCTCAAATTTGATTCAAAATCAACTAAACAGAGAAATCAAATTGACGCTTTCTTTACTTAAGCTGCCACCTCATCAGAAATGATCATTGAGAAGAGCAGTATTCAGACATGTACCTTTACAGCAGAAATCACTGGTAAACCTTTTGCAAGTTCAGCAGCAATAGATGAAGCCAAACTGCAACCAGTTCCATGGGTATTTGAAGTTCTCACCCTAGAAGCTCGGAACTCAAAAAAATCATTGCCTACAGAGTTATCCAGAATATTGAAAAGTAAGTCTTGCATCTAATCGCATGCATTTGAGTTACCACAACACCATCAATGTTACTAGAGAACTCCAATGAATCTTGTCAGACAAACCGTCATATAAAACATCAACAGCATCTGAGGATACAGGGAGATCACCTCCTTTGACAAGAACATATCTGCAGTAAGTGACTAAATTCAGCCCTCTGTTTACAGTGATCAGAACGAAAAGGAAACAAGATTGCTTGAGAAGAGCTATCTTGGTAATGGGGAACCAATACTAATGTTCAGAAAGCTAGTTCAGTACTTCAGTCAACTGCCTAATGTTCTTGACTAAAGAGAAAGTGAAACTGCCATTTTTCAGCTGTTTTACATGAGATAATCTGATCTTCTGCCTACATCAAGATGTGACAAATTTCTTCTTGATCTTAGTTGGAACTTTATCTTTAGTTTAGCAAGAAAATGCACCCTTGAAACTTACCTAGCAAAGAATTTATTTAAGCTTGAGAATAACGACACTTGTCCAAATCCATCAAGAAAAGATCATGCGGTTAAGGTAAATCTTATTCATCAACCACAAAGATTCTCGAGACTCATGCCAATCTAATCTATTAGGTATATCATTGCCGAAGTGGCACTAGTTTACCAAATGAATTGGTAAGTTAAAAGCAGACTCTTATTAATAATTTTAAGATAAGGCTCACCTTGGGCCAAATTCATGTATAGATTTGGCAGCACTACGCATGTCTGCAAGTGATTCCAACAGCATACCACCAAGCAAAGCGGATGCCTCTTTTAGATTTGGGGTTACAACATCTGCCATAGGAAGTAGCTTATCCCTGTATGTCAAAACCATAACCTATCATTTTTAGATGGACTAACCGAAGCAAGTAAATGCGCAGATAAAAAATGAGTTTGAAACATAGAGGAACAACCTCACCCCCAAAAGAAAATTAGTAAAAGCAAATGCATCAATGAATATTCTAACAAAACCCATGAAAATTGTCTAGAGGGCAATATTCATATGCCAGATTGTAGAGCTAGAATCATGAGATGCCATAATTTGTAGAAGAACAAAGCAGCTGAAAAGTGGAGTACAAATTGAAAAGACATCTCTCGTTGGTCACAAATTAAACTAGGTGCATGGAGGTACTACATTCTACTCACTTACAACAGTGAAATAAATGCATAAAGGACTTGCGACTCCATCCAAACGATTAATGTGCCCAGAATCCAATAAGACAGTTATTGTGAACTTCGCAATAGAAGTCCCAATCTGTGGGGGAGAATGAGGAGTGGAGAATTCATGTTCAACATACCGAAAACTTGCCAGAACTGAGGAACCAGCCAATACATCACCACTCGTAGAAACCATGACAGGATCCACAACCAAAGCTGTCTTGAAAATAAAACTTACAATGTCCGTCAAATCCATCTACTAGAACCGAACTAAATTATGCAACTCTTTATGACAGGTAATCCTGAAATACCTTGAACTGGGAACTCCTGAAGACTCTGACAAAGAATGTTGACTATGCCGGCTGAGGGTAGCATGCCTGTTTTCACCTAAAATTACATCAGTCTTGTTTCCATCACATATCAACAATAAATACTAGTAAAAACAGAACATAATGTACGGACATAACATACTCCAACCTAAAAGGGGGAAAAATCAACAGATCAGAAGATAATTAACTATAAATCAACATGTGAAAAATATTTTCTTCTGTTTAAACTTACAACATCAGGTCGCATGTCTGAGAGCACAGACTTCAACTGCTCTGCCACAAATTCCTCAGGCACCACATTCACACCCTATCAATCAATATAGTAATACAGGATCAACAACCTCAATTCCTGGTGTATCTATGCCCAAGATATGAAAAAGAGGAACCAATATTGAACTACTCTAGTACTCTGAATTGAAATTACACCAGGTTCTAGTACATCATGCATTACACCAGGTTCTAGTATTTGGGTTTCGTTTTTTCTTTTTACCCAAAAGTTAGAACCTTCCTGAAATTAATGCTTAGAATGCAAGTAAAAAAAAAAGGAGGAAAAAAGGACAACCTGAACTCCGACGGTGTTCTGCGCAGTGACAGCGGTGATAACAGTAGAACAGTAAACTCCTCTGGCCGCGCATGCTTTAAGGTCCGCTTGAATTCCAGCGCCAGCACCGGAATCGGAACCGGCGACGGTGAGAACATGTGGAACTCTGACCTTATCCGGTTGATCTTGCATTCTTGCCTTTATTTTTGAAACCTGATTAAAGTGATGACCTCCAGCTAAAGTAAATCCTGGTTTCAGCAGGCATATATTCTGAAAAATTAATACAATGAAAAAAAGAAGAAAAATTAAGTCAAGAAGTAATGATAACAATTCAATAAGCAAAAACAAATGAATTCTTTTTGACCTTGGGAATGGAGTAGACCAGAGAGCAGTAGAAGCCCATGGCCTTCAGCTGAAGAATATGGATGACAAAAAGGGCTTCAAATGCGCTGATAATTTAATAAATATAACTAGATGCTTGCTCCGGGTGTAGCCTGTATTTTTAAATTGATTAAATAAAAAAATACGAATCATTTTTAAAAGAATAAAAAAAAAGTTAGAAGAATAAAAAATCAATTGAAAGAACAGAAAGTGAGCTATTATATATAAATCTATGTCCAGATTTACAACATTTAATTTATAACAGTTTACTTATGCCTGAGTTTACATAAATCATAAACCAATATCTACAACAGAAGAATAAAAAAAAACATCCTTAAAAAATTAAATTTCTTTCATGATAACTTATTTTTTCTCTGTTGTAGAAAGAGATGGATTGATAATTGATGTCAGATTTTAAGTAATTGATTTAAAGGCTCGGGTGTGAGAGAGGAGCAGAATGGAAGAGATTCTTTGAAATTGGGGACTGGGAAGACATTACTGGTATTTCACTTGATTTAAGGAGATTTCATAGTATTTGATTTTATCAACTAAATATTGTTGTTTTAAAGGATTAGTATATACCTATAATTAAGATATTTTTATGTAGCTATAATTAAGGAATTTATGTATTTATCTATTCTATCTTTTTTTTTCTGATTAGTTAGAGTGCCACGTGTCAAAAATGATTTTGTACTGAAAATAGCTTTTGGCGGGAAAATTTTCATTATGGTGCTGATACATGTTCTTTTTGTTTACTGCTTTAATTAAGTACTATAGATTTAAAAAAGTAGTTGTATAATTTAAATTTAACTCAGAACTACCAAAAAGAAGAAACTCGAATAAGAACCGCGAGAAACGGGCCGGGTAATAAAATTGGCCAAATCTGGCCCGCCCTAAACTTGCCTTAAAATATCCCGCCAACGCGCGATTTTGAACGTTTTTCACTTTTCATTTTTCCCAGACACAATCTTCAATAGAATCTTACACCGTACTCCACAATCATTCGCCGATAATTCAACACAGCGAAATCAATTGGAGGTATTGGTTCCGGCGGCTTCTTCTCCGGCATATTCCAATTTTCCAGACTGGCGTGGTTGGAAAGGTAAGAGTTTTTTCCCCCCCAAAATGCTGCTAGCTTATCTCTTCAATTCCATTTAAAATCCAATAATTTTTTCATGCTGAAATCTGGAATGTAACTTATTGCTATGGGTAGCTCCACTTACTCTGATGAATTGTTCATTGACGACGATTGTATTTCCGTTATCCTGCTGCATACGTCACGTTCATCGTTTTTAGGGTTACTTACCATTTCCTGCTAAAATTAGCACCGGCATTCATCTGTAATGAAGGCGACGAAATCATTGGTGTTGTTGCGTATTAAAGAGAATTGATGATGGAATAAGAATCTTCTTCGTTTGTCCTTGTCAACTTGCAACTAAGCTTGACTGGAATTGCAGTTTTTGGTTTTGCTAATTTAAGGTTCGCAAATGGTTGCAAAATGACGAGATAAGATGTTTCTTTTATAGTTTTTGTGAGTTGTGTTCTTTCGGCTGGAATTGTGACGCTAAAGCTGTTACCAAAACGACAATGTCTGTTGAATTCCCCCTCCCCCAAAAAAATAATAATAAATAAAAAAAATTACAATTTCTGTAGAAGTTCCTCTTGCTTTTCGTGTACCAGAATCTTTGCTAGACTGCGTTGCCTCCTTTTCTTTTTCAATTACTCTTGGAATTCAATGTTGGAAATTTCGAAGAATTTACATTGGTCTTCATTCTGTTTTTACTGTGCTCATCTGTTCATAAGTCTATGGTTTATGGATTCGTACTTTCGTTTCTAGAAACTGTTTGGCTTTTTTCAATTGTTCAAGTGCTGAAAAATTGTACACCTTGCAGGTGATGTCCATTGTTGTGGTTTTGAACTAGAAGATAGCGATAAATGTAGGAGAATATGTTAACCAATGACAAAGGACAAGACAACGAGGTAAGAGTTATTCAATTTTTCTCTTGATTAATCTTCCTTCTGTAATGGAGTAGAAATCTTTTCTTACTACTTCCGTTTCTTTGTATTGGGCGATAGTGGAAGCTTTGCTGAAGGCTCCAACACTGAGAACAGATTACCTGCAAACAATTGGTCTCAACATGTCAAAGCGCATAACAATTTTGCAAACCAAGAAAATTTCCTGAAATCAACTTTCGTCTTCTCCTTGTCAGCACAGAAACCTCAGGCCGATATATCAAGTGCTGCAAGGTACTTTGTTACTCAAGCATAGACGTCTCAATCATTTCCAAAGTTTTTTTCTTTCAGTCTTTCAACTTCAAGGCTTTAATAATTTCCTATTTTTCTTTGCAAAATTATGAAGGCCTTGTGCTTTGAGTATTGAATACGGCACATATGTAGTAGAGCTAAGCATTTAAATTATCATAGTCACCTATATGCATCTCATTCCTATTGTTCTAGATTTGCCATGTTGACTAGCTTGCTTTAAAGATTTTCACAAGAACATGAAATTTTCTAGCATAAAAAAGGTCACAGTAAGCCTCACTTGTCGTTATCCATTGATTTTTCAGGACTATGGCATTTAAGGTTCATAGTCAAAGGATGCCAACCCAGGAACTTGAAAAGGTAAAATTGATGAGAATATACAGTTCATTGATGTTTATTAATTGATATGTGTTTATGAAGTTGATCTTTTGTTATGCAATAAGGAACTCAGGACCTGAGTTTTTTTCACCCAACACGAGTCGCTTGTTTGGCACTTCCATGCTTTTTTCTAATTTGTATGACCATCTAAAAAGCTAGTGTGACTAACACCATATTTTTTCATCTACTGCCTAACGGTCATGCACATCAGGAAAAGGGACATTGTAAAGTTTCTGCTCCTTTATTTGGCCTTTGAATTTATCTTCTGCCTACATCTGGAAAATTGACAAATTTCTTAGTTATCAAAGCAATTGGATAGCTTCTGATTTTCTTGCATCTGTACCATAAAAAAATATTGAATACAGCTGGCCTTTATTGTGGCCATTAGTTTCTTATTTGGAAGCTTAAGTTAAGACCTATCTACATTCCTTTATCAGTTCTATCGTATGTAATCCCATTTTTATAGTGCAAATAATGCATTTTCTTGTGTTTTTTTCTTTAAATTTTTTGAAGGTTTGGCAAGTTCTATCCAGGCTTGAGCTTTCTTCGAAGAACTATTTAAAGCCTGGAAAAAGTCAACCTCCAAATTGTGTTAATGCTTCTGCTGCTCAAGGTTGCAGAAAAAATTATTCGCAGACTGCCGCAGGCATCAGCAGTACGTTCCAAATTAATGTGGAAAAACCACAACCCTTTAGTGAAAGTAGTACCAGTGGTGATAAATCCAGAAACTTTGTGGGAAATCCTTTCACTTCAGCTGCAGATGGTCTTGCAGAAGCCAGAAACGTGACCGGCAACATGGACACATCAATCAGTAGGAACTCTAATGCACAGGCAGTAGGAGTGGCTAGCAATCATGCATTGCGAACACCAATGGAAGTATCTGGAAACACTTATGAAAATGGCTTTGAAGATGATGACATACTAGAGGTATCCCGTTTTCAAGGTCTTCTATACTGGTAGTGGAAACAGTGCTTTGTTTCCTTGCTTTCTCATAGTAAATGCTTTTTCAGTTTTTGATTTTTTCCACATTTTTGCTAATGTTCTCTGTTAGAATATTGATGTGGATCAAATAGTCATGGAGCACTACCAGTCCAGCTGTACACCTCAAACATCAGTTTCGGGATTTCCCCCAATCACTCCAATATCAAATAGGCAACATTCTGTTCCACCTGAGGAGAATAGTTTACCGACTGAGTTGGCCATGAAGTGCAGTCATGGGTTTCAGGTTGGAATTGCTCTAGCTTATGCTCGGTCTTGCTTGTTTTATTTTGAATTTACTGGAAGTACTAATGAACATCTTTACTAATAATGCAGCTAGGATATTGTACTGAAGCTTCAGTTCATTTACAAGAATTGAAGGATAAGCTAATTGGAGTATCTAATGACCTTCTCGACAATATTACTAACTTGGACTCGCTTCAAATAGAAAAGCTTCGTCAAGAAAGGTTTAATCAATCCTGAGTTAGAAGTTCTATTTGGCCACTCTACTAAATCTGGATAAAAAGTCATGGTGCATGCTTGAGGAAGAAAACAAAACTAGTGATGAATGTTACCATTTTCATGCGCATGTAGTTGAATATTTCAGTTACTTTGTCATATTCAGTGGCACATGTACATCTTAAAATAATGTGGTCTACTCCTGTCTAATGATAGGATGCAGCTGAACACCCAAATCCAACAACTAGATAAATTTCTTCGGGATGTACCGGTCTATGATGAAAGAAGAACATCACATTTCTATGCGTCCACAGCAACTTCATCGGCTTTTCAAACTCCTCCATCAGTTCCATCCAAGCTTGCTTCAACAAGGCATGAGACTCAAATTTATGGGGACAATGAGCAAAATGGTTTTGATAGATGGGATTCGTCAGCAGCCACATTTTCTTCCTATAACATGTATGGAGATGCAGCAACTCCTTTAGAGAGGGAACCATATGTCCCCAAGTATGTTGATATCACCTATATTGATGGTTCAAATGATAAAAAATGGAGTTGCCGTGATTTTCCTTGGACAAGGAAGTTAGAGGTATGCACAATCATACGTTTTTGTTCTCTTTTTTGAGACATGTAGTATTGCATCTGATGTCTCCATGGGGTCTCCATCAGGCTAGTAACAAAAGGGTGTTCGGCAACCATTCTTTTCGTCCCAACCAAAGAGAAGTTATAAATGCCACAATGAGTGGGCATGATGCCTTTGTGTTAATGCCAACTGGAGGAGGAAAGAGCCTGACATATCAGGTATAACTCTCTGACCTGTTGTATGATGACATGAAACTAGGGTGGTATTAATAGCATTGGTGCAGCTAAGTGATTTCATAGCGAAATAGGTTTCATTTCCATCTCTTCGAGGTATTTGATACCAATCCAGGTTGGCACTGTTCTATATCAAATAATGTTACTTTTTATAAGGTTAAGCCTCCCATATTCATTTTCGTGGTCAAGCAATTCGATTCTGCTTCCTGCTAGGAGCTTCTAACTTGGTCTGCACTGTTTCTCTCGTCTCATTGATTTTATCTAAAATAATCTACTGAAACACATGCTTAGGAATGGGTTTCTGCTGATGTTTAGTAACTTTGTGTTAATTATGCCAACGGCATAGACTCAAAGCTGATTCCTGATTCGTATTTTAAGTATTTGGTATTTAGTATCTATTCCTACCAGTGCTTTTAAACATTGTTTTATACAGCTTGCCCCGCCTTTTTCACAATACACTATATAATATTTTCTTACAGCAAGAAGGTTATGCATGAAGGTTAACCTCTACCAAAAGATGGTTCTTGGGTAGAGTAAAATTTGTGTTAAGTGCGTAACTGGCTTTGTATTTTGAAGAAATCAAATTTGTTCCTGGATTCTGTTTGTATCATGAAGTGCTGACTGGTTTACTGTATCTGAGTAATTTGAACAATAGTTCGCTTTAAGTGCAATATAATTAATAGGCATACTGTAACTTCTTTTGGCAATAGGAGAATGTACTCATTTTCTTAGAGAGTTCTGACTTATGACAGAATGCATGTCAAGTTACTACATTTGCACTTACTGTCATCCTGCAGTAGAAGGACTTTTGGGTTTATATTTGGACTCTGACTTCACACTTAACTCTGCTTCTTGGCAGCTCCCTGCTCTTGTATGCCCAGGGATAACATTAGTTATTTGCCCTCTCGTCTCGCTCATCCAAGATCAAATAATGCACCTACTACAAGTATGTCTACCAAGTTTGTATCTAACTCTATCTTTGGTTACATGGTTGGGTGGCCTGACTAATTCTTCATTTGTGATATTTCCCCTAGGCAAACATACCTGCTGCTTATCTAAGTGCCAGCATCGAGTGGTCTGAGCAACAGGATATTCTGAGGGAGCTTAGTACAGATTATTGCAAGTACAAGCTGCTCTATGTCACCCCTGAGAAAGTTGCTAAGTACGTCTATGTACCACTGTTTGATCAAACATTCTAGTCTGGTCTTTTTGATTTATAAAAGAAACTTCAAACATATCTGATTACTTGTGCGTGTGGATTGATTATTGGTTGGAAGCATCCTCATGTGTTGGAATATCCTAGGCCACAGTCCATTTTACTGGACAGGCATTTTTGTGAACTTAGTAATTCAAGTTCCTGCGAACCAGTATCACCAAGCTATACTTGTTGAGAATGCAGAAAGTTTGTTTATCAAGCACTTCAACCCTATTCATGAAATCTCTACTTAATCTAAATTGAAAGAAACTATCAAAAAGGACCTTAAATATTTAAATTTGAATGAAGATATTTGTAGTGATTGAGCACGATGGTGACATATGATTCATAGAGCCAACCTCTCATAGTGGGAAAAACGCTTGATGCTGTTGTTGTTATTTGATCTGAACATTGGATCAATTCATGTGCCTTCTTCAGCATTTTGTAATTACCTTCAACTTGTTAAATTCTTCTTGATAACAGCATACTCAAGTGGGGAATCTTTTTCTTTCTTATTCAATGACTCAATATTTGTTTTTTGAATAAATCTTTCACATTTATCTCTAGTACAACCTTAGAGTTTATTGGTTCCTTGAGGACTCAAAACTTCAAGGATTATTTTCCACCAAAGTTGGAAAAACGTGGGGATTATCAGTTTCTACTTCGTCCCTGGGGGCTGGAAATGTATCCTTCGTTGCTTATTAGTGTGACATGTCTAGAAAATGCCATGTTCCTTATATTTTATGCTGAGGGATTCTGCGGTCTGGTGCAATTTCATGGATGCATGATTTTGCTGATTATCGTGTTCAATTGTTAGTCTTTGTTTGCATTTTTGGTGGATTGTTTTTGCGGAGGGTTGACACAAAGGAGGGCTTATATCCTAATGCAATTGGTTTTCAAGTGCAGAAGTGACTTGCTTCTCAGACACTTGGATAATCTACATTCTCGTGGATTACTTGCTAGGATAGTTATCGATGAAGCTCATTGTGTAAGCCAATGGGGGCATGATTTTAGGCCAGATTATCAGGTTTGGTTCTACAATGCTTTCAATACTGTTGCACTCTTGAAGCTTGTATTAGTTTAAAATCATGACTAATGGGGTGCCATATTGGTTCAGGGTCTGGGTATCTTGAAACAGAAGTTTCCAAATGTTCCTGTTCTGGCCCTGACTGCTACTGCCACAATTAGTGTCAAAGAAGATGTTGTCCAGGCTCTGGGTCTTGTCAACTGCATTGTTTTTAAACAAAGTTTTAACCGCCCTAACTTACGGTGAGTAATGGAAGTAACTAATCTGCCAAATTATTTTGACGAGTAGCTGACTCATAGTGTGAGTGTATTGCAGTTACTCGGTTCTCCCGAAGACAAAGAAGTGCGTGGACGATATTGATAACTTCATAAAAGAAAACCATTTCGATGAAAGTGGAATTATTTATTGTCTTTCAAGAATGGATTGTGAAAAAGTTGCTGAAAAATTACAGGTTAATTTCTTTGAAGTTGTTTTCTTCAAATAATTCCTATGCATTATGCACTTTTATCTGTTTTGTTTTCATCATTTCTTTCCAATTATACATGGTTGGATTATTGTGAAACTAAAAAACTTGAAATGATTATTTTTGTGCAATACGCTAGTATGAGGTGAGGTGAAAAGTATATTGTCTGTCTATCTAGTTAGCAGGTCAATGTTTTCAGCTCTGTAGCACTTGGTTCATCATCATCTTATTGTACATTACTCACGTTTGCGGGCTCATACTACATGATCCACAAAACTGTTTTTAACTTCTATTTGTAAACAGGGTTTTTTGGAGTCGTGAAGAAAGTTTAGGTTTGATTAAGTATGGTACTCTTAGCTAAATGATCCCTGATTTTTAAAAATTCACTACCTTTTGAATTGCCCATTTCGGTTTTTTAATTAGAAGAAAATTTGGTCAGGAATGCGGTCACAAAGCAGCTTTCTACCATGGCAACATGGATCCTGCACAGCGGGCATTCGTTCAGAAACAATGGAGCAAGGATGAAATTAATATTATATGTGCAACCGTTGCTTTTGGGATGGGTATGATTGGTTACTGCTTACTTTAATTGAGGCTGTTGTTTACATGAACTGATTGTTGGTGTGCCCAGGAATTAACAAGCCCGATGTTCGTTTTGTAATTCATCACTCACTTCCAAAGTCTATTGAGGGCTATCATCAGGTCTGTCAGCAAATTTTCTACTCTATTTTCTTACAAAGCAATGTTGCTGATGATGACTGTATATCCAAAGTGTACATGATATCTAATACATAGGTCTTCGACTGTTTCCATGTCATAGGAGTGTGGTCGTGCTGGTAGAGACGGGCAGCCTTCATCTTGTGTTTTGTACTACAATTACAGTGACTATGTGAGTTTGGAAAGCCGCCTTTCTGATTAGTTTATAGTGATCTCTTTGTCCACGGTGGTAATCCTTCGTGAACATTTTCCGTCATAATATTGAGTTATTTATTTCCGTCCATTTTTCACACAATTTTTAAAAAGCATGATGACAACATATTATCCATATAGCCCACAACCCACAGGGTTGGATCAAGGGTTATTGTTATGTTGTTCCACTATGTTTTTTTTTTTTTGTGATTACTCATCTACATAGCTCCCATTTTCCTCCATAGATTCGTGTGAAGCATATGATTAGTCAAGCGCCTGTGGAGCAAAATTCCTGGGTGCCAGGGGGTAATCGTTCAAATATGAAACCTTCAGGGAGAATACTGGAAACAAATACTGAAAATCTTCTTCGAATGGTAACCAATGAACCTTCTCTTGTAATTGCTATCATATGACCAGTATTACTGAGGTGCCAACCAAAATGCTTACAGGTATCTTACTGTGAGAATGATGTGGATTGCCGACGGCTTCTACAGCTTATACACTTTGGAGAAAAATTTGATTCTGCCAATTGCCAAAAAACATGTGACAATTGTAGCAAAAATCAAGACTCTGTCGAAAAAGATGTCACAGCAATAGCAAAGCAATTGGTGAGAACTGTTTTTTTTTTTTTTTTGGTTCTTAATTTGCAGTATCAAATTAAATATTTTCATTGTACCCAGGCTCGTGCTTTTAGTTTTTTTGACTAGGAATGATTTTACTTGAAAATCAGGTGGAATTGGTGAAGATGACAGGACAGCAGTTTGCATCAGCTCATATCTTGGAAGTCTACAGAGGTTCCATGAACCAATTTGTATGTGTTAAAAATAAATTGTGCTCCAAGAGTTTATCTTCACATTTGCTAATATTTTTAATGTATATGTATTTTTAAATATTCCTGGTAAAAAATACAGGTGAAGAAACACAGACATGAAAACCTGAGTCTGCATGGAGCTGGAAAACAACTCGCCAAGGGTGAAGCTTCCCGTGTGCTGCGTTATCTTGTGATTGAGGATATCCTTAAGGAGGACATAAAAAAGAGTGATGTGTATGGATCTGTATCTTCTGTTTTGAAGGTAAGATTGTCCATTCCAAATCTAAAAATTCAGGTTGGAAATTTGATAATGAACTAGGTGTAATCTTAATGTTACCCTTGCTTACACACAAGCTTTTGCTTTCTTCAGGTAAATGAGTCCAAGGCGTACAAACTTTTGTACAGTGGTCAGATAATTAAATTAAGGTTGGTCGGTTCTCCTTTTGAGACGTTCTTTTTGAATTCTACGATGCTTTACATACACTGTTGGTTAAAGTAATAGAAAATGTTGAGTTGAATATGAGAATAAGTTCCATGTACTGTATATGTTTTTTACCCGACGATTAAGAAACATTTATGTTGTATGCTTAGCCAGAATAGAATTCTGATGATCTCCCTGTGCTTGTCATGGAATTTTAGGGAGGTTATGCGGTAAATGTTTTTATTATGTATTTAAAGAGATAAACCAGAAAAAAAGGGAAAAAAACTCAAAATGAGGAGTAACAGGAAATGACTTTAAATAATGATTTTGGCTGCTGCAGTCCCTTTTACACTTCTGTGAAGAACACGTGGATTAAGAGTACATTCTAAGTTCTAAATCACCTATCTCATATAAGATACTGTGCAAAATAACATCGCATAGGATGTCAATCTATTTAGTCGTGGTCACATGGTTGAGATAAGATGTTGTGGTGCTTATGTATCTGATGTTATCATAACTCTGAAGTAAAAGTTTTAGACTTAGTAGAATTTAATGGTGATTTGTTTCGGCCACTTCAGGAAAACTTTGTTCATTTATGTGCTTGATTTGATCAGCAAACAAGAATGTTTGGAAGTTTTGGTTTTGTCATGCCATTGTGCTTCTATTTGCTCATCATTTTTGGCATGTTGAAGCAGGTTGCAACAATACTTCTTATTTTCCGGTCACTTTATAGATGGTGAATTTGCTTCCTCCTATTGCAGATTTCCCTCCAGTAAGCCATCTAAAATGAGTAAACCTGAAGCAACACCAGCCAAAGGCTCACTGACATCAGGAAAGAAAAACTCTTCAGAGATGGTTCCTCCTGGCCAACCTCAGACTGAATATGACTTGGTTTGTCACTTGTCTCCACACCACACTAGTTTTACAATTTCCCAAACTACTATACAGTTTTTTTTTTGTCTAATAATATTTTCGGTGCATACACAGACCCTTTCGGCCAAGCTGTATTCTGCATTGCGTATCCTTCGAGCTAACCTTGCTAAGGAAGCTGGAGATGGTGTCATGGCGTATCATATTTTTGGGTATGGTTTTTGCTACTTTAGTACTTTTTGATTTCCGAAAGTAAAAAGATATTTGTGCCATAATTGAATCTGTTTTCTGTTGTTAGCAATGCAACATTGCAGCAGATAAGCAAGAAAGTTCCCAGAACGAAGGATGAACTTCTGGAGATAAATGGAATTGGGAAGTAAGTTCCACATTGTTGATTCTTTCCTGATTTGTTAGATTTCCTTAAGATATTTTCACTGACATTTTCGCCTAATAAAGGGCCAAAGTAAGTAAGTATGGAGACAGAGTGTTGGAAACAGTTGAGGCTGTCTTCAGAGAATTCTATAAGCTAGACAAAACAAGTGGGAGCAGTAGTAACGACAGTGGTGACTCAACGAAAAGGCGAAGAGAAACTGGCGACGTATCGGTTGAGAATTTTAAAGATGAAGACTTGACTGATAGCACGGGTCGTTCCAAGAGACGGGTTCTGAAAAAGATGAATCCCAACGCGGTTGAAGCTTCAACTAATGAAGATCCAGTATTTTACGACGACATTTTATTCGACGATGACCTGGATTTTGATGACCCAAAGTATAAAAGTATCCAGTGTAATAATGGTTTAAATGAGGGAAGAGTGCTGCCTTCATGGTCGTCATCACCAGGAGCTAATGTTTGTGCTTAGGTTCGTGAACCTTTCTGACTCATTTACCTTTTAGAGCCTGACTAACAAACGTTTAAGTTGCAACTTGTTGATCGTGTGGGTGTATAATTAGATATATACTGTTGATGTAAAGATCAATGAATTTGATCATGTTTATCGATTATATCTAGTGGATTCATTTGCATTGCTCCATCATTTGGTGCGAGATCACTTAAATTTTGATCATTTGGATATGAAGACCACAGCTGTGATTTTCTTTTACTGGCTGTGATTTATAGGGAATGAAATGCTTCTCTTTTTTTGTTTTATTTTTTTCCTTCTCTTTTTGTGGTTCGAGTGTCAATGAATGAGATGCATCTACCTTTTTTTTAAAAAAATTATTTATTTATTTTTTTTGTGTGACCTTGTATGTCGTTTCTTCACTGTGAATTAATCGTGTATGTACGTATTCACGCGTGTATTTTTGTTGTAAAAAAAAGAGGCATAAAGTCGCACATAAACACAATCATAAATCCAATAGGTACAGTATATCTAAATCCAACAAATGAACAAACACCTTGTCTTCATGTGCGTTTGATAATGCAAAACAAGAATTTAATTTAACCACAAAAGGAGAAGGAACGGGTTGTACTTTTCGCGGTCCACAAAATTACTCACTGATAGTACATTTAGATATTTTTGTCCATGATTTCTTCTTCTTCCTCTTTTCTTCCGATCTAACACAATTCCGAGTCTTAAACTAAATCCAATTCAATTAAATTAATAAAAAAATAATCCAAAATATAAAATTAAAATAATTATAACAAAAAACAGTAACAATAACATAAAAAAATAAATAAATTTTTTTTAAAAAAAATTCGGCCATAATAGCCACAAATAAACCGGCCACCCTTTAGGAAGTGGCCACAAGTAAGTCGGCCACTGCTTGAAGAGTGGCCGACTAAAGGGTAGCCACTCTTCAAGGAGTGGCCGGTTCCCTTCCGGCCACTTTCTAAAGGGTGGGTGGTTTCCTTGTGGCCACTCTTCAAGGAGTGGCCGACTAATAGGTGGCCTCTCTTCAAAGAGTGGCCGGTTCCCTTTCGGCCATTTTCTAAAGGGTGGCCGTTTTACTTGTGGCCATTGTGGCCGAAATTTTTTTTTTTTAAAAAAGTATTTTTTTTTTGTGTTATTGTTATTTTTTTTGTTATAATTACTTTAGTGTTATATTTTGTGTTATTGTTTGATTAATTTAATTGAATTGGATTTAGTTTTAGATTCAGAATTGTGCTAGATCGAAAGAAAAGAGGAAGAAGAAAGAGTCAGGAATAAAAATGTCTAAATGTGCTATCAGTGTAATAATTTTGTGAACTGCGAAAAGTAATTCAGGAAACGTTTTTCGTCAAGACTCAGTGGCATACATTATGACCTTCAGCAATGTCTACTACAGCGAGGCCAGCGACGGCCAGCACCTAGGACTATGAACTCGACTGTCGGTTCGTTTAGGCCCCGGGAGATCAGATTTCCAGCCTTATTACTTCGTTTTGGACAATCTGGTACTAGAAACAATTGGGCCAAAGGTTATTGTGCTCAGTTGATTGGTGCATTAAAGTGTTGCTATATATATATTTTATATATATATATATATATATAAAAGTGTTCGTCCCATAGTTTACCTATTAGCACAAACATACTTCTAGTCCGCATTGAGACAAAATAAATGATAGACAAAATGTATAATAGTCCACACTTAATCTTTTTTTTTTTAAAAAAAAATTTGATAGCTCCAGAGAAAATCTAGACCTCTTGGTACCTACAATGACAGATTTTTTCATATTTTAAAGTATATTAGCACAAGTGTACTTTACTTTCCATTAATAGTATATCAGTGGATGGTTTCAAGGATATATGAACTTGATTTGCATTTCACCATTATTCTGTTTTCAGGACGAGAAAAAAGAAAAGAAAAGAAAACTAGTAATCTTATTTGGATCGGTACCAGAAGTTGAAAAAGATGCATGCAATTTATATGATACTAATAATTCCACTAATTAGAAGGAATCAACAAGTTGCACAACTTTACTGAGAAGCCAAAAAAGGGCAGTCTTCAGATAATTTGGTTTTGATAATAAATTAAAGCTAAGGCAGTAGTAATGCTACTATTGAAAACATACCATAAATAAGGACAAGTTTGAAGAGAAAATCTGTTTAGGCCTCCTGCCAGGGGAGATGCAAAAAAAGGCATTGTCCTCTGTCCAAACTCCAAGATTCATCAGCTGGAAAATACATGAACAGAGATTGTTACAACCAAAATTACTACATCGTATCATTTGGATGAAAATAACATGTTTAATTAGTTTCTTGGTCATGAATAATTGAATATATAAAAGGCAAATCTTTAGGGGAGACTGCAAGAAAGAAAAATAAAGCTAGAGGCCGCCATTAAGACAAATAGAAGCTAGATTGGATAATATCTTGCTCTTGGTCTATAAGAGAGGTGTGTAATTCTCAAAGCTATGTTTGACAATCAAAGTTTTACCTCATTCACTTCCAACATTCCCTCTTCCAACACTCCTTTGTAGTATGGCATTTTCTGCCACACCTACACCAGCCTTACCTATAAACATGATTCCTTTCATTAATTGCATGATCTATCAAATCCTGTTCCAAAAAAAGTGACAAAACCAATGGTCTTGTGCTTGTGTTTGTTGATGTTTGCGGCTGAGGGAGTGAACAACAAGGAAACAACACGAAAAAGAGAAAAAGAAAGAGAAAAGTACGCAACAGAGAGAAGCATGACGACAAGGAAGAAAGCCGGTTGCGGCAAAGAAGAAGGAGAGTGTGGCCCAATGAAGAAAGAAAAAAGAGTAGGGTTTTTTTTAGAGAATATTTTTGTTTCAAAAGGTGATCGAAATAAATTTTAATTTTAAAACAATAACAAAATATGGTAAAGATAAGTAGGAGTATAAGATAAGTGAGTATCAAAAGTTCAAAACAACATTAAATGTGATTTATTATTGAAAACACAGTAGAACTTCTAAAACTTAATAGTGTTGGGACCAACAATAATTGATAAATTAATAAATTATTAATTTAAAGATTTTCAATGAGAAAAAATTAACCTTAACTGCACTGGCGGATCTACGATGGGCCCATGGGGGTCTTGGCCCCCACTGGCCCCACCATGAACGTTTTACTATATATATTTATTATTTTTTAAAACAAAAAATAGATAATTTATGTTTGATACATTATTTTTTACCTTTATTTTTTTTTCTTAATTTACTTTCTCTTATTACATATTGGGTTGATTAAATATAATTAACATCTAAAATGACTTTGTACTAATAGGTGCTATATGATTAAAAAAATCAAATAAAGTTACAAGTTTTATAAATTATAATTATATTAATGATGCATAAATTCTAATAATAATGGTCATATATATTTGAATCGTTCAATTTGAATATATCTTTCTAATTCCAGAATTTTGATACTCATCATGTGTTTATGTACATGCATGGCTATAAGAATTTTATTGAATAACTTTAATACTTAAAAAAGTAATTATTTTGTTTATAAATGTAATAGTTGTACAAAGAGTTTTTAGCTACGAACACATGTTTGTGCATGAAATATTTAACTCGGGAATGATGTCTAACTTAATTTTTATGTTAAACACAATATTATAAGACATATTTTTGATATGCAAGCGGTTCAAAAACATCAAATAAAAAAATTCATTGTTATCAACACTGATACAATGATATTATAAATTTTTTTCGGTAATATATTCATGGCCCCTAGTAAGAAGTCGTTCTAGATCCGTTACTGCTTAACTAAATTGCTTAAATTGAAATTGTCTTTACATTCAAATCAATCAAGTATTAAAAATTTTTGGAATGCTAAAAATCCATACATATTTCATATCATCTGCAGGGACTAAAATACAAGTATCAATAATCATATTTTACTTAATTTTTATAATAATAATTATTATTTATTTACTTTTAGGGTATCTATTAATTTATGATATTGTTGGGACCATTAGATATATAAGTCATTTTCTGAAAAGTTATTATCTTATCAATTTATCGAATTTTTTTTTTCACTTTTTGCACTGGTACGAAATTAGGACCGGAGAAAATTATTAATTACTACAAGTTATTAATTTATCAATTATTAATTTACCAATGTTCAACTGTAAACCTATTAAAAAGGCGTCAATCGTATGTTGATTCAATCTTTTTTTCCCCTCTTTCTTTCGACAGAGATCCTTGAAAGCAAGAATGGTTAATTAAAATGATTTTACGTTTTGTCATGATTTAACCAATCTAGATCTGGGTGAGGGAGATTACATTAGGGTTCTGATTTAGGGTCTGGTAGCCATACTTGCCGCTATTGAGACCGCGATGGTGGACTCTTTGCCAGCTCTTATTACCACATTTCGGCAAGATGAACACCGCCAAAGAAATTAACAACAGAAATAGTGGAGATGGTATTGAATTTTGATCGATCAAACATGTTATTTAGGTATATTTTTTTGCATAATTTACTTGGATTTTTTCCCTCTATTTGGTAGGATACGAGTCATATGACCGAAGAAAACCCAGGAAGTAAACTTAATAGACACAAAAAAAGGTTTGTATCTCTCGTTACAATCCACAAATTTTAATTTTTTGCATAATTATAATTCGTAATCTCATGCCTTATTGTGATATGAAAAGTGCAGAAGAATATTGACAGAAGAACATTAACGAAATAGTTATATGTGCTCAAAGTTTAATTATAATTTCATATAAAAGAGTTCATGTTAATTAAGTGCCATCTTTTTTTTATGAGTAATTCTGTTTTCTTTTTTGTTTCTTTTTTTTTTTTTTGCCAGGAAAACCCCTCTTTAGTGCCATCTTAAGTTGATTTTGATACACTATGATTAGTAATTAGTGATGGCCAGAAGTTGTTTATGACGAGGGAAACATATTAAGAGTTTTGTTGATATGCGTTGTAAAATTAAATGGTTGTATCTTTAAGCATTGTATATAGTA